TCCCTACTCTGTTTCTGGTGAATCTTCCCACCACCCGTGCCTCTGGCCTATACCCCAGCTTCTGTATGCATAAATAAATAAAATAAATCTTGGGCCTCCCCGGTGGTACAGAGGTTGAACGCTGGGCTGCGAAGCTGCCTGCAGCCTCTGCAGTGCCGGTTCAATCCCTGGTTGCTGGCGAGGTCCCACATGGTGCGCAGACCTCTCCTGCCGCGCCCACTGCTCCCCTCAGCAGTGTGCTTCGTCAGTCTGCCTGTTTTGCTCCCTGCTCTGGCTCTGGTGAATTCTCTCACCCTCCCGCGCTTCTGACTATACCCAGTGCTTGTGTAAATAAACAAATAAATTAATTAATTAAATCTTTAAAAAAATAAAATAGAGTAAAAAAAATAAATCTTTAAGTAAATAATACACCTTTTAAAAAAATCCTCAATGGAAACAACCCAAATGTCCAGCCATGATATAAAGAATACATTATAATGAAATGAAAATATGGGCCTCCTGGTGGCACAGGGGTAAAGTCTCAGCCTCTATAAAGCTATTGCCAGCTGCTGCAGCATGAGTTCGATCCCCAGCCAGGGAGCTTAGGAACAGCGGCTCTCTCCTGTCTCACCCGCCGCTCCCCTCAGCAGTGTTTCTGCCTGTTCTTCTCCCCACTCTCTCTGGTGAATCCTCTTACCCCCCCATCTCTGGCTTACACCTCAGTTCTTTTTTTTAAGATTATTTATGCATACAAGAGCTGGGGTACACGCCACAAGTATGAGGGTGGGATGAGAGGATTCACCAGTGACAGAGTGGGGAGCAGAACAGGCAGACTGAAATACACTGCTGAGGGGAGCAGTGGGTGAGACAGGAGAGTTCTACTGCACCATGTGGGTAGCTTTCCAGCAGGCGGGGATCAAACTTGTGCTGCAGAGGCTGTGGATAGCTTCACAGTGCTGTGCTTAACTCCTTGTGCCACCAGGAAAGTCCTACACCCCAGTTCTTGTATGCATAAATAAATCTTTAAAAAATGATTTTTATTTATGTATAAAATGAATAATGCATACAAGAACTGGGGTACAGGCCAGAGGTGTGGGGGGTGAGAGGATTCACCAGAGACAGAGCAGTCTGTCAATCCGTCAGTCTGTCTGTTCTGCTGGTGAATTCTGTGTCTCCGGTGAATCCTCTCAGCCCCCTGCATCTCTGGCTTACACCCCAGTTCTTGTATAAATCAATCAATCAATCAATCCTTATTTTTAAATGATTTTATTATTTATTTATACAAGAACCGGGGTGTAAAGAACCGGGGTACAGTCTGCCTGTTCTGCTTTCCACAAGGAAGGCCCAGTTTCACTGTTTTATTCCACATTCCGCTAAAGGTACACTTTATCCAAATGTACCTTTATGAGCCAGCTGCTGTCCAGTTTCATGTGTAAAGATCAGGTACTCCAAGGGCCTCGCCGGTGGCGCAGCGGTTGAGCGCTGGGTTGCGAAGCTGCCCGTGGCCTCTGCAGCGCCGGTTGGATCCCCGGCTGCTCCCCGGCCACCGGAGGAGGGTCCCACATGGCGCGCAAACCTCTCCTGCCGCCCGCTGCTCCCCTCAGCAGTGTACTTCGGTCCTTCTGCCTGCTCTGCTCCCCTCTCTGGCTCTGGTGAATTCTCTCACCCTCCCGCGCTTCTGACTGTACCCAGTGCATGTATAAATAAATAAATACATCTTTAAAAAAAAAAAAATCAGGTACTCCAAGATGGTGTGAACGACTGTCAGAGTGCGACTTCTTGTCATAGTGCTTATTTTTTGTATGGCTTTTCCAAGCAGGGATAGGCAGTATTCTCTCTCTCTCTTTTTTTAAAGATTTATTTATTTATTTATACAAGCACTGGGTACAGTCAGAAGCACGGGAGGGTGAGAGAATTCACCAGAGCCAGAACAGAACAGGCAGAATGACCAAAGTACACTGCTGAGGGGAGCAGCGGGCGCGGCAGGAGAGGTCTGTCGCTCCATGTGGTACCTTCGCCTGGCAGCCTGGGGGCCTGGGATCGAACCGGTTCTGCAGAAGCTGGGGGCAGCTTCGCAGCCCAGCGCTCAACCGCTGCGCCACCGGGGAGGCCTTTTTTTTTTAAAGGAAGCTAAAGATCCCAGTTGGATGTGACTTCTTAGGGTTAGGGAGCAGAGCTAGGATTTTTTTTTTTTAAATATTTATACAAGTGGGCCTCCCCGGTGGCGCAGCGGTTGAGCGCTGGGTTGAGAAGCTGCCCGCGGCCTCTGCAGCGCCGGTTGGATCCCCGGCTGCTCCCCGGCCACCGGAGGAGGGTCCCACATGGCGCGCAGACCTCTCCTGCCGCCCGCTGCTCCCCTCTGCAGTGTACTTCGGTCCTTCTGCCTGCTCTGCTCCCCTCTCTGGCTCTGGTGAATTCTCTCACCCTCCCGCACTTCTGACTGTACCCAGTGCACGTATAAACAAAACAAACAAACAAATAAATAAATAAATAAAACATGCCTTTATTAAAAAAAAAGTGTTTATACAAGAACTGGGGTACAGGTCAGAGGTGCGGGAGGGCGAGAGGATTCACCAGAGACAGAGTGGGGAACAGAACAGGTAGATTGACTGAAAATACACTGCTGAGGGGAGCAGCGGGTGTGACAGGAGAGGTATGCCGTGCCATGTGGGTATCTCCCCAGCCAGCCAGGATCGAACCTGCGCTGCAGAGGCTGTGGCCAGCTTCATAACGCTGCACTCAACCCACTGCACCACCAGGGAGGCCCCCTCTTCTTCTTCTTTTTTTTTTTTTTTAATTTTATTTATTTTGCGTAGAAGATCTGGGGCGTAGGCCAAAGGATTCACCAGAGACAGAGTATTCAGGGTGGTGAGAGGATTCACCAGAGACAGAGTGGGGACCAGAGTAGGCAGATTTACTGAAATACACTGCTAAGAGGAGCAGAGGGCGAGACAAGAGTGGTCTGCTATATCATTTATGGAATCACTCCAGGGCTGGGGATAGAGTTCAGGACAAAACAGTGATAATGCTGAGACTTGACGTTAACCTAGGCTACCAGGGAGGCCCCAGAATTCTCTTCTTGGCCACTATGATGTTCAGCTCCCACAGATATGTCTTTTTTTTTTTTTTTTTTTTTTATTTATTTACACAAGCACTGGGTACAGTCAGAAGCGCGGGAGGGTGAGAGAATTCACCAGAGCCAGAGCAGGGAGCAGAGCAGGCAGAAGGACCGAAGTACACTGCTGAGGGGAGCAGCGGGCGGCAGGAGAGGTCTGCACGCCATACGGGACCTTCCTCCGGTGGCCGGGGAGCAGCCGGGGATCGAACCGGCGCCGCAGAGGCTGCGGGCAGCTTTGCAACCCAGCGCTCAACCGCTGCACCACCGGGGAGGCCCTCCCACAGATATGTCTTGAGGTACGAGTTCAGTTCCAGCTCCAGTAGAGCCAAAGGATACTGCACTTGAACTTGTCCGGCTTCTTGCCACTGGACTTCAGAATCTTCGTGTTCAAGCTGGCATGGCCCTCTAGTTGAGCTGGGAAAACCTTTTCTTTTTTTTCAATTTTTGGGCTTCAAACAGACAAACTTCTGAAACAGACAACAGCTTATTATTTAAGGCTAATACTAAGGGTTGGTGATTTAAAAGCTTAGAAGTGAAACATAGTTCAAGTGTTTGTTACAATAAAATTTTAGTCTTGAGCCACTAACAGTCAATGCCATAAGTTCCAGTCTTCATGGGATCAGAATGAGTGACAGCGGACCTAGTGAGGCTGCTCCAGTTGCTAAAAATTTCTCTCTCAGATATTTGCTGAACATGGGAGGCTTTCATACCCTGAGAAAGCTTCACTGCAGTTGAAACTAGCTTATTCTGGGGAAAGATGCCTGATAGAACATTTTTAAACAAGGACCCTATAAACAACAAAATTAAAACACACACACACACACACACACAAAATGAACAAGGGCCCTATGAGTAGATTCATTTTAAAGCTTTGTAGGAATAACCCATTTATTGGCATATATATATATTTCAGGATTAAAAGCTCATCTCTTTTATTCCCTTCGTTTTCTTTTTTTAAAGATTTTTAAGATTCATTTATGTATAAAACAACTGGGGTACAGGCCAGAGGTGCCAGGGGGTGAGAGGATTCACCAGAGACAGAGTGGGGAGCAGAACAGTTGGATTGACTGAAATACACTGCTGAGATGAGCATGGGCGCTACAGGAGAGGCCTGCTGCGCCATATGGGTCACTGACCTAGCTGGGGATCGAACTCATGCTGTAGTGGCTGTGGATTGCTTCATAGTGCTGACGTTTAACCCCTTGCGCCACCAGGGAGGCCCCTTAAGATTTCTTTATGCATACAAGAATTGGGTTACAGGCCAGACATGTGGGGGGTGAGAGGATTCAGCAGAGACAGAGTGGGGAGCAGAACAGGCAGATCTACTAAAACACACTACTGAGGGTAGCACCAGGTGAGGCAGGAGAGGTCCGCTGCGCCATGTGAGTTAGCTCCCTGGCCAGGGATTGAGCTCTTGCTGCAGTGGCTGCCGATAGTTTCATAGAGCTGAGACTTAACCCCTTGCACCACCAGGGAGGCCCCTAAGATTAATTTTTATTTAGCCATACAACAACTGGGGTGTAGGCCAGAGGTGCAGGGGTTGAGAGGATTCACCAGAGACAGAGTGGGGAGCAGAACAGGTGGATCTACTGAAATACACTGCTGAGGGGAGCAGTGGGTGAGTCAGGAGAGGTCTCCTGCGCCATGTGGGTTGCTCCCTGGCCAGCTAGGGATCAAACTCGTGCTGCAGAGCCTGCTGACAGCTTCATAGGTTGCATTTCAGACTTAAACCCTTGCACCAGCAGGGAGGCCCCTGAGGATATACTTTTAAAGAAGATGGGTACAAGGACGCTAACATTGTACTGGAGGTCCCAGCCATAATGATTAAGCAAGAAAAAAATATGAAATGCATCCAGAAAAGAATGAAAACAATTTCTTTTTTTTAAAGATTTATTTATGCATACAAGAGGTCCTGAAAACAATTTCTGTTTACAGATGCCATAATCTTACATATAGGAAATCCTAAATAAAATCTATTCCATCACAAAGTCTATTCCAGCTAATTAGTTGAACAAATTTGTAGGATGTAAGATCACACAAAAACCAATAATCCAAAAATGAAAGTAATAATTCCATCTATAACAACATCAAAAGAAAATACTTAAAAAGGAGCCTCCTTGGTGGTGCAAGAGGTTAAGTCTCAGTACTATGAAGCTATCTGCAGCCACTGCAGCACAAGTTCGATTCCCATCCAGGGGGTGACACACATGGTATAGCAGACCTCTCCTGTCTCACCTGCTGCTCCTCTCAGCAGCGTATTTCAGTAGATCCGCCTGTTCTGCTCCCCACTGTCTCTGGTGAATCCTCTCACCACCCACCTGCACCTGTGGCCTGTACCCAGCTCTTGTATGCATAAATAAATCAATCTTAAAAAAAAAAAGTGAAAAGAAATCCATATTTATTACTAGGATGGCTTAATATTACACAGATGTTAATACTCTCTAAGCTCATCCATATGGTCAATATTATACCCATTAGAATACAAACTGATTTCTTCATAGAAATTGATAATACGGAAACCCAAGGGACCCAGAATAACCAAAACGGTTTTGAAAAAGATTGGCAAAGTTGGGTAACTCATACTTTATTTATTTATTTTTTGTGGGACCCTCGCCAGCGGCCGGGGAACGAACCAGCGCTGCAGAGGCCATGGGCAGCCTCATAGTCCAGCGCTCAACCGCTGCACCACGAGGGGAGGCCCCATACTTTTTAAAAAAAAGATTTATTTAGGCATACAAGAACTGGGATACAGGCCAGAGGAGTGGGGAGGTGAGAGGATTCACCAGAGACATAGTGGGGAACAGAACAGGAAGACTGACTGAAATACACTGCTGAGGGGAGTAGTGGGCGAGACAGGAAAGGTCTGCTGCGCCATGTGGATGGCTCCCTGGCTGGCCTGGGATCGAACTCGTGCTGCAGTGGCTGTGGGGAGCTTCACAGTGCTGTGTCTTAACCCCTTGTGCCACCAGGGAGGCCCCAAACTCACACTTCTGATTCCACCTCTTACCTGGCATAAGCTGCAGTGGTACTGGTATGGAATAGATTGACAGTCCAAAATAAACCCATGTAGCTATGGTCAATTGATTTTTGACAAGGGTACCAAGATCATTCAATAGGGGCAAGAAGAGTCTCTTCAACAAATGGTGCTGAGATAACTGATTATTTACATAGGATACAATAAAATTGAAATTTACCATATACCATATACAAGGATAAACTAAAAATGGATCACAGATCTAAAAAAAAAACTAAAACCATAAAACCCTTAGAAGAAAACAGGAGCAAATTATCATGACTTGGATTTACAAATGGGTTCTTACCTTTAACACCAAAAGTAAAAGCAACAAAAGAAAAATTTGGGGCCTCCCTGGTGGCCTAGGGGTTAAATCTCAGCACTATCCCAATGATGGCCCACTGTGATGGTTTGAGTTCCATCCTTGGCCAAGGAGCTAACCCACGTGGCACAAGCAGACTTCTTGTCTCGTTTCCTACTCCCCTCAGCAGTGTATTTCAGTAAATCCACCTGTTCTGCTCCCCACTCTGTCTCTGGTGAATCCTATTACTCCCCCCACCCCCATCTCTGGCCTATACCAGTTCTCCTGTAACTGGTGGCTGAAGCCAGAGACAGTTACAGGTGGTGCACCCTGGGGGTGCTGGTGAGGATAGACAGCCCCAGGAAAATGCGAACAACGTATCACATTTTGGGGTAGAGACTCTGATAAGAAATATAAGGGACTGCAGAGGCAGCCTCCAGCATTCAGCGTTCTGGATTCAGCGTTTGAGCATTAGGTGTTCGGGAGTCAGCGTTTGAACATTTGGTGTTCAGGATTTAGCGTGTGAGCATTCAGTGTTCGGGATTTAGCGTTTTTGGATCTTCAGCGATTCTGGGGTCAGGCCCCACCATGCTGATCTTCCAGAAGGCTGTTGTAGACTTCTGAAGAATGCGGGGAGGCTTCCAGCAGCCAACCTCAGAGAGGAAAATTTCGGAGGCTTTGCAGGTAGCCAAGTAACTGACACTGTTCCAGTTTGCTGCCGTAACAGCCTGGCAGGGAAGGCAAAGACCCAGAGCTGGGCACCTTGCTGAGGTGCGTGAGTATGGCCGTTTTGTGGGGTCATTAAGCTGCTGCAATTGCTGTTTTGAGTGTTTGTCTGGTGCTGTGGTGGGGCATCTTGGTAGCTCTGGGAGCATCTCCTGTTGTATCCTCTGGGTCTTCATGAGTTGGATCCTGGCCTATAGCCTGGCTGCTGCGTGCTTCAGGTCCACAGTGGCAGGAAGATGCCACCTTGTGAGTGTGGCCTATTGTTCAGTAGAGGAGCTCTGTGTCCTTAGTGGTGGGACGACACCATTTTTGGAATGTTTGTGTTTAGGACTTTAAAAGCGCTCGACACTGCTTTGGGTGAGGTAAACAGCCATTTTTGGCCTCAGTAACTCTTTGTTTTTCCCTGGTTTGTTAAATAAATCACATTATTGTTCTCTGAACCTGATTAGTCTTGCAATTGTGTGCACAAGTGGAAAGCTCAGACAGGGTGAAAAACTGACAGTGACCCATAAACTACTTGTGCAGTGTCCTTGGCCAATTTTAGTGCCCCTTGCTGCCCTGTATCACTCCTACACAAAACTAGAGTGTGAAGACAACTCACAGAGTGTGGGAAAATAATCACAAATCCAATACATGCCTAGTATCCAAAATGTACAAAGAACTCCTACAATTCAACAAGAGACAACCCAATTAAAAGACCAAACAATTTGAAAAGACATTTCTCTATCTCCAAAGATAAACAAATGGTGAATAGGCACATAATATCAGTATTTATTGGAAAAATGCAGGTAAAATCATGAGATACCACTTCATACCCACATGGATGTCTAGATTTGAAAAATGTGAATTAAGTATTGGTAAGATTGCTAAGTATTAGAACTCTTGTACATTGCTGATGGGAATGTAAAATAGTACAGTTGTGGTTAAAGAGTTTGGTGGTTCCTCAAAAATTTAAACACAGGGGCCTCCTGGTGGCGCAGGGGTTAAAGTCTCAGTGCTATCAAGCTACTGCCAGCCACTGTGGCATGAGTTCGATCTCCAGAGAGCTAAACCACAGTCAGCAGACTTTTCCTGTCTCGCCCCCTGCTCCCCTCAGCGGTGTATCTCAGTAGATCTGCCTATTCTGCTCCCCACTCTCTCTGCTGAATCCACTCATGCCCTGCACATTGGGCCTATACCCCAGTTCTTCTATGCACTGAAATAAAGTTAAAAATTTAAACACAGAATTACCATGACCCAACAACTCACTCTTAGGTAGTATCAAAAGAATTGAAAACAGGTACTCAAATATTTATTCAAGAATGTTGCTAATAGGATAATTCACAATAGCCAACAGGTGGAAACCAAATGTCCATTATTGGATGTGTGCTTTTCCACATCCATCTTTGCATTGAGCTTGCCAAGGTGGTTTCTGTAAAAACAAATGCTAAAAAGTTCTATGCTATTATGGTAGTTCTAAAATTCCATGAAAAATTAAAACTCTATACAGTCTAATCACTACTGGCCATACTTCTAGTAAGCAAGGACCACTTTCATCAGGTCTTCAGGCAGTGAAAGCCAATTTTAGTAATAATAATAACCACATACCCTTGAATGAGCCCTTTGCTCTTTACATGGTATTGTTTCCCCTTTAACAACTATTTCATAGAAATCACACAGACCCCATGATTATATAAACTTGAAATTAAGCTCTTACTCTTACAATTTTTTTTTTTTTGGCCTGGGAATAGCAACTTCTTTAAACCTGTCTTTAATAGGGATGATCCAGGGGGCCTTCCTGGTGGCCTAAGGGTTAAGTCTCAGCGCTATCATCACTATGGCCTCAGATTGGTTCCTGGCCAGGGAACTGACCCATATATGGTGCAGCAGACCTCTCCTGTTTTGCCTGCTTCTACCTTCAGCAGTGTATTTCAGTTAATCTGCCAGTCCTGCTCCCCATTCTGTCTCTGGTGAATCTTCTCGCCCACCTACACCTCTGGCCTACACTCCAGTTCTTGTATACAAAAGTAAATATAAAACAAAAATAACGGTGATCCATGGAAAGTTCAGGCCATTTGTATCTCACAGTCCTGTGTATGAATTTGGGTAATCCCACATCTTCCATAAGACCCTAACTAAAAGTAACTTAACCTCCTTCCCTCCTCAGTTTCCTCCCTACAATGGGAACTGATAAATATTAGTTCTCAATGAGGAAACTTGAAATTGTGACATCCTGTTTATGTAATCCAAGTAGTTACTCCCATTTTAGGGGATAAAGGCCTAGCTTAACCAAAATTTAGGAATAAATAATTCATGTCATTTCACAAGGGGTGGGAGGTGGAAAAGCCCTACTAATTATGGATTTAATGACTTTTTGTGTTATAATTTTTTTTTTCCATATAATTGGGGGGAGAGGATTCACCAGAGATACAATGGAAAGCAGAACAGGTGGATCTACTGAAATACACTGCTGAGGGGAGCAGTAGGCCAGACAGGAGAGGTCTGCTGCACCATGTGGGTTAGCTCCCTGGCCGGGGACTGAACTCAGGCCATACTGGTGACAGCCCTGAGACTTAATCCCCAGGCCACCAGGGAGGCCTTAAAAGAAAAAAAATTAGATTTTTGTTACCCTTTTTCAAGCTACTGATGTTCAACACCATCAACATTTTTCCCTTAAGAGAACAAGCTTTAAGGTGCATTCTCAAACTGTGACTAAGCCATATCTAAGTAGAACTGAGTAATGATGAGCAGAAATGATTCAGAGGCACCATTTTTTTTCTTTTGCTTATTGCGCATTTATTTGATTTTAGTTCTAGTATTGACTTTTTCATAAATATTCGTTTCACATCTCTAAGAAGACTCCTTGAGAGCAGTGCCCATATCTCCTTTGTATCATGGATTAGCACCTGGTACACAGTAGATGCTCATCATATACTTTAACGACCTTTTTCTAATTCCACAAGCAGTGCTTCCCAAAATATGACAGTCAAGTTTTAAAGGGATAACAGGCCCAGCAACATCATTTCAAACGGGAGGTTTCTTCTAATTCTTTTGATTATATGCTAGTATAAACGTTGCTCGCTACCCTTTTACACATGCTAGCTTTCCTTTCTCAGATTCAGAAACCTCCAAAGGAATAGTTATTTACCTAAAATGTTTATTTCATTATATATTTTTTTTTTACAGCTAGTGTCTGCCTATGGCAATATTTATTGGTTTTCCATTTATGAGAGTAACATCAAGTTTTCTTTTTAAATACATTTAAGTAGAAATAGTAACTCAATTTTAAAGGAAAAAAAAAAACCTGAAGTAATGCAGAGGTGGAAGACAGATGAGGTAAAAAATTATAAAGGTGATTCACTAAGGACTAAAAATTGGGAAACAAAGCCCTAGGCAGTTTCCTCATTCTTGAGGGGCAAGTGGGTGTGCTTCCAGTGGTGCAGGTTATCTCAGATGCATCAGGTCTCTGAGTTCACTGATGTGAGAAAGCTAGTATCACACGTTAACAAGAATCTGCTACATTTTGTGAGGATCACACACCATACAGTATGCTACAAAAACAGAAATCAAAAACTGAAGTCAAAGCAAATTCTTGAAACTTAAAAACAAAAAATCCTTTATAAAGCAAGATATGTTCTAGTACTGAGCTGCTCCCAGACCAAAAAAAAAAAAAAAAAAAAAAAAAAAAAAATTAAAAAAGGGGGGCAGAGGGCAGTTAGTTAGTGGCTGTATTTAACAAGCAAAGTATCATCAAAACAGAATTACCCAATTTTTATTATTCCAACTGCAGTGTAAAAAGATGTCACATTCATCACAGTTGCTTTGGGGAATGTACAACTTCTGCAGCCTTCAAACCAAGGCAGAAAGCCACACAACTCTGTAAGACAAGCCCATGAGGTACACTTTCATAAAGGAAAAGGCTGGGTCTCTTTACTAAAATAAGTTTTCAGTATATTCCAGTAACACACACCCTAGTACTGCTTACAAACCAAAGAAGAGCAATACATTATATAACACACCCCTTAAAATGGAGAAGAGGCTCATTCTGTGGGAATAACATCTTTGGACTCTGCATCCATTTGTTCCACTTCAGCATCCATGGCAGCTTGTGGAGCAGCATTGACTATTACAGTGCTTTCTGCCTCTGCTGTCAGGGTTTCCACTTCACATCCAACTTCAGCAGATTCACCTTCAATCTTGGCAGCTTGACTTTCAGCTTGGGCTACTTCACCTCCTGCCTTACCTCCTTCCTCTGCTTCAGCGTTCCCCTTCTCAGATGCCACTTCACAGGGCGTCTCTGCTTCCAGCAGCTGTTCAGGGTGGGGACCACCAGTGGCTTCCACTGTGTCCATGGTGTCTTCCCCTTTAGTCGGTGCTTCACTATTCTCTGGAATGGGCGCTCCTTCCCCATCTACTGCTCTCACTGCTGCTGTAATCACCTCAGCTAAAACTTCTGCAGCCACCTCCTCAGGCGTCTCTTCTTTATCATCACCTCCTAAATTCTCATCTCCTTCAATTTCTGGGTCAACGGCTTCGCTGGTGAAAGGGTCTTCGCCCTGATCAAATAGGAAACACAGGTAAGTGCAGTCTAAAAACTGTCCAAAGAGAAGGTCGCCCAAGTTGCTGGGAATGACAGTCAACAAGAGAAATTTAATTAAATAACACCAGGTTAGTTAACACTACAGATCTTTTTTTCTTTAAAGATTTATTTATGTATACAAAGACTGGGGTGTGGCCTCCCTGGTGGTGCAAGGGGTTAAGACGTAACCTATGAAGCTATCCGTAGCCACTGCACCATGAGTTTGATCCCTGGCCAGGGAGGTGACCCACATGGCGCAGCAGACCGCTCTTGACTCGCCCGCAGCTGTATTTCAGTCAATCTACCTGTTCTACTTCCTGCTCTGTCTCTGGTGAATTCTCACTCCCCACACATCTGGACTGTACCCCAGTTCTTGTATGCATAAATAAATCTTTAGAAAAAAAAAATTGGGGTGTAGGTTGCGTCTTAACCTCTTGCGCCACCAGGGAGGCCCACTTAACTTTTTTAAAGTAGAGTGTTTTAGGGCCTCCCGTGGTGGCGCTGGGTTGTGAGGCTGCCTGCAGCCTCTGCAGCGCTGGTTTGGTCCCCAGCCGCAGGGGAGGGTCCCACAAAAAAAAAAAAAAAAAAAAAAAAAAAAGGTAGAGTGTTTTAGCATATGAGAAGTTTGGCTTCTGGGAGTCAGACTTGGGTTTGAATCCTCATTGATACTTTAATAGCTCTGTGACTGTTTTTTTTTTTTTTTTTTATTTTTTTTTTTTTAAGATTTTATTTATTTATTTATTTATTTATTTATTTATACAAGCACTGGGTACAGTCAGAAGTGCGGGAGGGTGAGAGAATTCACCAGAGCCAGAGCGGGGAGCAGAGCAGGCAGAAGGACCGAAGTACACTGCTGAGGGGAGCAGCGGGCGGCAGGAGAGGTCTGCGCGCCATGTGGGACCCTCCTCCGGTGGCCGGGGAGCAGCTGGGGATCGAACCGGCACTGTAGAGGCTGCGGGCAGCTTCGCAACCCAGCGCTCAACCGCTGTGCCACCGGGGAGGCCCTGTGACAGTTTTTTTTAAAGATTTATTTATTTATGCATATAAGAACTGCGGTACAGGCCAGAGGTAGAGGGGATGAAGATTCACCAGAGTGGGGAAAAAAACAGGCAGACAGACTGACTGAAATACACTGCTTTGCACTTGAGGGATTGCACTTGAGCTGCAATAGCTGCCAATTAGCTTCATAGTGCTGAGACTTTCACCCCTTGTACCACCAGGGAGCCCCTTAACAGGTAAGTTTTAGAAACTAGAGTATAGACCTGACTCCAGAAAATGTTAAGTCACAAAAATAAAACACCAAATCAGTCACAATTCTTAAACTGGTAATTTAGATTACCAATGCTTTCAGTGGATAGAACGAATTGTTAACTACCCAATAACTGAGGAGTGGTCAGATAGGTCTGAGTCACGGTAGGTTAGAGGCTAATGACCAGTTCCAAACTTGAGGTGTTTAGCAAAATGGGCTTCCCAAGGAGGAATATTCTGACCAGATTTCTCTCCAAGGCACCTTCTAAGTAATTTTTTTAAAAAAAGATTTATTTGTGCATACAAGAACTGGGGTACAGGCCAGAGGTATGGGGGTGTGTGTGTGAGAGGATTCACCAGAGACAGAGTGGCGAGGAGAACAGGCAGATTTACTGAAATACACTGCTGAGGGGAGCAGTGGGCGAGTCAGGAGAGGTTTGTTGTGCCATGGGGGTATAGTAGCTACCTGGATCAGCTGGGGATCAAAGTTGTGCTGCAGAGGCTGCGGATAGCTTCATAGGTTGCATCTTAACCCCTTGCGCCACCAGGTAGGCCCCTTCTAAGTAATTTTTTATTACTCTGCTCCTGTCACTAAGGCTCACTGGTCTTAACACCTCTGGCTCTTTCCTTGTTCTTCCATCTCACTGTTGATCGGCTCTGCCAGTGAAATCTCTTTACCTTCTTTGAGTAAGTATTTACCTTTCATTTAAAAAAAAAAAAAAAAAAAAAGGGCCTCCCCGGTGGCACAACGGTTGAGCACTGGGTTGCAAAGCTGCCTGAGGCCTCCGCGGCGCCAGTTCAATCCCTGGCTACTCCCCGGCCACCGGAGGAGGGTCCCGCATGGCGCGCAGACCTCTCCTGCCGCCCGCTGCTCCCCTCAGCGGTGTGCTTCGGTCCTTCTGCCTGCTCTGCTCCCAGCTCTGGCTCTGGTGAATTCTCTCACCCTCCCGCGCTTCTGACTGTACCCAGTGCTTGTATAAATAAATCTTTTAAAAAAATAAAAAATAAAAAAACAAAAAACATCTCAGGTCTCCCTCGGGGTTAACTCTCAGGGCTAACACTGTGAAGGCCCACCAATGTGGCCCAAGTTCAATCCCCGCCAAGGAGCCCACATGGCACAGTAGAGCTCTCCTCGTTTACCCGCTGTTCCCCTTAGCAGTGTTTTTCAGTAGATCCACCTGTTCTGTTCCCCACTCTGTCTCTGGTGAATCCTCTCAACACCTCTGTACTTCTGGCAAACCCCAGTTCTTCTATGAAAATATGTATCTCACCATCATTTATTCAATATTTTATGAAAAATCAAGGTTCCTCATAATGTTGGCACCACTGCACAGATTAATTGAACAGTACCATATCCTGGAGTTCCCAGGCAAGGAGTCTCAGGAAATCAGCAGTTGTGAATTCCCAAGCCTGATATATTTCAATATTCCTGATTTCTTCAAAATACTAGAAATGTACAATTCACCTACCTTTTCTTTTTTTTAAAAAAAGATTTATTTATACAAGCACTGGGGTATAGGCCAGATGCGTGGGAGGGTGGGAGGATCCACCAGAGACAGAGCGGGGAACAGAACAGGCAGACTGATGAAATACACTGCTGAGGGGAGCAGAGGGCACGACAGGAGAGGTGTGCCGCATCATGTGGGACCCTTGACGGCTGGTCAGGATTGAACCAGCGCTGCAGAGGCTGCAGACAGCTTCACAGCGCGGCGCGCAACTGCCTGCACCACCAGGGGAGGCCCTGATTCACCTACTATTTCAAAAGGTTTTCCCAGCCATTGGACTTTTTTTCCCCCAAATGATTTTATTTATTTATTTATTTATATATTTATTTACCTATGCATATAAGAACTGGAGTGCAAGCTAGAGGTGCAGGGGTGGGGTGGGGAGAGGATTCACCAGACACAGCAGGGAGCAGAACAGGCGGATCTACTGAAATACACTGTTAAGGGGAGCAATGGGCGAGATAGGAGAGGTCTGCTGTGCTGTATGGGTCACGTCCCTGGCCGGGGATAGAACTAATGCCACAGTGGCTGGGGATAGCTTGAGCGCTTGCTCTCTGAAACTTTAACACTTGCACCAACAGGGAGACCCCCACCACTGGACTTCTAAACACAAACCTTGAGGTATTTTTCCAGCATCTTCACAATATGTCTGTTGTTCAAAACACTCTTCGCCACATGGAGGCTTGTTTTCTTGAACTGTTCAGCAGCCAACTGTAGGGGGAACCAAACAGGCTTTTATAAATGGCACACACAGAGACTTAAGAGGCCAAATAACCAGGCTACATAAGCTGCCTTGAATCAGCCCTTTGCAGCAAATGTCTAACATATTTTTTTTTTTTAAAAAAGATTTTTTTAATGCATACAAGAACTGGGGTACAGGCCAGAGCTGTGGAGGGTAAGAGGATTCACCAGCGCCACAGCAGGGAGCAGAACAGGCAGACTGACTGAAATAAACTGCTGAGGGGAGCAGTGGGCGAGTCAGGAGAGGTCTGCCGTGCCATATGGGTATCTCCCTGGCTGGGGAATGAACCCGTGCTGCAGAGGCTATGGACAGCTTCATAACGTGGCGCTCAATGCACTGCGTCACCAGGGAGGCCCTGTCTAACATCTTTCTTGGCTAGACTCCAAGAATGAGAAGGAGAAGGCACTGCAAAGATACTGAAACCAAGTCTGTGAAACAGAAAAGTTTGATTATCTGAAAAGATAAAAGAAAGCATAGACACCACTAATGCCTTGGTCCCACTACAGAGCAACAATGAAACAAGACCGTATACAGATGAAAAGCTATGTGAATTCAGTGAGGGTAAAGGGCAATTTTTTTCCAGTTTTAGTTGTCATAGTGATTTTATAATAAGTTCAACAATGAATGTATGAAATGCTCCATCTATTTTGGTTGAAAAGTTCATGCAACAATTCTTTTTTTGTTGTGTGCTTCTTGGCTTATCTTGAATAATTCTGGGAAATGGGCAGGCAGATAGTGATATCCCCACTTACTAGCTGGGTAAACAAAGGACAGAGATGCTAACCAGCAGTTAGCAAACTACAGTCTGTGAGCAAAATATAGCCACATTCACTCCTTCACTTATTGTTTGTGGCTGCTTTTGCCCATCAGTGGCAGACCTGTGCTCTGGACGGAGACCCTATGGCCTGAAAAACTGAAAATATTTATGATTTGAACCTTTAAAAATAGGCCAATGCTGTGATCTAAATATTCAGCCACAGGCCCTATCAGTTAGTAAGGACCAAACCAAGGCTCGTAACCCTAGCTGCATCAAACCACTTTGAAATGATCTTCAGCTCAGCTTAAAAGCAATTTAGTTTTTCAGCAACTAGGGAATTTACCTGTGTGGTCTGCAGGGAACATTCTTAAACTAGAGAATTTCAGCTGCCATATTTAATCAATACAGCTACACATTTTAATAAAAATGGAGATGCATCTTACAACCAAATGATGACCTGACAGATTTGACAGGGTATGGCAAGAATCCCTAAAGATGTCACCATTGCCCATATGACTTAGAAGTTTCTGAACTCCACCTGCTTGCAGCCAAGGAATGGTCACCCCACCCCAAGTTAAGGGGGACTCACACGACGGTTGTGATTGTGGTCAACAGAGTGTAGGTGCCGTTGGAGGAGCTGGGGCTGTGCAGGAATCAGCATGTCACAAGCCAGGCAGTGAGCAGCCTCTATCTTCTTGAAGAAGTGCTCCTGGCCAATCCCTGTTGGTAACATTGAAGTCTTGTGCAATTTGGGACAGCACACAAGTGATGCTAACCTCTTACTCCCCAACAAAGCCACATTTTCTCCCTCCAGTCCTCTCTAAGGACTCAAGACAGAATCTGAGACAAGCATAAGCTGCTTTCACTGCAGAATTTATTCACGTATATAAGAACTGGGGTACAGGCCAGACGTGCGGAAAAGGTGAGAGGATTCACCAGAGACAACGTGGGAAACAAAACAGGCAGACCGACTGAAATACACTGCATTGCTGAGGGGAGCAGTGGGCAAGACTGGAGAGGTTTGCGGCGCCATGTTGGTTTCTCCCCAGCTGGCTGGGATTGAACCCATGCTGCAGAGGCTGTGAACAGCTTCATAGCGCTGCGTTCAACTGCCTGTGCCACCAGGGAGGCCCTAAACCTGGGAATTTTATACTTCAATTTTTCTCATCCTTCTGGCTCTTTCTCTTTATACCACAGAGGGAAAAACATCAGTGTTTTAACATCGCTCCTATACACTGCCCATAAAGTTAGGATTTATAATGGGCCAAAATGAAGAATGGGCTTCTTTCTATTGCTAAATGCCTATCCCATGGTTCTTCACAGCACATTCTCAGCAACCCTGTGCTGGATTTACCCTGAATCATGTACTTTAGTATCACCTGGGGCTGAACACACACTCTAAGATTAAAACTCACCTTTGAAAGGATCTGATTTGGGTTTCATGCTTTCCTTCTCCATCAATTCCTGACGCCGTTTCTCAATTTTCTTATTCCTGTTTACAATGTATTCCTAGAAGATTTGGGAGATGGCACCAAATGAAACAGAAGGTGGCATGTGTGCTTATTTCTCAACTGTACCAGTGGCAGCTCACCAAGGGGGGCTGCCAGCATTTCTGCAGACAGCCTTGTCTCAGCTTTCCCAAGGTTGGGAAGACAGTATCATAGCCACTGAGCTGGGCTGAACCAGTGGGAACTATGATGGCTGGAGATCTCAATAGTCCCACTCATTTGGGGACTTGTACACTATTATTCTGGAGAAGGGAGCTCTGACCAAGTTTAGGTCTTTCATTTTCCCTCCCCTTCCCTTCTCTGTGAGGGATTTGGACTGTGACAGAGGCAAATGTGTTACCTGGAGGAACTCCACGGTCTTATCAGGCAATTTTGTACTTATAAACCTTAGTGTCTCTTTGTGAAATTTACTTTGCAGATGCTTCTGAATTTCTTCATCTTCAAAACTACGAAACTTGCACACAGAACAGGCAAACTGAATCCTAGAAAAGGGAGATAAAAAGAAGAGCAGATGCCAACTCATCTGTTACTTAATTTCTGATGGAGCTGAAATGCAAACTGGAAAGCAATTTTGAACCAAGACTTCTGACTTGTCCAAAGTACCAGTTACCCCAGTTTTCCAGAATGGAAATACAATTTAGCAAATATTTCAGGAAAGTGATTCACATAGCAACTGACTACTCTACCAGTCTCTTTGGCCCAAAGGCTACTATGCTCCCAGTCAACTGCTCAGAGGTCTAATATCTAACACCACAGCTTTTTTTTTTTCTTCCCAGTTACTTGGATGATGTAAGACAACCTCTCACTCTTTTTAAAGGATTTTTATTTATTTATGCATATAAGAACTGGGGTGTAGGCCAGAGGTGGGGGGCGGGGTAGTGGGGGTGAGAGGATTCACCAGAGACAGAATGGGGAGCAGAACAGGCGGATCGACTGACACACACTGCTGAAGGGCACAGCAGGCGAGACAGGAGAGGTCTGCTGCACCATGTGGATCACCTCCCTGGCTAAGGATCAAACTCATGCCGTAGTGGCTGGCGATAGCTTGACAGCACTGAGACTTTAACCCCTGCACCACCAGGGCCCCTAAGACAACCTCATTTTATATGAAAGATGAATTTTCAAAGATCTGGCACAATACAAAATTCGGTCTCCCACAAGACTCTACAGAAAGACAACTCATATCAAAATCTTGAGTTAAAAACCAAGGTTTCTCTGTCATGTGCTTTCATAGTCTCACCAAATGCAATCACGCTTTAAGGTGAGGGAACAGTAAACTACAGACCCCTAACTCCCATACTCCCAGTGGGGCAATGACTGATTCTCTTGGCTCTTCCCAGTGATCCCTCAGAGGCAAGGGTGCAGGACCTGTGGCACCCAGGAGTCCTCTGATGTCTTAGTTTCTGCCAGCATCAGATACTTGGCTTCTGATCTCTGGATAAGCACCTCCACAAAATACTTTTGCATTTATAGATGCTCCCAGAGGTGCAAAGAGGAAACTTTCACAGGCCCTATATGCAAGACTTCAGGAAGCTACTAGAGAATATGGGGTTCTTGCTTTCCTGCTGTTATCTTTGCCTCCCCCTGTGACAATTTCTCCAAGTCTCTGTGAAGATTCTCAGTCACTAGTGTGTTGTCTAAAATAAGTTTTCTTAAATGTCAGCTCAGTTCCCATGTGGTATGAAAATAGACCTGATCATTTTTTTGTTTTTAAGTAGATCAAGGAATTTCTGTAGTAGCTCCAAGCTTCTATTTTTCAGTACCTGGCTTCAAGCCTCTACTGTTAACTTTTTTGCTAAGCATTTCTTTGCACAGGAAAACCATCACTCCACCTGGGCTTAAGTTTAAGGGTAAAGATTCCCCCTCAAATCAGAAAGAACCTGTGCAGAGAAGCAGTTCTGTGTGGTCAAGGTCTTAACAACCATGTGCTCACATGGTCACAAGTGGTTTACATTTCCAGTCAGAAGCCACTTAATCAGGGAGAAAAGTGAATGGTGTGGTCCCATCACTCTTTGGGATTTCCATCTTTGTATTTTGCTTTTCTGCTTAAAGGTGGATCTTGATTGCAAAACAACCTATATATCTATTATTACTGTCAAATTCCAGAGGCTGTTCAGATTTAAACAACAACAAAAAAACCTGAAATACATTCCATTGTTGGCTGTGACAGAGAAAAGCCAGGGGACAGAGGACTCCCAACATGTTTGCTGGAGGGCAAGAGAGCCCCCTGCTGGGCACATGAGGGAGACAGAGACCCATCAGGGAGGCTTTGATTTCAGATGTGTTTCCCAAATTTCCATCTCCCAATATCTGGATTAGATTTGGAAAATCCAAACAGACCCCTGGAGCCAGATCAATGCTCCCTCTTCTCCTATGTTTAGGAGTGAGGATGGAGATGCTCAGGATAGTCCTAGTCAGCTTATACCCCACCTCGTCTGCCTACTTACCTGTCAGCTGCTCGGTCTCTCATCCTGTCTCTCCTCCTCTGCTTTTCTCTTCTCTTTTTCACTTCATCATCCTCATCATCTTTCTCTCCTACAACAGAGAAGTAGTCCCTTCCAGATTGAGTTGCCCGCAGAGAAGCTGAGTGCTGGGGCCTTGATGGGAGGGCCAATGCTTGCTACTGTATCCCATGCCCTGCTGCTGCTTCCATGCACAGCAGGCTCTGGGACACCCTGAGGCACCAAGGGTTTGTCAAAGACTCCCAGCAAGGACAGGTATTTGATGAGAACCCTTGGGAGTTCCCAGGGGAGTCACCTTTCACATCCCCCCCATGGCGGGTAATGCCTGGATGGGCCAGGGACACAGAGCCCACCCATCCCGCTCACATGCTGCCCACCTGCTCGCTCTCTCTCTCCCTATCCTGCCTTTCCAATCCTGCCCTACCATTGGGTCTTTTCCCAATGTCATGTAATGAGATTTAAAAAGGGAATTCTCCCCAGGTAGAGGTAGCAGCTGGGAGGTCTAGGAACAAAGCAAGCTGCTCTTCCACCCTCCGTCCCACCTCTAGGTGGACCTAACAACTGTCCCGTCAGCTCCTCTGAACTAGGGCCTCAGCAGGTCTGACAGTCCTTGCTGGCCCGAACTCTTATCATCCACTCACAAAAAGCCACATCAATCTAGGGCTTTCCCAGGGCTACATGGGAAGCAACCCTAGAAACAAAAATAGGTAGAGACCAATTGGTCCTCCGTCTGCCCCCTGGGGCCAGTGCAGGAGCTCTTTTGAGAGCTGTACAGTCTGGTGCCCCAGTGTGAGGCCAGGTAAGGTCACCGCAGCTCAAGGCCAGGGCCAGACACTGAAAAAAAGTTGGATAAGCATCTGAACTGTAACCCCTACCCCTGATGCCAGTCACGAGACTGTCCCACGAAGATGGCGACCGGCGTGCGCTGCTCAGAAGCCTCTCAAAAGGGCGTGTGGGATTTTTGGCAAGAGGTCACTGCCTGAAACTATTACTGCTGTTTAATAGCAAAGTCATCCCGGGTAGGAAGCAGGACCTGCACGCAATAAACATGTCACCTTTGCTTTAGCATTCACCCCACTGCAAAGATGCTAAATGCTGTGTGGTCTCATGCTATAGAAATAACTGCTTCAATAAACAGGGTGGGAGGACCTTGGTGAGTCAGTTAAATCTGGTAGTATTATAAGAGGAACTTCTAACATAGGAACTTCAGAATGTGGGGAAGTAGAGCCACACAGAAGCTGGTTGATTCTTTGGGAAAACCAGCTGTAAACAAACCCATGGGAACAGGAATGGAAAGTGGCTTCTGGGTGAGTTCAAGGTCACCACCTCAGGATGCTTCTTCATGTCCCTCTAAGGGGTATAACCTGGGTTTGCTCTTGCTATTTACTTTGGACTCTTAGGTGTCCTGCAATGGAACTAGGAGATCTACTGAGCAAGAACAGCCTTTGATCCTGAGGATCTGGACTTGGGTGCAGCAAACAGGTATACCCCACCTATTCCCAACTCAGGCAGTTGTTCACACTCTGACCAATGCAATGACGTGCTGTTTCTGGGTTGGCAACTGAAGAACTACGGACATAATGAAGCACAAGAGAAAGCAGTATGGACCCTGCATTGGCCAAAGGGATGCAGGAAACATGGACTGGGGACAGGGGCACCTTTTCTCTTAATGTTTCTGAGAACCCTTTCCTACCACTTTGAGATGTCATAGACATCCAGAAGTCAGCCTGCACAAAGTGAGGCTAACATCCATCTTCAGCAAGTACTGTTCCAGACAGTCAAGCAAAGTCTGTGGTGACACCATGGCCAAGGTGTAGCCTGCTGGCATGGCCCCTCCAAACAGGCCCTAGGTTTGCCCAGAAGTCCAGCCTGGCTGGGTGCTCAGTACTGAGTGCAGGGCTCAAAAGGACAGTGAGTGATGCCTACCTCTCTGTCTCACAGAGTCGCAGAATTCATCCTCCTGAAAAAGGGCACACACAAAGTCAGACATTAGGTAGTTTCCAGAACACTCTACAAGCAGTCCAGCTCCCTGCTAACATCTGGTGGTCACTGTGCCATGAGTAAACAGTCACAACATGTAGGAACTGTTTTGTTTTCCAAAATTCTGTGATAACCACGAACTTGCTTTTTTATTAATCACTGACTCCCAGATTGTCTAGGTCCTACTCGAGACTTGGATCAGAATTTCAGGGGGTAGCAGAGGCTTGCTAGCCTTAAGTATCATCTCCTGTGACTGGTTTTAAGGACTGAATGACACAGACTCAGCTCAGCAACAGCACAAAACTATGGCAAACGAGTCGACAATGCATATAAGAAAGCCCCAACCTACATGGCCACTGCATTTCCCTTATGTGTCGCTGGATGCATCACTATAAGGACATAGGACTGGCTCTAAGAAAGGCTTGGAATTTTTTTCAGGAAAGGAAGGATTATTGCAGGTGAGAAATTACACAAACCTATTTATTAAAATCACTCAAGAGGTAGAGTTGAGTCTACCACAGCAGTTATTCCTGCCTCTTTTTAATGACCCTGCCTCTTTTTAATGATATCCCCCATTAGAGACAAAGGGCCAATAAAGATCGACTTACACCCCTGAATTCTTCATCTCCTGAACGGAAGTCGCCAGCTCCATCATCTACCAGACAAAAAGGAATAGGAAAGTCAGTCCTTCAGCAGTTGGCCCATTCCACTTCCACCTTCCCAGGCTCACTGTCCAGATGGACTGTGCTTGTCCTAACTACAGCAGAACTCAGGTGCCTCACCCCACCCTTAAGTTCCCATGAGTCCAATGCACTGACGGGGCAGGCAAAGCAGAGTAGAGCATGCAACGGACTCATTTTCAGCCTACTGGCACCCAGAGCATTACCGTTTTCAGAAAAATCTCCTTCGCTGTCAGCCCGGGCCTGTTTGGTGTCTGGTTCATCATAAATCTGCATCTGCTTCCGTTTCCTGCCCATTCCATCTGGGCCGAAGCGGTCAAACCCTCTTCTCCTGGGCTACAGACACAAGAATATCCCAATGTATGGCTTACCCAGACCATTAAGAAAACCCAGAAAAATGTAGAATGGAGAGATTGTAATATCAGAAAACAAAGGCAAAAAAAGTCTTTCGAAAGCAAAGAAAACACAGCGAAAACTTAAAAAAGCCAAAACATTATGCTGAAAGAAGTCAGACAAAAAAGTCAATGTGTTGTATGACTACATTCATACAAGATGTCTAAGAGATGCAAACCCACAGACAGAAAAAAACAGACAAGTGACTACCAGGGGCTGGGAGTGACTGTTAAAGGTAGGTTTCTTTCTGAATTGATAGAAATATTCTGAAATCAAAAGATGGTGAAAGTGGCACAACCTGGTACATTTTTTACTAGAAGTTGAACTGTATGTTTAAAAATGGGTGTTGAATGCACATAATTTTATCTCAATGAAGTTGCTTTAGTGCTCGCTTCGGCAGCACATATACTAAAAAAAAAAAAAAAAAAAAAAGGGCAGAGAATGAAGATTAGAACTTTTTAAGGGCTTACCCGATCCCTCATCCGGGCCTGTGACCGGCCACATCCATAGGGCACAGAGTTGTCATAACCACCCGTACTCTGCATGCCCATCAGGCCAAAATCCGGGGCCATGGACTGGGAGAAGAGGGAAGGTGGAGGTCTGCTAGGGGAGGGTCCTCCCAGGCCCCGTCCACCTACATAGTTCATCTCAGTCCAGGGAGCAGACAGGGGCTCAGAGGAGGCCACTGGTGGCATGAAGGGATCACCGCGCATGAAGGTGCCAGGGTTGCTCCGATCCTGAAAGCGGCCCTGGCCCTGGCCCCGGCCTCTAATAAAGCCATCAAGGGAACCCCGCTCTCGGGTTGCATCCCGGCAGTCGCTGTACTGACCACCAAAGCCACCATTTCGGTCAGGCCCCATGTCGAAGTCATAATCATAGTTGTAGCTGGGGCGGTAGGGATTGTGTTCAGGCAGGCAAGGCCTGGAGTCGTAGGAGTCGTAGGACTGGAATCGGAAAGAGCTGCAAGGAAAGCACAAGCCATCACTGTACTCCCTGGGCAAGCTGCAGGGCCTCTTGTAAAGTGACTTCCTTGCATTCAGAAAAGCAACCCACACATCCCTCCCAAATACTCAGAGGGCAATACTCCCCTTGAAAGAGTGGCAAATGAAGGAAACAGGAGCCATTGGCTATGAGAATGTGCAGGGTCTTTTAGGCACTTAAGGTAGAAATAAGAGTCTGGAGAATTTAACAGTCATGCCTCCAGTTCTACCACTCGGGAAGCCAGCTAGTCTTGCTAAAATACCTTTGTCTTAACTACCACCCTGCACATCTACTCTTTACAGAAGGGAGTCAAGGGAGAGCCCGCCCTCGAAAAGCAGGTGCCCACATTCTGCACAAAGCTGGGGGTACACATCACTGGGGAAGGGGATGGGTCCATAATCACCTCTCCCGGTCCTGCATGCCCTCCCCACCGCTGCTGCTCCCGCCCCTGCCTCCTTCCTTGGACATCATGTCCAATCGCTGGTTGATCTTGGCAATGAGGGAGTCGGAATTGTCGGTGCAGGACTCTGGGCCATAAGAAGTCATGTGCAAGCCAGGGCCCCCAGCTGCCAAGCCATCACTGGCCTTGGTGACCTCCCAGGAGGCTGGGCCATAGCTATAGGTTGCTCCTGAGCTGACGCTGGTGTTCTGGGCACTGTAATAATTATAGTTTTCATAACCTGCCAGAGAGAGAAACAGCAAAATCAGACTTCAGCAACCATAAGGCTGGTCCATGGTAGACTTGCCTAGGGAGGAGCACCCAACGTACAGAGAAGAGGGATCAAGTACTGCAGGCATCACGCCACACTGTGCAGGGGAGGCAGTGAGGAGTTGTGTAGGGGCATGGGCTCAAATCTAAGTGGTACGCTTTCTATACCAGGCTGCCATATTGTCTGATTGATTTGGTGTTTGTTATTTCTGGCACAGAGCTCCTAAAATTCTTGGAATTTCCTAAGTGATAGGATTGATAAAAGTTTTTTTTTTTTTTTAAATAAAAGGACATTTGAAGCACCTTAGGATGGGGGCTGAAACTTTCGGTCTCACCTGTGAAACCTCCAGAAAGGGGAGAAGGCTGAAGGTGCGATCAATCACCAATGGTCTACTAGTTAACCATGCCTATGTAATGAAGCTTCCATGAAAACTCAAAAGGACAGATTTATGAAGGTTTTAGGGATTGATGACCATATGGAGGTTCAGGGAGATTAGGGTGCTGAGAGGGGGCATGGAAACTCCGCACTCTTTCCCAATACCTTGCCCTGTGCACTGCTTCCATCTGGCTGTTCTTGAATCACAGCTTTTAAAAATACACCAGTAATTTTCTAGATAAAATATTTCTGAGTTCTGAGTTGTCCTAGCAAAACAATCAAACACAAGGAGGGTTTATGGGAACTATCAATCTACAGCCAATTGTCAGAAACACAGATAATAATGTGAGACTGCATCTGTCATCTGAAAAGGGGTGACAGAGCAGGACAATCTTGTAGGACTGAGCCCTCAATCTGTGGGATCTGATGCAATCTTCAGTACATAGTGTCAGACTTTAAATGAATTGCAGGATACCAGCTGGCATTTGAGAACTGCCTATTGGATGTGTGGAGAACCTCTCCCAATTACAACTGAAATTGAATCTCAGAATCCAAAAGATGGACTCTAAGGCCAACTCCCTGTTCAGAAACTAGAAGTGGCTGACCACAGAGGAGCAGTTGGGGCTGTTGTCAGACCCACTAAATTGCTGCTTCTAGAACACAACCACAACCCTTGGCCTCAAGCTAGTTGCCCATAAGGGTGGCCCCCAACTTCCCAAGCAACCAGGTTAACTTGCTGAGCTTCCAGGAGTGCTGTGAGCAAGGCTAGGTATGGGAGACGGAGGGTGGCAGTGTGTGTGTATGTGTGTGTGTGTTGGGGGGAGGGGGGATTCCCTGCATCCCAGGACCTCTGGGTGACTGATCAGAAGTCTACCCATCCAACCAGTAGCCCCTAAAAGGACCTACCTTGCCAGCTGGCCACACCAGTTCCATATGTACCTTAGAGGAAACAAAATACACAAGACCTTTGCTTGCAGATTGAAGATACCCAAGAGTATCTTTCAACCTGCCTGAATGCCGAAGGATAGTCCTCACTTCACCGTTCACAGGGTCCGAACTGCAGGTAGCTGTGGCAGTTCTTAGGGAGGCACCCTGCTTGTCCATTAGCTGTAGAACTCACTTCCTACAGAGCCATGAGCTGAGAGTAATGAGGGCTTCTCTCATGGACAAGTCCCATTTCTTCCACTAGGACAACAGAATGGAAGCTTGTCCAGTATGGGCTACCAGGCCAGTTTTGTGGCTGAGTCCTTCTAGAGTCAGTTCTCACCAGAAGGTAGGGCTACAGCACCGCCACCAAAATAGAGAATGCGCTGGTAGAAAAATCATGTCCCCAGCTTAACAGAGCAAAAGGACATTATATGATATGGAAGGCTTTCTCTTAGGAAATTCAGGGATGGCTGAAATGACTGCCCCAAACAATGTTGGGCAAGTCCCAAGCTCAGAAATCAATAGGTCATGTCCCATCCCTTGAATAGATGCTACCTAAAAAACCAAAAAACGCTGTCATCAAAAAGCACATTCTGGGTCCTCCCGGTGGTGCAGGCGGTTGAGCACAGCGCTGTGAAGCTGTCTGCAGCCTCTGCAGTGCAACTTCGATCCCGGCTGGCCAGGGAGATTCCCACATGGCGCGGCAGACCTCTCCTGTCTCGCTCACTGCTCCCCTCAGCAGTGTATTTCAGTTGTCTGCCTGTTCTGTTCCCCACTCTGTCTCTGGTGAATCCTCTCACTCTCTCGCACATCTGGCCTGTACCCCGGTTCTTGTACGCATGAATTAAAAATTTTTTTTTTAAAAGCACATTCTGGAGCCTTCCTGGTGGCTCAAGGGGTTATGTCTCAGCACTATGAAGCTAACCGCAGCCACTGCAACACAAGTTTGATTTCTGGCCAGGGAGCTAACCCATATGGCACAGCAGACCTTTCCTGCCTCACCTGCTGCTCCACTCAGCAGTGTATTTCAGTAGATCTGCCTGTTTTGCTCCCCACTCTGTCTCTGGTGAATCCTCTTACCCCGCCCCCACATCTCTAGCCTACCCCAGGTCTTGTATGCATAAATAAATAACAGGATCTTCCTGGTGGTGCAGAGGGTTAAGCACCACACTATGAAGCAATCTGCAGCCTTGGCAGCACGAGTTCAATCCCCAGCTGGCCAGGGAGCAACCCACATGGCGCAGGAGACCTCTCCTGACTCACCCGCTGCTCCCCTCAACAGTGTACTTCAGTCAGTCTGCCTGTTCTGTTCCCCACTCTGTCTCTGGTGAATCCTTTCACCCCCCCCCCCCACATCTCTGGCCTGTACCCCAGCTCTTGTATGCACAAATAAATCTTAAAAAAAAAAAAAAAAAAAAAAAAGCACATTCTGCCCTTCAAACAAGGTAGGTATAAGCTCCACACAAGATGACTCCACAGCAGGGTGAACCAACCGGCCTCAAGGCCAAATGAAACCCATCATTTGTTTGTATGTAACAAAAAACTAAAAATGGGTTTTATATTTTTCAATGGGGGTAAAAATTTAGGAGAATATTACAAAATAGAAATTTTGACATGAATCATCATTCACATATTTGCCAAAACTAATAGAATTACACAACAAGTATCAATATACTACAGGTTATAGCTGATAATATATGAACACCAGTCAGTTAATAGTAGCAAGTATATCTCATTCTTAATTAAGGCAAACTGCTGGGGTGAAGGTAGATTGGGAACTCTATGCATTATCTGCTAGACCCTATAAACCTAAAAACAAAAAGGTATAGTCTATTAATTATAAAAAATCTTTGGTTATATCTTCAGAATAAAATTTGAATAAAATAACAGGAATTCCCAAAGACAACTTCATAAACACATACAGATTATGCTATACAAACTTCAGGATCCATAGCTATTACCGACATACAATAATGACCATCTGATTATAATCTGTTTCTAGTACATTTTACACCAGAGACTGTAGTCTGCAAAGTCAAACATATTTACTATGTGGCTCTTCACAGAAATGGTTTGCCAGCCCCTTGGCAACCCCAAAGCCTGTCCCCACTTCCCCACCAAACTCCCCACAAAACAGGCCCCACTTACCCTGGGTGTTGGTGGGTCCAGCACTCCACGTCCCATAGCCTGCAAACAGAAACCTTGTAAGTTAGGCTCCTATCTGTCACACCAGGTACAAGTACTTCTGAGGAACCCTACAAGAAGCAGAACCATAACACTGTCCTCCGAAGAGTTATTAAATAGCTGGCCAACTCAACAAGATACTCATCACTTGCTTGAGGTCAAAGCGGGGAAAAAAGGGAGGGGAAAGGGCTTCATAATCAGCTCCATGCTTGCTGAAGGACTTTGGCCTAACCTCATTCCACATGTGACGATAATACAAGACAACATGCTTGCTAGCCCAGCATTAGGAAACGATGCAATCCCCTACACTCAACCTCCAGCTTGGCCCACCTACCTTGTAGCATTAAGTACCCCATAACTGGGAACAACTCACAACTGGGAGATAACTGTGCCTCTCTAGGTTTCACTTCTACAAATCTTTGAATTCGCCAACTCTTCCCTGAGCCTTCAAGCCCCAAGGCCTTTGCCTGGCAGTAAGGCATGAGGCTGACTCCTCCCTTTCTGGTGGCAGGCACCCTCTGCCCTCCAGAACCCTCATGGCAACATCTGGCCTGCCTTCATCTTTGTGTCCCTGAAATCTGGCAGACCTGGGCATAAGTGATCGTTCAGGCCTGTCAAAAACCTTCACCTTGTCGAAAAACATACTGGTGTTTCCCTTATCAGAACCCGTGCTACTAGCAGAAGCCAAGAGCGTGCTGACATGACAGCCACTCGGCAAATGTTAGTTGCCCCGAGTGCCACTCAAAGATGAGGGTTCAGAGGTTAGGAACTTGACCCAAAATCACACATGACACTGCTCAAGTTGGCCTCATTTGCCTCTACAGGCTACACCATACTCACACCACACAGTGTTCAACATGTGTGCAGCAGAAAAGCTGAGAAACAATTCTAACATAAGTGACTACCTACAGGACACAGATCTGGGTGACATATACTACTTATTCACATAATCTCTTAAGGCCCTTTGAGATAGGTCCTGCTGTTTACCAGGTTGTATAAAAAAACAGGCTCAAAGAGACTAAGTCGCTTGCCCAGGACCTGAAGCATGAGACCTGAACCCTGATCTAGGTGCCTCCTATGGTCAAGAAGCAACTGTCAAGATTTAGTGGGTCCTGAGAAATAAGTCTAGGGTGGTAAAGCTACAGAAAACTTCGGGGAGGCTGTAGCATCTAAACTGAACATGGACTTAGAAAATGGGGTGTGTGTGTGTGTGTGTGAGTGTGGTTGGTGGGGGAGAGGAAATAAAAACAGGATTATTGCCAGAGGTCTGGTGAGAAAGCAGGCAAAGAATGGTGAAATCCACTCAAACTGCAGAAAAGACTTGGAGAGCCAGCTGAGTCACCCCAGCACACCACACACAGGTTTCCCTCTGTTTCTATAATTTCTGCTGTCTGGATCCTACTAACGAGGCCTCTTTTCAAGATCCACACCTTTCCCAGATGCTGTAGGCAAGATTAAACCGCGTGCTTCTTAAACCTCAGACACCTGGGCAGAGATCTGCGTCCTATCAAGCCCCACCCGGCATACTGCAATCGTTTCCCGTATGTAAATTCGCCAACCAGTCGGAGCAAAGGCCTCCCTGGAAGCCAAGAAAACCCAAGTAGGAAAAGTGTACGCCTCCTCTTAATAGCTCCCTTGGCGCCTCCCGGTCACCACGCGGGACTGCACGGAGAGCCTCCCATTCGTGACCATCCCCGGGAACATCGGTTCTCATGTTTTGCACGAGACACGAGAATCTATCTGTCCTCGAAACTTCGTCCTAGGCCAGCACAGGTCGGGGACTCGCAGCCTTTCAGCGAGGATGACCACAGGTTCCGGGAGGGCGCCCGGGCCACGTGGCCGCCCGAAGACCCAGACCGCCGCAGAAGACGCCGCCGACCACACTCGGCCCTGCACCCCGCGAGCTCGCGCAAAGCCCCGCCCCCTGCGCCGCCATCTTGTGGCGTCTTCGTAGAAGAAGGCGGGACAGCGGGCCTTAGGGTCGAAAGTCGGAGCCCGCCGGGCTGAAGGGCTGAGACGGCCTGCACCACCCGAGGCGCCCCCCGAAGCCCGCTGCCGCGTCGACCCGCCTCCTTAGCCCTGTCTGCCAATCCATACACAGCGCCCCGGGAGCGACGGCGCCAGGGTCCAATGAACGGCGCACGGGATCCGGTCGCCTCCCCGCCAGGCCAAGCTGTGGTGACCTGCTCGGGACTAAGCGCGGTCCGCGGTCCTCTGCGCGCCGGGGGCCGCGTCGCCTGCCCGCTCCATCTCGCGTTGAGTTACTCACACTCACCTCCGTAGCCTTGCTCCATGTCTTCGACTCGGCCCGCCAGCAGCCCCTTTCTAGGTTGCCACAGACGCATGCGCTCAACGCACCTCCCGCCGCCCGCTACTGGATAATCAGGCACATACGTCACCTCTCCCTCGGACCACCATTGGCTAGCTTTCTCCGCGGATCCACCCGTCTCCCCAGAGGGCCTTCCGGTTGCTTGGGTTGGGCGTCCACAGCTTCTCGGGAGTCTCGCAGGACCTCGATGTGCGCAGGCGCATCCCAACCCACCCCACTACAGTGCGCAGGCGTGCCCCGCCCCTCCAAGGTTCAGTGCGCAGGCGCAATCTAAAAACACTCGCGGGATGAAGGGTGGGAATCACTTTATTGGGGTTGGCTTCCAGTTTGGGGCCCCGCGGGCCCGCCCGCCCCAAACCCGGGTCATGGGTGGCCCCCGCCACCCTCCTCATCGTCGTCGGCGTCGACATCGAGACCCGGGATGCCGCGGATCTGGCGTTGCAGAGCGCCACCCAGCAGGGGTACGATCTCCTCCTCCTCCTCTGGGGGCGGCGGCGGCGGTGGTGTCACGGCCTCTGGGACCGGCTCTGGGGGTACGGGGGGCTGCACCGGCGCGCCCTCTGCACCCTCCGCGCCCGCTGCCGCATCGACCAGCGCCCTTTCGTCCAGAGTGCCCCCCTCGGCCTCCTCCTGTTCCTTCTCCTCCTCTGGGCTGTCTGTGAAGGGGTTCTCGCCCTGCGGGAGAAGGGGCATAGATACTGAAGGGAGGACCCCACAAGACCAGGGACCTAGTAGGTAGGCGTGAGGCCCGCCTCACCTTCAGGTACCGCTCCAGCTTCTTGCTGATGAGCTTGTTGTTGAGGATGCTGCGAGCCACCATTAATGAGGACTTCTTAGACTGCTCCATCATCAGCTGCGGGTAAGGCAGGCAGAACTGAAGTGGCTGCTCTAGGCAGTGGGAAAGCACCAACCCCCTCCTCCCTGTCCCACCAGATCAGACCCGCCCTCCCGCACTTGTATACCTTCACCCAGGGCTCAGCAAAGATCACACGGGATTTTGTAGATCTTAAGTGTACCTTGGGTACAAGAGTAGGGCCGTGGCCTGATTTGATCTCTGCTCAAATGCGCCATCCTTCACACCATACTTACTGTAGGTCATCAATTAAAGACATAGGTCTTTACAGCCGAATTGCAGAAAGCTGATTTGCTTACAAAAACTATAATGAAATCAAGAAACCTATTAAAAGCCAAATGTGTAACCCATAAACAAGGATCCAACTGCTCATATACAGGGAGCTTTTTAGGATCAATAGGAAGAATGTGAAAGCAGGAGTACAAATATCAAACGGAACACACTTAAGGGATAGATGTCCTTTAAACAGAGGATGAAGGCAGACAATTCTACTTGGCTGGTGAGGTCAACAATTTATTTTCCAGAAAGTAATTTATAAAATATATCAAAAGTAAAAATGTGTCTCAGCAATTTCTCCCTGGAATCTATCCTAATTATTAGAAACAAGCATGCAACACTGGTTTGTAGAACTGGAACATAAGTACTTAAATGTTCTGTGAAGAAGTTACATAAATCATAGTCAAAAGAATACCATGCAGACCTTAAAAGGGGGCACCCTCTCTCTACCCTGGCATGTGATGGATTGCACAGAGCATGCCAGAGCCTTTTCATCAGGGACAATTTACACCAAAATGTTTGAGTTCCTCAGTGGTGAGAGCACAGGCAACTCTCACTTTGATCATTATATAGTTAATGCCAAGTATAAAAGCCATAGACAGAAAATGATGAATCTATTCTTGTTGGAAATGGGTTAGAGCCCACCCTTAGGAATGCTGTTGCGCCCCAGCCAACACATTACTTCCTATTTCAGAAAGCCATCTCACTTGCTGTTTCTACTCCCTTACCCCACTTTCACCTTTTTTCTTCACATTTTCTATACTATTTGGGGAAAATATTAATAGACATCATGCATGCTCAAAGTGAAACAAGTTAAAGATGCATAAGTAGGATACTACTAAAGACCAGTTCCTCTGTCACTCACCAAGACATCCTCCAACTCCTCCCTTTAGGCACACAGGTGGACACAACACTTCCCCCAAGGCACATTTACATTGTTTCCAATTTGTGCTACAGTAACCACCACCAAAATAAACTAAAACATTTCTATGCTGGTGTTAATTCTATTATACCACTTCTCCAAAATGATAGTGCCTGAAAACTGCTAAGTTCGAAGTGGTGCTTCCTCCACCTCTATTAAAATAAAGGTATTTGTTTTGCCTCCCCACTGAATTAGACATCATGCGTTGGGTATTTCTGCTATCCCCCCCTCCACCTCCATCCTATGAGGCATATCCATGAGCTCTGGGGTTCCTGGTTTGCTCAGGAACGGTTCCTTAACCTCAAGGTAAACAAACTTCTAAATATTATCTCTTTTCATATTTACGATTTCTGTGATTTAGTATGTGGTAAGGTAGGGATCCACCTTTCCTTTCTAGAAATTTATATGACAAACTATTGTTTCCTCGTTGAACTGACACATAAGTCTGCATTTTCTTAACCACAAATCTGAAATCAAAAGTTTTTAACGTACTTTTTTGGGGAAAAGTTTCCCCTAAAACTCACTCGGAGGCCGAATGAGCAGACATTGATTTTGGAAATCATCTTTACCCCACTTATACAAGTTACTTGCCTTTTTTGTTTTTTAAAGATTTATTTTTATTTATTCATGCATATAAGAGCTGAGGTGTAGGCCAGAGGTGTGGGGGGTGAGAGGATTCATCAGAGACAGTGGGGAACAGAACAGGCATAATACACCAACTGAAATACACTGCTAAGGGGAGCAGTGGGCGAGGTAGGAGAGGTCTGCTGTGCCATGTGGGTTAGCTCCCTGGCCAGGGATTGAATTTGTGCTGCAGTGGCTGCTAATAGCGTCACAGTGCTGAGACTTAACCCCTTGTGTCACCAGGAAGGCCCAAGTTACTTGTTATTGATGGTTCAACTACAAGGCACTTTTTCAGATCTTATCTGGGATATTTATGATTGAACCATGAAGCTGTTCTGAAATTCAAAAATTCAGAATCATCAGATAAGGGACTACCTTTGATAAATACTAAGTCCCCAAACATATTGGGATCTCTCACTAGACTATTCATTCTGGTTTCACTGTTAGATTACTGTGCCAATAATACTCTGTTTTTCTGTGTAGTGGCTCTGTATTATTTTACCCCCACCCGTGAAAAAATTTCAGAACTTTAAGTAGGAATAGTATAATGAATTCCTACCCATTGTTCAGCTTCAACAAATTTCAGTTTGTGGATAATGTTTCACCAAAATTGTATCCAATGCTTACTCCAACACCAGCTCATATATTTCAAAGCCAATGCTAGAGTATTTCGTCCACATTTTTTGAAACCATTATTACTCTGAGCTCAGACATAGTTTGCAGCAACATGGTCAAATGCACCAAGCTATATACTGTCACATATAGGACCCATTTTATGGTGCCTCCCTCAGGAAAATGGTGAAGAAACTGAAATAACTGAAATCAGCCAGCATGCTAAATATACTTGCTTCTTCTGTGGGAAAATCAAGATGAAGAGACCAACTGTAGAGATCTGGCACTGTGGTTCCTGCATAAAAGCTGGTGGGTGCCCGGACCTACACCACTACTTTTGCTGTACAGAAGACTGAAGGAATTGTAAGTCCAGAAGCTCCACCTGCTATCCTATAATAAATGGGTTGATTTATGCAACAACAAAAAAACTTAACCATCATCAAATTAAAGACTACTAAATCCTTAAGTGTCTCCTAATTCCTTAAAAAACACGGTTTATTCGGGCCTCCCTGGTGGCACACGGGGTTAAGCACTGTACTATGAAGCAATCTGCAGCCTCTTCCCAGCAAGCCAGGGAGCAACCCATACGGTGCAGCAGACCTCTCCTGTTGCGCCCGCTGCTCCTCTCAGCAGTGTGTTTCAGTCAGTCTGCCTGTTCTGTTTCCCCACTCTGTTTCTGGTGAATCCTCTTACCCCCCCGCACCTCTGGCCTGTACCCCTGCTCTTATATGCATAAAAAAATCTTTAAAAAACAGAACAAAACACGGCTTACTCATTTGACCTAACATCGCAGTAAGACCTACATATTCCAGATGGTTGCTGTCTTCTTAATTTCTTTTTGCTCAATTTAAAAACATTAAGGAGGGCCTCCCTGGTGGCCTGAGTTTGATCCCTGGCCAGGGAGCTAACCCACCTATGGCACAGCACCTCTCCTGTCTAAACTGCTGCTCTCCTTAGCATAGTATATTTCAGTGGATCTGCCCCTTCAGCTTCCCATTCGTCTCTGGTGAATCCTCTCACAACCCACACTTCTGGCCTATACCCAGTTCTTCTATAGATAAATATTAAAAAAAAACCCACAAGGATTAGAAAATTGGCACTGTGTTTATCATGAACTTGAAAAACTACATCTTCCAGTTCTCTTTTTCACATTTATTTTTATTTATTTATGTATATAAGAACTGATATAAAAACTGGGGTGTGTAGGCCAGAGGTACAGGGGATGAGAGGATTCACCAGACAGAATGGGGAGCAGAACAGGCAGATCTACTGAAATACACTCCTGGAGAGGTCTGCTGTACCATGTGGATTAGCTCCCTGGCTGGGGATCATACTCATGCTGCAGTGGCAATAGCTTAATAGGGCTGAGACCTTAACCCCTGTGGCAGGGAGGCCCTGCATCTTCCAGTTCTCCTAAGTCTCCATTATCATTTTTTCTCAGTTGCCTTTTCACAAAGTTACTGGTATACAGACAAGTGACTCAGGCATATACTTGCCTCAAATTTAATACTCTGGAAAATTATAGATCTTCCCAAAGTTCTACACCCAATGACAAACAACCACGTTACCTATACCTGAACCATATTCATCTTGCCTGAAAACACCCTTGAAGTCCTTCAAAAACCAGATTCAAGCCAATTCTCCCATTAAGTCCCGTTAGCAAAAACTTCTGTTCCTTCTGTTATTCTTTTTTTTTTTTTTTTAAAAAGATTTATTTATTTATTTATACAAGCACTGGGTACAGTCAGAAGCGTGGGAGGGTGAGAGAATTCACCAGAGCCAGAGCGCGGAGCAGAACAGGTAGAAGGACCGAGGTACACTGCTGAGGGGAGCAGTGGGCACAGCAGGAGAGGTCTGTGCGCCATGTGGGACCCTCGCCAGCGGCCAGGGATTGAACCGGCATTGCAGAGGCTGCGGGCAGCTTCGCAGCCCAGCATTCAACCGCAGCGCCACCGGGGAGCCCCCCCTTCTGTTATTCTTTAAAATAAAAAAAATATTTATTTATGCATAGAAAAGCTAGGGTGTAGGCCGGGGTGAGGGGAGAGGATTCACCAGAGACAGAGTAGGGAGCAGAATAGACGGATGGACTGAAATAAATACACTGCTGAGGGGACAGCGGGAGAGACAGGAGAGGTCCGCTGCGCCATGTGGGTTAGCTTCCTGGCCTGGGATTGAACTTGTGCTGCAGTGGCTGCAGATAGCTTCATAGTGCTGATGCAACCCCTTGTACCACTAAGGGAGGCCCCCCCTTCTTATTCTTTATAGCACACTAGAATTTATTTCTGAACTGTTTACTTGCTAAATAGTTGGAAAGGGCAATCAGTTTAAGGTAAAAGTCCCAAATCAATAAATGTCTTTTTTTTTTTTTTTTTTGGTGGGACACTTGCCTGTGGCTGGGGATCAAATTGGTGATGCAGAGGCTGCGGGCAGCCTCGCAACCCAGCGCTCAACTGCTGCACCACCAGGGGAGGCCCCCAATAAATGTCTTTTAATGTATCTTACAGATGTATCACAGATAAGTCTGAGGTATCAAGTATTTTGCTATTTCTGTAACTGGGCAACTGAAATGTTACTCATTAGCCTGCTTAACTATTCCTTTTTCAGAAATGCAGATACGATCCAAAAATTTCCTGATACCCCCCCCTTTTTTTTTTTATAGAGGCATGTTATTTATTTATTTATTTATTTATTTGTTTGTTTGTTTGTTTGTTCATTTTGTTTATACATGCACTGGGTACAGTCAGAAGCGCGGGAGGGTGAGAGAATTCACCAGAGCCAGAGCGGGGAGCAGAGCAGGCAGAAGGACCGAAGTACACTGCTGAGGGGAGCAGCGGGCGGCAGGAGAGGTCTGCGCGCCATGTGGGACCCTCCTCCGGTGGCCGGGGAGCAGCCGGGGATCGAACCGGTGCCGCAGAGGCCGCGGGCAGCTTCGCAACCCAGCGCTCAACCGCTGCGCCACCGGGGAGGCCCCTGATACCCTTTTTTTAACCATTGTCACTTGCTGAATTTCATGCAAGTTCAATGTTGTTTTCTTTAAGAATTAACTCATCTTTCTTGGCTTGACATAATGAAAAAGCAACTCCTGGCCTCATCTGAACCCTGCAAATGCATTTTTTGCCCAAGAAATTTTTATTTCAAGAAGGGACCGAATCTCTTAAATAACAACATTAATGGAGAAATAAGCATACACAGATGTCATTCTGTAATGGAAGCCCAGGGAACAAAACCCTTGATTGTGTACTGTACATGATGGGTCAAACAGTGTATAGTTATTTTCTATTTCTCCACCATTTGTCAACCTAAAGCCTCTTCTTTTTCTTTCTAAGGGGACTGAGTTAGACACTGATATGACTTAAGTTCCTCTGCAGGGTGCCTCTGGCGCCCTTCACAATATGCTTGTTCCTTCAAGAGAGATGTCAGATTTTCTGACAGTTGACAGATTGCGAAGAATGGTCTTCATTCTCATAGTAGATGCAAACATATGAAATTTATTAAGTTCCCTAACTCACTACTGCTCTTTAGATAATTTTCATTATCAGACTTAATCTACAATATAAAACGATAAAATAATTTCATCCAACCCCCTCCTGCCCTGATTTTGACTGGAATTGCACTAACCACCTACGTCAGCATGGGGAGAATGGTTGCTCTGTTATTAATTCTCCCACCTAAGAACATAGTATGTTCGTTCCTCCATTTGTTGAGGTCTTGTTTCATAAAATCTAATATCTAGATATTTCATACATTTTGTGGTTACTGTGAATAGATCTTTCTTCCTGTTTCAAACTGGTTATTATTAATCTGGAGAAAACTACTACTTTTTTTTATGTTATCTTGAATCTTTTATCTCCTTACCAAAATCCACTAACTCTAAGAACACCCTGCAGCAATCACTTGTTTTTCCTAAGAAAAATAATCACAACATTTGCATATAGCTTTCAGTTCAATATTTTATACTGATAATGTTGTTAAATTTCTTATTGACTAATCCTTGTATTCCAGAAACACATTTTACTTACAGTGCATTACACATCTGACTCACTACTAGATAATTAATAACTAATCTACAGTTCTATTTTGGTATTGTCCTTACCAGATTTTGGAATTAAGGTTAAAAAGGGTTTTTCCATTTTTTTTAAAAAAGGGGGCTTTCCATAGACATAAATTAGTAAACAGACAAGACTTCTGGCATAGCAGCCTCAAAAAATGAAAATTTATTCCCCAGTGAAACTAATGAAAACTATTACAAAAAATAAATCTAAACTCTCTGGAATTAGCCCTAAGGACATATATAGCAAAGGAAGAAACATTTGGTGAGGAAAAGCTACTAAAATCCAGTAAGAAGGGGCAGTTGCAATCCTTCTGGCTACCTGTGACTATGCAGGTGCTTCTTTTCACCAACTTTCTCCCTCTGCAGGGCAGCCGCTTCCTGCCTGTCTGTGACCTGTACCATGCCGGGACTTCTCTTCACTGACCTCCCTCAGCGGAGGCAGCTCTCCTCAATCTCCTCAAGGCTACCTGCCTGCAACCATGTAGGCCTCTCTTAACAAACCTGTGCCTTTCAGGGTTTCTCTGCTTTCTCCAGTAGTAAAAAGGAATAAAAGAAAAACAGATGCAAAACCAATAACATCAGGGGCCTCCCTGGTGGTGCAAGGGGTTAAGTCGCAGCACTATAAAGAAGTCCACAGCCACTGCAGCATGACTTTGATCCCTGGCCAGGGAAGTGACCCACATGGTGCAGCAGACCTCGCCTGTCTCACCTGCTGCTCGTGTCAGCAGTGTATTTCACTACTTGTTGTATTTCAACACACTGTACCAGTGTATTTCAATCTACCTGTTCTATTCCCCACTCTGTCTCTGGTGAATCTTCTCACCCCCCCCACACCTCTGGCCTATATCCCAGTTCTTGTATGCATAAATAAGTAAATCTTAAAAAAAAAACACCAAGAATGATTAAACAACCAAATCAAATGGCGGAGAATGATTGGGTAAACAAATTTTAAAAATGAATAAATGGAAAGTAAAAGAATGTGAAAAGAGATACAAACATCTACAATAAGAAAGCTGAGCTGGCTATGCTATTATCAGACAAAATGGACAGTAAAACAAAATGTTACCAAGAAGGGACATCTTATAAGCTGCAGTGTGGAAAAAGAAAGGTATGAAGGAATGGAATAGAACTGACAGTCCAGAAATAAACCTATGTAGCTATGGTCAACTGACTATCGACAGGGTGCCAAGACAATTCAATGGGGAAAGAATATTCTCTTCAACTTGAGAGCCACATGGAATAGTTGGACCCAATGGAAAAAAGATGGATCCTTGTACCTCACACCACATACAAAAGTTAACTCAGGGGCCTCCCTGGTGGCACAGGGGTTAAAGTCTCAGTGCTATCAAGCTATCACCAGCCAATGGGGCATGAGTTTAATCTTTGGCCAGGGAGCTGACCCACATGGCACAGCAGACCTCTTCTGTCTTGCCCGCTGCTTCCCTCAGCAATGTATTTTGGTAGATGTGCCTATTCTGCTTCCCACTCTGTCTCTGGCGAATCCTCTTACCCCCTGTACCTCTGGCCAACACCCCAGTTTTTGTATGCATAAATAAGTAAAAATAAATCTTAAAAAAAAAAAAAATGTTGCAGTCACTTTGGAAACTGTGTTGCAGTTCCTCAACAAGTTAAAGAATATGTACTTTACCCATATATTCCACTCGTAGATACATACCTGAGAGAAATTATAACATGTCTACAATAAAATTTGCACAGGAACATTTTAGGATTAATTTTCAGTTTGTATTTTGCTAGTTACTAGTCATTTCCTCTAGATTTTCCTAAACTTTTAATGCCAAGCACATTCCATCCTCCATAATCTGCTGTTTTCTCCCTACCCCTTATCAGCTCCCAGCCCAAGAATCTTGGCAAGGTTCCTATAGCTGCGCTGTTGTAAAAGTCAGCGAACATAATGCTAACCATTCCAGATTCCTCAGAAGCATTTGCCTATCTTTTTTTTTTTTTTTTTAAATTTATTTATGCAAACAAGAGCTGGGGTACAGGCCGGGGTGGAGGTGGGGTTGGGGTGTGTGTGTGTGTGTGTGTGTATATTCACCAGAGACAAAGCAGGGAGCAGAACAGGCAGATGGACTGAAATACACTGCTTAGGGGAGCAGCGGGCGAGACAGGAGAGGCCTGCTTCGCCATGTGGTTTTCTCTCTGGCCGGTGGGCGATCGAACTTGTGCTGCAGTGGCTGTGGATTGCTTCATAGTGTTGTGCTTAACCCCTTGCGCCACCAGGGAGGCCTGCATTTGCCAATTTTGAATCTCTTTAAACACCTAAGTCAGACTTCTAACTCCATCCCACTGCTGAAAATGACTGCACTGAGAAAGACCAGAGATGAATTTGAACATGGAAAGATTGAAGGAAGGTTATTTCCTACACTTGAGCCCCTTAGCTAGCTCATTTGCTCATAAATCCTATGAGTCAGCCTCCAAAGTAATGGCAGCCAAATATTTCTCTAGCTCATACCTGGTACTGGACCACTCAGCTCTCTGTACTGCAAAGCCTGTACATGACTGCTAATAGCTACCTACATTCAACCAAAAAACACTCTGGCAGCAGATACACACTGGTCAATTTCTGTCAAACTTGCTCCTTTCCCTATACCACATACTGCCCTTATCCTAGCACCCTATCTACTAGTTACCAAAACTAGAAAAGTTGAGACATCCCAGATTCCTGTGCACACCCTTATGCCAACCTCCAATTCACTTCCCCAAAGTGCTCCTCCATCCATCCCCACCGTGAAGGTACTCTTCTGTCTTAAGACTGCAGCAGCCCCTCATTGTCCTCCACCTCCCTCCTCAGCACCAGGTCTGTAAATCAACACTAATTCTAACCTTGGCAGTCCCCCACTAAGAAATCTCGCTGCCTACAGGATCAAGGCCAGACTCCTCAACCCAGTCCTAAGTCCTGATGAAGCTCTGAAGTCCAACCTCATAACCAGCAACACTTGCCTGGACACTTCTCCATGTTTGGTTTCTGAATGTCTCTGGTCATTGGTCCTTAGGGACATGAAGGTCTCCACATCCTACAGTCTATTGCTCCTTAAGGTTCAGCTCTGACACCACTTTCTCCCAGGTGAGCCCCCATTTCCCATACCTCTTATCTGAAGCTATGCTGACTGCACTGGAAAAGAAGTCTACATCTGTCATTTCCATACTCCCTGCAGTCAGTTCTTCAGGGACCGCAAAGTATAACCCCAGAACCTGCCGTAGTCAATCCAAAAGACAGAAGGAGGGAAACTCACCCTGCGGTTCCGGTTGTGATCCATAGTCTTGAGGTGCTTCTGGATGATCCCAAACTGCATGGGAATGAAGAGATCACAGGCTGCACAATGGGCAGCCTCCACCTTTTTCACAAAATGCTCCATGGCGATTTCTATAGGGGAAAAACAGGTAGTTGTTACTGGTTCTCTGGTGCTTAAGACATATATCAGACCAGTTTCTCACCGTACCCTGTCACTTCCACGTGGGATTGAGGTTGTTCTCTCTGAGCCTCTCTGGGGGAACAGAGGGATATTGTAACCCCATCTTGAGAGGCGAGGACAGCAGGCTGAGTGAGGCCCTTGCCTGGTGTGATAGAGCCTCCTCACCTTGGGTCAGATCCTGATCTCTGTAGATCTGCTGGATCAGGCCATCAAGGTCCTCCACGGTTTTTCGAAGCTCCTCTGTCTTCTTGGTTTTGTTGGTAACATACTCCTGCCAAAGATACCAAGATTCACGTGGGCTTTCCATGTCCTGAGTTGCTAAGAGAGGTGCATATATGCCACTCCAAGGCTCACCTGCAGAAAATCAGCTGTCTGCTTGGGAAGCTTGGTGCCTACGTACTTAAAGTGCTCCTTGTGGAACTTACTGTCCAGGTGGCTGGCCATCTCATCCTCATAGAAGGTCCGATATTTGCAGAGAGAACACACAAACTGTATCCTGCCATAGGAGGGAAATGAAGAACTGAGGTCACGAGGGTATGGGGTGAATAGTGCTGCCGCCTCACCCAACCCAGCTGTGAGCCCTGAACAGGCCTTGCTCACGGGTCTCTGAAGTGTGGTCCCAGCAGGGGGACAGGCTGGGACCAGTGGGGTTGGGAGTAGAAAGGGACAGAAAGTCTGTAGGCTGCAATTACTGCAACGTAGGGGCAGGGAAGCTCTTCCTTCCCACGGCAGGAGGCTGAAGCCTGAGGCAGCATCTGCTGCAACAGGCAAGGAGTCGCTGGAAGGTTGCCGGAGGGCATCTCTACCAAGGCTGGGCAGGAGCTTGTGCACTTGGCCCAGCTGGGGACCGGAAGGAAGGATGCCCTGGCGTGAGCCAGGCAGCCCTGAGGTGCAGAGTGGAGTACGCAGTCCTGAGGCAGGGCCCGAAAAGGTGCTGCATCTTCCTTCTGGGGTCTGGGGAACTGAAAGGCCCAGCCCATCCTCTGCTCAGAATGCTTGGGGGTGGTGTCGGGAGGGATGGGAGGCAAGCAGGCCTGGGCACCTGCTGCCTCATCTTCCTCTTCTGAGAAGAGACCAGTCTGAGCTGGAAAGAGGGCGCCCGCCTGGCCTGCCAGAGGGCAGCCTGGAGTCACCTGGGCGAGGTGCTCTGTCTGGGCCTGGTGTCCACAGCAGAAGCCCGGGGTCTGGGGCCTGGGCTGGAGCAGGCCGCCGTGGCAAGGGGCGGAGGAGGCCAGCCGCCACCGAGGCCTCGGGGCGGGTCCCTACCTCTGCCGGACGTCCTTATCTGGGCCACGGGGTCAGCTTTGTCTGGAGAGCCCAGGGGCCAGGCGCCGGCGAGGCTGAGGAAGGTCCAGCAAGAGCAAGAGTCTGAGGCGGAGGAGGAGGAGGCAAGCGCCAGTGCGGGAGCCCTGAGGGCAGACAGACCCGACCAAGGGGCGTGAAGGGCTCAGCCGCAGACAGGCCCATCCTGACAGGGCAGGCGGGCAGGGCAGAGGGCAGGCCCACGGCTGCCACAGCCCACAGGTGCTGCCATCTCTCCTGGGCACGGCGGCGGCGGCCTCTTGGCAGCTAGTTGGGTTGGCATAGGTGCTTTGGACCTCAAGTCTCTGATGAGCTGGCCCCCTCCCGCAGGGGCATCAGGCCCCCAGTGCACCTCAGGCTTGTGTGCCGAATGACCTAGCGCCGGAGCTTCTGGGCAACGGTGCTGAGCAGTGTCGGATCTCAGATCAAAGACGCTAGCGGTCACCAGGCAGCCGCAGAGGGGCAGGGATGAATCAGCCCTTGGGAGTTGGCCCTGGCGGGAAGCAGGGTCCATGCACGGCCGAGCAGGCGGCGGCTCCCAGGGGAGGCCAGAGGGCGGTGAGGCAGCAGAGCTATGGCCCTGCTCTCCTGGCAGCAGCCCCACACTGAGGCAGAGGCAAAGGGGTGGAGGGAAGCTGGTTACCTTTCTACCATGCGGTCTCGTTGCCGCTTTTTCTGCTTGTCCTGGCTCTTCTTGCCTGCCTGCAACTTGCGCTTGGTCTGGCAGATCTCATCCTGGGTAGTCAGTGCTCCTGTGGGAATAAAGGGGCACAGTCGTGAGCTTAGTTCCACCAGGTCAAGGTGGTCCTGTTGCCTCTGGCTGGATCACTTTCCATGTACTCCAGAGGATCTATTCTGAGAGCAGCAGTTCAAGCAAGGTCTCTGGTCAGGAGCAGGGCTAGGAACCCTGGGCTGGCAAGGATCAGTTTTGGTCTTATGGCCTAGGCCCTTAAGAAAGGACATGTACTGACCCCACCGCTCTCTAGGACATACTCTGCAGTGGGCTATAGGGAGACTGGAAGGGAAAAGAGGCTATTTTGGTGGGGACACTGGCACAAGTTCAGAGGGGCCAGGCGGCAGGATGCAGGGAGACTAAGGCCTCAGTGCAGCTCTCGGGGTAAAGACTCCAAAGTTCACATGGCCCTGCCCACCCCAAACCAGGCACCGCGGCAATAGTGGACTGAGGCTAGGTTTACTGTTAGGTACTTGCTGGCGCTCATCACTCACATGGGGGGACACGGACTCCCAACAGGGACTGGAGAGGCGCTAAGGGAGAGGACACGCAAACCAGAGCCATAACAACTGTACCAAGAATCCTAACTTGGACACCAGTCAGAATATTTGGGACTTTGAGTTACTAAGGGCTGGGATGTGCCAAAGTCGCAAAAGTTGATTTCCCCAACTTCTGCTCCCTGCCCCCACCTATAGACAAACCAATGTATGAGTCAGGGACCATTGCCACCCACAGACTCTGTGTGGGAAGAGGGAAAGAGTAAGAAATGGGCAGAGGAAGAAAAGCTCCCTGTCAGCCCCAGTCCCAGCCCTGGGCCCACACAAAAAGTGTCAAGCTAGCTTAGTATCTGTTACAATCTTGCCTCCAGCAGGACCCCTCCCCACTGTGAAAAAGGCACCTGGAAGAGCCAGCTATCACCAGGTCACTGAGAAGACTCACCCTTCTCTGCATCCTCTTTGCCTTCTTCCTTTCCCTCTTCTTTTCCATCTTCATCTTCTTCCTAAAATGAAGATTCAGACACCCAATATTAAAGTGAACCTGTTTACAATAATTATAATGACAAGGCCCTGCTAGGTGCCAGGCATTGGGCTAGGAGCCTCACACCCCCCAAATAGCCCTTGCACAGAGGGCTCATTCCACCATTTTCCAATAAAGGAAGCAAGCCTCTGGCCTGTAACTTGGGTTCTCTCCCCCAAGACCTCTGCTTGCTTGTGCTGGTCATAGTTGCTTGCAGAGTTGATGCTATACATCAACTGTGTGGCCCTATGGAGAGTCTGCTCTGAGGCACAGGGCCTAATTCAGCCCACCCATCACAAGGCCCCACCTGTAGAGAGAACCAAGACCTGGGTCACTTACTGCTCTGGAGACCTTTTCCATAGTCTCAGTGCCTTCAGGGCCCTCTGCAGCTTCCCCTTCAGTGCCCTCATCTGAAAGGGAAGAGAGGTGAGCTCAGTCTAGGAATCCCACAGGGCAGAGGGTAGGAGCCCAGTGTCCCAGCTCACCGTTATCTGAATCACTGTTATCTGAGCAGTCAGTACGGGTTGCTTTGTTGTCTGGCTCGTCAGGACTGCCACACTGCTTTCTCTTCTTCTTCTTGGTCTGGGTCAGAAAGGGGAAGCTGGGTCAGGGTAGGTGGTTCTGAGCCCCTAGCTTTACCCAATTAAGGGCCAGAATGGAAGGTCTTCTCCACTCACCCGGAAGTCAGCCGTGGTCCAGGTCTTCCAGGTCCGCCTCATCTGCTTTATGCCATTGCCAAACCCAAAACCAAAGCGGGAGCTGCCTGGGAAGGCACCCCCACCACGCATGCCCTGGAACATGCCATACTCGGGGATGATGTTCTGGGAGAAGAGGGAGGGCAGCCGGGAGGCACCAGGCATGCACTGGCCCCGGGCCCCCATGGGGTCTTCCCACATGCGCCCATAGCCGGAGGTCATTGGCCGGCCACTCCGAGCATCCCGGGCCCAGCCTGGGGCCCGAGGGCCGAAGGTGTCACCACCACGTATGCGGAACTGATCACGGTAGGCATCATACTGGCCCTCGTAGGCCATTTCCATCTCAGGGTCAAGCTCGTTGTAGTCATAGCTTGACCGGTACAGGTCTCGCTCATTCAGGACAGCCCTGGAGTCACAGGCCTCGTAGGAATCGTATCTGCAGAGGCAGGTGCCAAACATCAGGGGAGCCCCAGAGCCCACAGCTCTTATTTTGAATCTGTTGCGCCTGCCCTCCCCAAACCTCCCTGTCCTAGGGCAGGAAACCCTCTAACAGCACCAATCCCACCTTGTCAGAGGCTCAATGTTCAGAAATGCAGTTAAAAGGCATCTCAGAAGCAGAGTTCTAGAAGTGATGACACTGCCCAGCCTATATGTGGCTACACACCTTCTAGGGGACCCTAAGAAGGGCTGACAACTGAGATAGAGTAGGCCTGTTAGGGGCAGAGACACTCCATAGCCTTTAGCCCATAGCACATGTTTGAAAACATGACTTGTGGTTGTAGTAGCCCTCTTCAGAAACAAAGCTGAGTATCCTAGCATCCTGCAGTAAACACACAAATGCTCATTTGACAGGCTGATAATGTCCATAAGAAATCCTGTTCTGGTCTCATACCTTATGCTTGGGATAACCTCCCCAAACCCTCTAAAGTCACTCACCACTCCAAAGGAAAAGAGGAGTGTTTCCCAGGAAAATCGCAAGCTTGCCCAGGGACTAGAAGAAAAGTTCTATACATCAACCCTGAGGCCTCGGGTGGGAGTGGGGGTGAGTCAAACTCTACACAGCAACTGGGAAAGAGTTCTAATCATGGCTGCAGTCCACCTCATAGGCCCAGACCCCATGTCTCATAGGCAAGGATCCCTTCTTGCCAGAGGTAGGCAGCTGAGAAACACCGGCAGCTGTGGAAGCAGCTAGAGTTACCCAACTGCCATTTTATTCCTCATTCCTGCTCCCCAGTTCCAGGCTGTGGCCAGGCGGTACACAGGCAGCTAGCACCAAGAGCAACAGGAGTTCAAAGTCCTGCAAAGGTTCCACTTTAAATACTATGACTGCTAGGTATGAGGGCTAGGGATGTGCTTGCAAACCCCCCTCACATTTTTGTTTGCCACACAGAGTCCAAGTGCACAAGTCCTCTTGGTACCCTCTGCTCTTCAGTGGCCCTGGAGCCTCACTGGGGTTCACTAGTGCCTGGCCATGCCCATTCTCATACTCTATACTCCCAGGCACGTCTGCTGGAGTCATTAGACCGTTTCACACCATCCTATGCTAGAAACACATGTATCCTCCTCACTGAAGTCTCTTACTAGGGCACAAGAACTCCTAGGCCAGCATAAATTCTGTCAGTCACAAATTGTGATGCTGCAAGCAAGCAGGTAGCTCTGGGTATTAGGCCAGCTCCACCATTTAACGACTGGTGTCTTCAGGAAAGGGATGTGACCTGCCCGTGGGTCACTTTACTTCTGTTAACAACAAAGTCCACAAAAGTTCTCCACAATAGCAATTCAGAGGCTCAACATTTATCAGGCATCAATGAGTGGCCGAGAAATGTTTACATCTGCCCTGTTCCTTCTGTGGGGACAGCCCAGATCACTATGGTTAGCCCAAAGGTTCATAACACCCTTCACACTCAACCCAATCTTTCCTGTTCTGCCTTCATACTTTGGTAAACTCAAATTACAATGCAGGATGCAGTCTGTCAGAGACTACAAAAGCTGTCTCTAGAGGGCCTCCCCTGGAGGCGCAGCAGTTGAGCGCTGGGCTGCGAAGCTGCCTGCAGCCTCTGTAACGCGGGTTCGATCCCTGGTCGCCGGCGAGGGTCCCACATGGTGCGACAGACCTCTCCTGCCATGCTCGCTGCTCCCCTTAGCAGTGTATTTCGTCAGTCTGCCTGTTCTGTTCCCCGCTCTGGCGCTGGTGAATTCTCTCACCCTCCCATGCTTCTGACTGTACCCAGTGCTTGTATAAATTAAAAAGAAAAAAAAAAAAAAAAGGCAAGCTGTCTCTAGAGAGAAATACTCTGCACCTAAGAAGAGCCATTTAGAGGGCACAGTGTGCCAGACAGTCCAGGGTGTGGGCTTATTCCTCCCTCTATAAGCTGGGGGAGAAGCTGTGGGGATGGGGGAACACACATGCCAGAAAAAGGAAGTGTGGCAGTCTCTGGGAAACCCGGCAACAGAGTAAGGAGAAAGGAAGCAGAAACAGGAGGCAGTTCAAAGAGGGAGACAGAAGCAGGTGGGAAGTACCCCTGCAGAGGCTCAGCTACTAGGCAGACACCCACTCACCTTTCTCCACCTGAGCCATACATGCCTCCTTGCATCATATCTGTCTCCAGGTGCGGCACCATATCTAAGCGCTGGTTAATTCTGGACAAAACGGAATCGGCACTGGCGCTACCCGCAGCACTGGGGTTTGTATTTGTGTCAGAGCTAGGCATTTCCCAAGAGTTTGAAGTGGCCATACCATACCCATAGTTGGTGGTGTTATCCTGGCCATAGCCATAGCCATAGCCATAGTTCTCGTAGCCTGCAATGAGGGAGACAGAGATGGTGGAAGAAGGGAGAGGAGAGGCCAATAGAGAGACAAAGAGACAAGGAAATCTTCTGTCAAAGAGATAAGCTGGAGAACCTAGTTACTAGGGGCTGGGTGGGCCCAAGTCACTCTGATGAATATGTCATGTTAAGGAACAGCTGGTCCCAGAAACCTTTGAGCCCCCAAAGGCACATTCCCCTCCACTCTGGCAAAGATGGACAGTGGTAAAAACACACCACCAGTTTGATTCTAAGGGACAGGAAAGTAATCATGGGAAGATACTTGCCTCTGTTTGTCCCAGAGTTCCAAGTTCCATAGCCTATAAAAAAACAAAAAGGTAATTACATCTACAATTGCTTATAATACAAAACCAGTTTCTTAAACAAAGACAGTGATTCCCAGCATCTGATTGTTTACAGGTGACTGAAACTCCCCTAATAAGAAGTGGCAAGTCTGAGAGCACCACATACTCATCCCAGACCACTCTCTGTCCTGGTACCAGATTTCTGTGGCTCTAATCACTTGCTATTTAATAAGCCTCCCATTCCTAACACTCTTAGCTAAAAATTTGGTTCCCATACTACTTCCTTAAAGAGCCAGAATTAGGAGAGTACTACATGCCGCCAGCCAATTACTAATCAGGGGAAGAAGAGAGTGGCTTCTGGTGCCTCACATAGGCTCTGTGTTGTACAAGCAAGTTAGCAAAGAGTCCACACCCACTATGAAATTATGTCATTCAAATAACCCAACAAAAGCCATCTAGAACAGAAACTGACCACACTAATCCCCCAAATGTCTGCCTTAACAGAGAGGTCCATCTGTTCCTTGCCGGAACATGGAACACATCAGCAAGGGAAAAACAAGACACAACTCTCAGCTTGAAGAAATTGTTGAGAGAATAATCTGGATTACAAACTAGATATTATCTAGATTTTCTCACAGCAGCAGGAAAAAAACTCATTCCTTCAGAACATAAAGCCACTGAGAACTGACAATGTGCAAAGTCAACTGGAAACTGAGTAAAGGGGAGTCCACAAAAACAAGGGATCATGTTCCTAGACTCTAGTGGGACCTGAGAGTTGCTTCCTACTCTGCCCTCTAGACAGACAGACCATGCTCACTCCAAGGCAGGGGACCAGAGTTCACTGAGGGCACATGATGAATGGCAGAATTCAGCTACACGAAACCAAGAGTGCCCACTGTGAGAAGGAATACCAGGGAAGGACCCTGCACTTGGGTTCCTCCTCAATCCCGCGCACAAACAGAACAGGGAGGTGTTTAACAAACTGTGTGCATAAGAGAAGTCAGTTGTTTTTTGGAAGGGCTGGAGAAACCAAAGTAAAGGTTTCTCATTCATTCACTTAACAACTATTACACAAACCTAGGGACCTAGGTTTGCAGCACAGATTGTTTAAAGGAGTCACTACCAAGCAGAGCACAGCCAGGAACAACGAGGAACAGGAAATTATACAAGGAAGCAGCAGCAAAGAAGATAAGGCAAGAAGAGAAGCTGGCAGAGTCGCACAAGGAATACTGCACACTTAGCTCTGGCATCTAACAAGAGCCTGATCAAATGGTTGTTTGCACCAGGGACACTAGCTATTCAAAAGGAGCTAGGAGTGGGAGGCAAAGGCAGATCCATCAAGGCTCTGCTTGTGAGGCTGTATTATGCTCCTCCCAGGTTTTAGTTGCCAGGAAACCTGACAGAATGGGTGAAAAATGACTAGGAAGAGAAGCAAGAGTGGGCATTAACTCTGTGAACAGAAGGACAAGCCTGATGGTTGCTATGACAGGGCTCAAGCAAGCACTCCCTGTGTGCTACTTGCTAGGTCTGGAGCAACTCAGAACCCCTGACAGGCTCCCAAGTTGGGTCCCTACAGGGGGAAGCCTATGTCTATTATGGCTTTGGGGACTCTCTGGGACCTGCTCCTTCCAAAAGAATACTTGAATTCACTTCCATCCTCACAGGAGAGGGAGAAGAAACAAAATAGGGGAGGGAAGGGCACAAGGGACTGTAGTCAGTGGGTGATATGGTGGTGGGAGATTTACAAGGACTGCATCTGAGGGAAAAAATCAAATACTGTACAAAAGTGAACAATGATTTAAGAAAATTTAAAAGCTTTAAAAAAGAAGGTATCATTTACCACAGTATCATTTATTGAAAACATGAAATACTTAGGTGTAAATCAAACAAAATATGTTCAGGATCTGTGTTGAAAACTACAAAATAATGAAAGAAATCAAAGATCTAAATAAAATGGAGTAGATATACTGTGTTCATAGACTGGAAGGCAATACTCTTAAAATGTCAATTCTCTTAAAATAATGTATAAATTCAAGGCCATTCCATTCAAAATATCAGCAGGAATTTTTATAGAAATTGACAAACCAATTCTAAAACTTATATACAAATACAAAAGAAGTTAGAATATCCAAATTTATTCTGGAAAAAGGGACATACTCAGAGGACTCATGTTAACTGATTTCAAGACTTACTAAATATTTACCAAAAGTGTGGTCATAGGAACCCCCTTGTAGCCTGCGGGTTAAGGCTCAGTGCTATCACTGCTATGGCCTGAATTTGATCCCTGGCCAGGGAGCTAACCTACACACGGCGCAGCAGACCAATCCTGTCTTACCCACCGCTCCCCTTAGCAGTATATTTTAGTAAATCTGCCTGTTCTGCTCTCCACCCCAGTTCTTCTGTGTGAAAAAAGTGTTGCTTAGATACACAGATCAAGAAACAAAATTAGAGACCACAAACAGACCTACAGATATGTGCAATTGATTTTCAAAAGAGATAAAAAATAACCTTAAACTACATTGCATACCTTATAGAAATATTAAATCAAAATAGACCACGGAAAAAATGCAAAACTTAAAACTACAAAACAGCTGAAGTGCTAATTAGAAGAAATCTCAGACATAAAGATACAACACCAAGATCACAATCTAGTAAAAAAAGATCGAGGCCCTCCCTGGTCTCAGCACTATGAAGCCTGTTCTGCTCCCCACTCTGTCTCTGGTGAATCCTCTCAACTCCTTCCCCCAACCTCTGGCTTACACCCCAGTTTGTGTATGCATAAATAAATAAAATAAATCGTAACCCCCCCCCCCCCACAAAGAACTTGTGTTCCTCAAAAACACTGACAAAAAACCAAACAGACAAGTCACAGTCTGGGAGAAAATATTGCCAAAGGCACATTGGATAAAATCTTGTACCTGGAATATGTGAACTAGAGGGAAAATAATTCCAAAAAGATGTGTAATTTGGGACTATGCTTGATTAAAAGAGGTAAGGCAGGGGAGGGCAGGATAACAGAAGCCATACAACCAAATTTCTTTATAATCGAGACCTCCTTAATTCTACTTTATTATTTATTTATTCTAAAAGATTTTTATTTATTTATTTATTTATACATACATACATGCATACATGCATACATGCATACATACATACAAGCACTGGGTACAGTCAGAAGCACGGGAGGGTGAGAGAATTTGCCAGAGCCAGAGCGGGGAGCAGAGCAGGCAAAAGGACCGAAGCACACTGCTGAGGGGAGCAGCAGGTGGCAGGAGAGGTCTGCGTGCCATGCGGGACCCTCCTCCATTGGCCGGGGAGCAGCCAGGGATCAAACCAGCGCTGCAGAGACTGTGAGCAGCTTCGCAACCCCGCGCTCAACCGCTGCGCGCCCCCTCGTTAATTTTAAAACAATATCTCCCTGATGCCCTAGAACTAGCTGCTAATGTTCAGGGAGCTTATTTATGTCCATTATTTATTCAGTTGACTCCTGAAGAAATGTTACTATATAGGCCCAGTCTTTCCCCAAACACTGTTAGTAAAACAAATGACCTATCTCAGTAATCAAAACATTTTTCCTTATTAATTCTAAAGAGGATTTCCTCTTAACAGACACCTAAGGTCACAAACCATGAGAAGATCAGCTTTTAGCAGTTCTGAATGCTGAAGCACATTCACAGAACAGTTATATGTTTTATTGGATGGTTTTCTGAATTTAGAGTTAGTCTGTCCACCTTTGAGAAATCTCTGGGAGGTTTTCCCTCAACCTTCAGTGGAGAAGCCCACTGGCTTGAGATGGTCCTAAAAGCCTGTTAGAATCAAACCGGCAGACTCTCTAAGTACTATGCTAGGGGTAGGGTCATGGCTTGGTTTCTGCTCTGAAAAATCCTTTGGATTGTGTGTGATCAGTCTGTGGTCACCGACTACAGGTACTTTACCAAATACTAAAAAGGCAAAGTCCCAATCATTTACAGTCCCAATAATTCCAGCTTGCTCAATAACACAGACCTTTTTCCCACAATTGCCTCAGAGAGAAGCATTAGCTATTCTAGCAGTCTACCACACTGTTTTATACAAGTGTGCATTAAGAAAAGCGAGACAAGGTGACAGCAAAGCTATAGGTAACTTTAAAAAAAAAAAAAAAAGACATCAGACTGCTCTACCACTGGAAGGCGGAGTACTCACCCTTTGGTTCCCAAGGGGTCCACACTTACCATAATCACAGGTGGGCTGAGAGCTTGTGTCTGAGTATGTCGACTGCAAAGTGGTTTCAGATCCCTGCACAAAGCCTAAACATATACACAATATGGTTAATTTCCCCAAACAAACTGCATGAGGAAGACCTAAGACTAGTAGAATTTAAGACTTGGTGGAGACTGGCTGGCAGGCCTTCCTCATTGGAAAGTTACCAAAAATTCTAGCTTCTAATATTTTAACTACACCTCCAGACTATATTAACAAATGAAAAGGCAGATTATGTTTAAATTGTGACACCAAACGAGCTGGATAAAAATTTTGTAACACTTTAAATCAGTATCTCATTTTGATAAATGAGTGACTCCTGAGGTTATTCAGTTAAATAAGGAAGATGTTTATAGAAAACCCTCAGAGAGCTGCCTCTACTTCAAACAAGTAAAGGTTAGTTTCGAAGAATAGTAAAATAACGAACACCTCTTGCCTCTTCCCAAATCTCAAACAGAAACTGCTTTGTACTTTTCAGTTTTCTCATAAAAGTTGCGTGCATTACATTTATCTCTTAAAATGACTACTTGAGACCAGCATGCTTATAGGGAATAAATATTTTATATAATACATAATTTTCTATTTTCTCAACTCTCGAACTATTTCTTAAACTAGAATAAATTAGTTACCAGGTAAGGAAAACTCGAAACTATCAGAAACCACTGCTCTTAAATGCTGATTGCAGCAGATTATGATGAATTGTAATATGATGTTTAAAATTACATTTAAAAAATACTTTGATCCCCGCTGGCCAGGGAGCAACCCATGGTGCAGCAGACCTCTCCTGTCTCACCTGCCTATTCGGTTCCCCACTCTGTCTCTGGTGAATCCTTTTACCCCCCTCACCCCCGACCCCTTACCTCTGGCCCGTACCCCAGTTCACGTATGCATAAATAAACAAATCTTCAAAAAAACACAAACTTTAACAGGGCCTCCCTGGTGGTGCAAGTGGTTAACCTCAGCACTATGAAGCTATCAGAAGCCACTGCAGCACGAATTTGATCCCCGGCCAGGGAGCTAACTCACATGGCCCAGCAGACCTCTCCTGTCTCGCCCACTGGTCCCCTCAGAAGTGTATTTCAGTCACCACCTCTTCTGCTCCCCACTCTGTCTCTGGTGAATCCTCTTACCACCCCCCTCCCCCGGCCTACACCTCAGTTCTTGTATGCATAAATAAAGTAAATCTTAAAAGAATAATAAATAACAAGTAAAAAATACTTTAACAGCATTGTAAACCAAAAATATTAAAAATACAATTAAAAAAAGATTCACCGGGGCCTCCCCAGTGGCGCAGAGGTTTAGCGATGGGTTGCGAAGCTGCCCACAGCCTCAGAAGCACCGGTTCGATCCCTGGCCGCCAGGCGAGGGTCCCACATCGCGCACAGACCTCTCCTGCCGCCCGCTGCACCCCTCAGCATGTACTTTGTCAGCCTGTCTGCTCTGCTCAATTCCCTTACCCTCCTGCACTTCTGACTGTGCTCAGTGCTTGTATAAATAAATAGATAAATCTTTAAAAAAAAAAAAAATTCACCCTTGGCACTGAAATTATGATGGATAACATAAGAGAAAATATTTGCCTATTTCGAATATAAGAGGCAGTATTCGCCTATTTCTTTTTTTAAAAGATTTATTTATTAATTTATACAAGTACTGGGTAGTCAGAAGCGTGGGAGGGTGAGAGATTTCACCAGAGCCAGAGCCGGGAGCAGAACAGGCAGACCAAAGAAATACACTGCAGAGGGGAGCAGCGGGAGCGGCAGGAGAGGTCTGCATGCCATGTGGGACCCTTGCCGGAGGCTGGGGATTGAACCGGTGCTGCAGAGGCTGCAGGCAGCTTCGCAGCCCAGCGCTCAACGCTGAACCACCAGGGGAGGCCCAGCGTTGCCTATTTCTAATGTGAGCCAATGAATGACCTAAAAGTTAAAGCCAGAGCCTTCAATTACTTATTCATAACAAAAGTATCCCAAATACCTTTCCTCAGGGTAGGCATTCACATATTTGTTAACAGTCTCTGTAGCTCATCTCCTAAGACCAGAGCAACAAAGATGTTAGCAATAGCAGCCACACTGAATAAGTGTTTTCCCCACAGGGCGCTAAGAGGTTTCTCTGCATTATTTCATTTCATCCCCACAACTGCCAACAAAGGGAACAAGGCCAAGATCCCTTACACTACAATTCCAAAGTCCTAAAAGGGTCTGAAAACCAAGTGTTCTCCTCAAATATGGCGCCAATACACACTTGGGGGCAAGACTGAGCCTGTGAGGACAGTACAATCTTTCTTTACCCCACTTGATGCAAAAATGTGTTTACAGGGTGCTGCCTGAGATCCCAGTGGAGGTGCTGTGGAATGCTGTTCTTTCAAAGCTAGGGTTCCAAAGCATACCAACCAGCAGCACCGGTCAGTAGTTCCACCCTTATCTTGGTCTCAGAGTAAGGAAATGAAATTTGCAATGATTTATAATTATCCCCAAGGAATACGGAGTACATTCTTTGGACAGTTCACCCATGGGGAAACCTCACACATAAACCTGCCTTCTCTGCTGTTTATTCAATTAGCTTCTAGAAATCTATTTGTTCAGCAATAGGGCCACCAGCAAGATGGTCCCAAACTTTCGGTAACATCATTTGTAGATACTATAGAGGCAATCAGAACTTAACATAATTCAATTCCTGTTGAAAGGAATATATACTGGAACATAGTGTGAAAGCTGGAAATATAGGGGCCCTGGTTCTTCCCTAGGAAAAAAGGAAAGATAATCAATCCATCAAACCTTCAGAGCTTAATGGGAACCGCTGCTCTAGTTCTGCCTTTCCCACAATACCATTTCTCCATTTCTGGAGCAGGACTTTTTTTTTTTAAATCCAAAAGGGCAAGTTTATGATATAAAAAGGGAAAGGGAAGAAAAGGACACTTACATAGACCAAGCGGACAGAAAGAGCTGCTCAGAGATAGAAAAATAGGCACCTGCATAGTCACAGGCAGGCAGGAGAGCTGCCTGGAGCAGGACTTTCTTTAGGCAATTATGAACTAATTCTTGTCTGGTTCATAAATCATTCTTCTCTTGGTTTATCAACCTGAGCAGTTTTGGGTAGCAAATTAGCTTTTGGACCTATGAAGCTAAAGGTCAGCCCATTGGTTTATAATTATGCATCACAGCACCTTCTTGGTCACCCTATCAAACTCTTTTTTTGCACAAATACACTAAGCTTCTTAGTCTTATTCTCTTTATTTTTGGAAAGGAAATTCTTTGAAGGAATGATATACAGTAACAAAAACTAATGGCAATCAGAATTAATTCCAGGTTGTGTGCCTTCAACCTCTGGGTAACCAGCTTCCAAGATGGCTTCCCAACAGTATGGTATCCCTTCCCAAACAAATGGGTAGCCAATGTGATCAGTAAGATACAGCAGAAACTACTGAGTGTGACTTCTGAGGCTTCCACCTTACTCTTCTTGGGTCACTTAATCTGGGAGAAATCAGTCACCAAACTATGAGGACGCTCCAGCAGACCTGTGGTACACAATAGCCAATATCAACCTGCAAGCTATGTGATGTTCAGTCACCCTGGAGGTTAGATCCTCTAGTCTTGATCAAGCTTTCTGATGACTAACCCCCAGCTAACATCCTATATGTAACCCCATGAGAGATCCCAAGCCAGACCCAACCAGTTATACCAGCTGTGCACTCCCAACACAGAGAAACTGTGTGATAATGGTCCTATGAAAAAGAATGATAGCGTTTTGGGGGCCTTCCTAATAGCGCAGGGGTTAAAGACAGCGCTATCAAGCAATCACCAGCCACTGCAGCACAAGTTCCATACCCAGCTGGCTGGCCAGGGAGCAACCCATATGGTGGTGCAGGAGACTTCTGTCACGCCCGCTGCTCCCCTCAGCAGTCTATTTCTGTAGATCTGCCTGTTCTGCTGTCCAGTCTCTGTGGTGAATCCTCTCACCCACCCCCCACATCTCTGTTTACACCCCAGTTCTTATATGCATAAATAAATCTTTTTTTTTTTTTAAAGAAAAGAATGATAGCATTTTGGCCCTTTGTTTGAAGGACTGATTCTGGATTTTTCCGTTCTGTTCTTCATTGCTCCCATCATACTAGATGCTCAATGAATTGCTAGATTGCTCCCTCAATGCTAGAGCTTCTTTTCCCAATTATACAGAAAATAACTGGGTTCAAACATTGGACCAGTTATTCAAAAGTAAAAAATTATCACCATCTTCTTTGCTTGGCAACAATGGCAACTCCTGCTTCAAAGTCTCTATAACTTGTCTTTAAAAGCAAATATAACTTAAACTGCATTTGCTTTTGTGTTCTGCTTTATAAAAAGCAGAGAGATAAAGTTACTGTGGTTCTCAGCTGATCAAAATCAAGGAAAAACTAATCATAACCTCATATATCTGGTCACTTCATGCCCATTCAAACCCAGAATTAGAGCCTGTAAGATGTGGAGTTCAAATCAGACTTGGCCATTTACGGACCTCTCTAATTCAATTTCCTTATCCATGTAAATACACGTTCCATTAAGTTACCCCACCACACCAACCATATTCATTTTCTGGTTTTGCTGCAGTCCTGCCCCTAAAAACTATAGAGTTGTCTTCCAGATATTAAAAAGATCTACTTTTCAATTCTAGAGATATCAGCAACAACTGCCTTTTCTCCTTAACTAGGAAAGCTACTGGAAAGGCTAGGGCAAAGCTGGCTAGCCTTAACATTACTGATGTTTGGGGGTCAAATAATTTTTGTGGTGGGGATCATCTTGTGCATGTAGCATGTTTGGCAGCCATTTCAGGTACTCTGTCAGATGCATTCAGGTCTCATCTCCAGATGACAACCAAAAATATCTGGGGGTAGGGTGGGGCAAAGGGGTGAAGAATGGCCTATGGTTGAGAACCACTGGGCCAAAGGATGGTTGTTTGAAAAACTGAGGTTCCTGTCAAGACTTGGGAACAAGAGGAGTGAGGACTGGCACCACCTTTTTGCCTAAGACAACAAACACAAACGAGCCCTAGAGGCTCAGGTTCCAATCTCAGTCCTTAACATTCCGAGCAGAATACAATTAGGTTACCCAGCAACCACACATGTTCAAGCTTGTTTTAACCATCCAAAGGGGAGATAGTCTATGGCTGAGACCCCTCAATGATTACTGTTAAGGCCAAGCCAGGCAGCTTTTCTGAGTACACCCAGAAATGATTTACAACTGCCAAAAGCATATCACAGGGTCTCCCTTTCTCTGATCTCGTTATCCATCTGGTCCCTTCGCTCAAATCCCACTGGCCTCCCCAGTAGATCTAACAAATCAGGTAGTTCCTGTCCATGGCCTTTAATGACAAGGGTTCCCTGGACCAACTGCCTCATTCCACTCAGGTCTCCGCTCAAGTGTGCCCTCCAATCAACACAAATAATAGCGCAAGCCACCATCAGAATACTGACCGCCCCAGAATTCACCCTAAAAGCATCTATTCCCCTAAGGTTCGCCCTTGCCTATAAGCTGCTGGAGAAATTTCTTGTCAGTTTCCTGGGCATCTAACATAATGGAATTAACAGACGTTGAATGAATCAACGGGAAACTCCATTATTCTGCAAAGCTCAAACTCAGACTGAGCACCCAAGGTTCCCCACTCTACTCAATGCCTTCAAAGACTTTCTTCCGGAGGCCTTGGCGCCTCTCCGGGCTGGGGCTGGCAAACGGGCTGCAGTGGAGTGGGGTGGCTGCGCCATTCTGCAGAGAGACTACACTGGGGAGGGTGCGGCATGCGAGAATAGCTGCGTCTGCGGAGGGATCTGAATCGCCCCTTGAGGCCTGTAGCATCTAAGTATGAGGAGGCTAGGCCAGGGAAGCAGATGGAGAGAGCTGAGGGCTCAGGCGACGGGCCGCGGTCCACGGATTCGGGCTTCCGGGGGTCGGGAGCTGAGACTTGAGACTGCAAGCACCGAGACTGGAGGCACCACGGCGTGAGGGGCGCAAGCTGAGGTAACCGGCCCCCGGCGCCATTTTGTGACCGCAAAGAGGACAGTGTATCGGCCTCGAGGAGGCGCGGGCGAATCCAGAGCGGTCCCGGCACATCACTGTCTCTCCCTCCCCGAGCCCGCCACAGCCAACCCCGCCGGGCCCACCTGTATAGCTCATGGCGGCGGCCAACACTGTAACTGAAGGCTCAGGGAGCTGCTACCGTCCGAAGCCGCGAAAGCCGCGGTTATCCCCTGCCCGGGCCCCTACTACTCACAACCGAGGCCCGCCTCCCGACTGCATTGGCTCGCGCAGGACCCAGGCTTCATATCTATTGGCCAACTGGGCCGTTTGTCTCAGAGCTTCCTCATGCCAATGGATGAAGACGCTGCCAATCTAATGATAACCACGCCCTTTTCACCGCCTTCCGTTATCCCCAGCTCGCGGAGATTGGCTGAGAGGTAGAAGGCGTCCTGCCGAATTCGAACGAACCCGACTCTGCGGTACGGAAAGGACTGAGGCCCAAGAGTGGCGGGGCAGGAAGCGCTCCTGTGACACGACGGCCCGCCAGAGGGAGCCGGATCTACAGTGCAGGGGGCATCACTTGCATCCCAGTTCTGCCAGCGAGAAGCTGTGCAAACATGGCCAGGCTATTCTTAACCCTTCTGGCAGTCAGCTTGTAAACGAACATGGTAAAGCCATGCTGGAATGAAAATTACAGCTGAGCGCCAAACAGGATGCTATAAGCGTGTGTTCAAACAGATCACAATGTACGTAATGAAATCATTCTGGTGTCGGTGCGCTGGGTCTTACATTATTAATCGTGACGTAATGACAACGAATGTATTTATATAGCATGTCTATATATGTAATAAATGTCTGCATCTCAAATACTTCCTCATATCTTTGAGGACCAAGATAACTGAGTCTTGGAATTCATGACTTGTTCAAGGTCCTTGACATTTCAGAGTTACCTCTTAAGACCCTCCTGGTTCATTATGGACTTTGGATATCCTGCAGTAACAGGGCAATCTCCAGCCCTCTTCTGAGAACGCTTAGCGGAGGTGTGGAATCTAACGTCAGAGACCTCTCATCATTTCTAAGAGATGAGATAGAGCAGCAGACGTGTGAAAATTCACCAAACTGTACAATTATGATTTGGACACCTTGTTTTAAATTATGCTGTTGATGTTTGATATTGAAATTTCTTTAGGTGCAATGACATTTTAAGAAGTCCATATCCTTAAGAGAAACTTGCTGAAATATTAAGAGATTTAAGACAATGTGATTGACCCCAATGCAAATGAGGAAGGGGAAAAGCGCAGCTTGGAATTATAGCTGAAGATTGGTGATGAATTATATGGAGTAGATGAGTGTTCATCCTACTTTTCTTTGTATGACAGGAATTCTCTGATAAAATGTTTACAAACCTCACCAAAAAGATAGGACTTATGCAAAACTTGCTGCCAATATGGGACAAGGACTATGATGCCTTAAGTGAGAAGTGCCATATACAAAGCAGGAATGTGGACTCTGGCTTTAGGGCTCATTTCAGTGTCAATGTCAGGGATGGATGCCTGCCTGCCTGCCTGCCTGCCTGCCTGCCTGCCTGCCCTCCAAAGGCAAGACCCTGGGACACACATCCTGAGGTATGTACCCACAGCCATCATTTTATCCTCTTGGTAATTTAACAACCAATGTGCTACCTCTGAGACAGAATGGCTCAAGAAGGGGTGTGCTGTTTTCGGAAAAGATACCTCTGTGGCAAGAACTCTATGTACCCACTCAAAGACCTTCACAACTACCACTGCATGGTTGTGGTGGGAGGGGCTTCCTATGTGACTTTATGAGCTCTTGTATTGTTTGAATTTTTTACATTGAGTTCATATCAATTTTACATTTTTTAAAACTAACTTATAAAAAGACAAAAGAGGAAGTGTCTGAGTTAGCTTCATTCCAGGAGATGCCTACCTGCATGATAGCATGGATGGAAGAGGTCAATTCCTCCTATGCCGGGCAAGATGTATAATCTGACCTCACATGAACAGAAAACCTAAGCTTGCAGACCAAGACCACTCTGTGGGCATGTATTAGCACAGCTTGTGGTTACCATTCCCCTACCCGCCCAGCCCCAGGCAGGGGCTAGTTGGGGGATCTGGGGTAATAAGGTTAGGGGTAGAGGAGGTCTCTGCTATCTATACCCCAAGAGGTCATTGCCACTTTCCAGCCCTTAGCCATAGACGTGATAACGATGAGCTGAAAAATCACATGCAATAAACAAGGAGCAGCCAACAAAATCTCTTAAAATCTCAGAAATGTTCAATAAACATTTGCAGAGTGAGAAAATAAATAACATCACAGAGGAACCAGCAGCTCCCTTTTCCCCTTGTATTACTGGGGTTTGGGGTATGTGTATGTGGACAAGTCATGTCCTGAATGCAGGCCAGTCCCATGAGCTACGTTCTCCCCTCCACCTGAAGGGTACCCACACCCTCACTGGACAGCTCCTGCCCTCTGAGAGCCTTCTAACCTGGGTCACTTCTCCATCCTGACTCCCTTCCCAGACCAGTTGCTGATAGCTCTGGTTCCTCTCCTCTGCTCACAAAAGCCATGTCACCAGTTGGCTAGGGCTCCCCACCAGCTACGCCAGCCACTCAGAACCAATAGCTGGGAACTTGGGCTTGTCCCCAGAAGGGTCTGGTTGGCTAGGAGGAAAACCCAGGGCCTCCAGGGGTTCTGAGCAGAGACAGCTTGATCCCAGCCCTGGCTGCCAAACAATGCCAGCCTGTCCAGTTGACAGAAAAACACACGCTGGCCGCCTGCCCTGGGGTGTTTCCAGAAGAGAAATTTAATCTAATTTACATACTTCTAGGTACATCGATAACCAAAATGTGGCCACTGAAAAAAGTTAAAAGGTCAATCGACTCCCAGTTTCTAGCTGGCCCAGGGTTGCAAAATAAAAAGATCCACGTTCCTTATTCTCTACACAAAACGCGTTTTTAAAAAAGTGAAAGGTCTAGGGAGCTATACATAGAAAGCAACAGTGAAAAGAGGGAGGGGCCAGGGGTGGGGGAGAAGAGTCCCACCCCCACCCCTTCCTGGGCCCTGGAGTCCAGGGGCTCTGAGGGGGCCTTGACATGGCAGGAGGCAGCTGTCAGCTCTGAGCTCTTCCCAGCCGGGAAGGCCCCAGGGGGGGTGGGTGTGTGTGTGTGTGTGGGGGGGGGTGTCAACAGGATTTCCGTGGCATTGTGGACTCAGTGGGGAGCTCCCAGGCCCTATCAGGCCTACAAAGGGAGTGTGCCTTCCCCTGAGCAAGCACCGTGGCATGACGTGGTTGTTCAACTCAGGAACTGGGGGGCTGGGGCAGATCCCGGGTCTCACGACGAGGTGTATGCGTGTATCTGTGTTCGCATGAGCGTGCAGTGAGAGGATATTCACCAGGGCAAAAGGGAACCAGGACAGGGGTCTTTGGGATCTTTGCAAATGGCCACAGATAGCAAACATAACCCTATCTGGCTGCTAGACACAGGGGAGTGCTGGCCTGCTTCCCCTGTGACCAGAGACCTGGCCATTGACCCTGCTGGAATGGGTGAGGGTGGGCTGGAGGAAGTTGCCCTGTGGCCCCAGTGTCCTCAGGCTGGGGTAAGGACGCCCCGGCTGTAGTGTGCCCGGCCCCAAAGGGTGCCGGTTTGAGGTTCTGGCTTGCTCCTTTGGAAACGGAAAAGAAAGAGGGAACGGAGGGAGGAAAAGATTGAGGAGGAAGAGGAGACAGAGGTGGCACGAGAGGAGATCTGGAATGCTTCTGTGTTAGGGTGCCTCAGCTGCCGCTGTCTGTGCCTGCAGCGCCTGGGGCTCGTCAGGTTGGGGGTCCGTTTTGGAAAAATTCATCTCCAGGATGTGCCGCTGTAAATGCCGCACCCATTCCTCCTGGATGGAGAGGGGCCCCTGGAATTCCACCTCACAGAACCTGTATGTGGCGGGGGGGTGGGGGGGGGGTGGGAAGGAAGAGGGTAAATCAGAGGGAAGGAGAAGACAAAGCCATGAGCAGAGGCAGATGCATAACCCTGCCCATATCCCTACACTGTTAGTTATATACCCTGAATGTCAGGCACACCTGCTGCTACTCAATATGGATACAGAAAGTCAGGATTTGAGGAAGGGGAGCCCAGAGGTAAGATGTTTCTGCGCGCGCGCATGCGTGCATGCATGCGTGTGTGTGCGTGCGCGCACACACAAGTGCACGCACCTTCTATACCTATCACAGGGTATGGTGGGGTCCCTTGAAGAAGACCCCTGTCTCTATGCTCAGGAAGGGCTGCTGGTTCAGAAGTCGGAAAAGAATCACTAAGCTTCCAGAGCACCTTCACCATCTGATTGAAGCACATAATGTGAGATGGGGGAGGCCCTATAGAAGCACACCTTACCCTTCCACACTGTGCCTGTCCTTGAGTACCACAGGTCTCAGAGCCTTAGTTTGTGGCTCTAGAGACTTGGTTCAAATTGGACTTCTAACTTGGCCTGCGTGGTGGGTCCCCCTCATGTTTCGGAGTCCCAGTTTCTTGGCCTTCTGATGAAAGTGAGTACTTTGGTAAGAATTAACTACAACCAATTTTTTTTTTCTTTCCCAGGTTGACATTTGCTCCAGGTGGTCTGCTGGTTCAGAAGCGAAGTGCTTTCTAAATATTCAACTCTTAATCCTGATAAAAAATCTGCCAGGTAGGATGTTCCCAATGTAGTTTTACTGGTGAAGATATTGATGTCTGGAGCAGAAAGGAAGTCCTTGTCCAAAGTCACCAAATTCTTAAGTCACCAAACTATGGCATTTGAACGCATGTCTGGCTGGTGGTTACAAAACTCCAGATCTTAGCCTGATGCTCTGAGAACCCCTTAGCTTGGGTCCAGCCACACCTCAGAGAAGTCCTTGGGACTCAATCTTCTGAACCTCACTAACCTTGTCCTATTCTGAGGCTCTGGAAGGCTAAGCCCCAACTAGATGGTCTCCCTATCTCCCTCCCTTCCTTCCACTTACCCTCCCTCCCCCAGAGACCTTGTACCTGCACTTCAGGGTGTAGATGTTGCCAACAAACTTGACAAGTGAAGTCTGGGGGGGTCGGGGCACCAGGGAGGGAACCGGCCGAACCCGGGGTGGGGGTTGCCGGACCTCCTCCAGCTTCTGCTGCAGGTCATTGGCTTCCTCGCCTCCCCGGGCTGCAGAGGCATCTGGAGGGCGGGCTTGTCGGCGTTCAAACTCTGAGGTGGGAAAAGGTAGGGAGATGAACAGGAGATAAGCTGGAGTGTGAGGCCCCCTGGGGAGTTCCTGCCTTCAGCAAGCAAAGGGCAGATCCTATGGGGCACCATAATACAGTACAGCTGGTGACAGAGGCAGCACAGGACTTTCCAAGTGCCCACTGCCCTCACAACCCTCTCCACCAGCACTCACTGTTTATATTTTGCCGTTGATGCTCCTCAGCCTTCACTGTGCCTGGTGGACTGGCTGCTAGAGGCCGTTCACCACTGTCGGCTGCTCGGCCTGCCTCGAGCCCTGGCTCACCCCCGGCACTGCGGCCCACCATGGCCAGGCCCCCAGGTGCCAGCCCCAGGGGCGGCCGCCTGTCACCATCGCGGCCATGGCCAGCACTGCGGAACTTCTTGGTGAAGGGGCGGCCGCCCTGGATGTAGCTGCGGTAGGCGCCCACCTTCTGGGGCCTGTGCTTGATCCATTCGCTGAGTGTCTCAATGGGTGAGCCGTTCACGCACCACTCTGTCACACCAAACTGCCGCAGGTGTGCCCTTGCGTGGCTGGCCAGAGCCTTGCGGTTTTCGAAGTAAAGGCCACACAACTCACAACAGGCCTCAGTGGCTGTGGGGCAGAGGGGTGCTGTTGAGCCCCAGCCCCAAGGGAGCAAGGGGCCCCAGAAAGCCCTGTCCGAGTCAGAATCCCACATCCCACCAGAGCCTTGCCAAGGGGCCCCTGCTGGGGGGGGTCAGAGTGAACGGGGTCATGCCCGGTCCTGCAGGCCCCAGTAAATGCCCTCCCAGGACCCTGCCACCCACTGCTTACAGGAGTGGGAGGTCTTCTCATGGAGGGTCTTTGCCTTGAAGGGCAGTTCAGTCTGGATGTATGTCTTGGCCTTGACCTCTGCCGGGAGGAGGCGGTCCTCCTGCAAAGGTCGCTTGGCTGCCACTGAGCCCAGGTAGCCTGTGGCTGAGGGCTTGGCACCAGTTATGGGTGCCAGGCTGAGCTCACGGGGAACCTGGGCTGGGCCAGCTCCTGGTTTACCCAGCCGGCCAGCCATAGGCGCCAGTGGCAGGGGCCCCTGCATGGGCCCAGGGGCCGCTGTGGGGGGGCCGTCCTCAGCCAAGGCAGGGGCCAAGTCTCCCGCAGGTGGCTCCTTCTTGATGAGGCATGGCTTGGACTTCTTTTTGAGGATCTCCCGTAGCGTATCAATGGGCGAGCCATTGACAGACCACTCAGTCACACCCATCTGCCGCAGGTGGGATCGCGCGTGGCTCGACAGACCCTTGCGGTTCTCGAAGAACTCGCCACAGAACTCACAGCGGATATCACGCACTGGCTCTGCCCGGGACGCTGCAGGGGGTCCAGGATGGGGAAAGGGGAGGAGAAGGAGGCGGCAGCTGCCGGCGGGAAGCCTCCAAGCTCAAGGCCCAAATTAAGTGCCAGCTGCCTGACTGCCTCATCCATGCACCCCAAATCTGAAAGACCCACTCCCTTGTCTGCTTCCAGAGGCCCTCATGTATGTCCTGGTCTGCTTGTTCTGTCACTTCAAGTTCTAGCTGGCTTTACAATGACTACCTGTGACATTGTGAAGCGCTGTGGAGCAAGTGCTCCCTTCATCCTGGGCTCAGATGCCAGTTTGGTTGGGATCCCCTGTGTGATGTTAGACAAGCCACTTTTCCTCTCTGAGCCTCAGTTTCCTCCTCATCAAAATGTACATGGAAACCTCCACCTCCCAGCATTACTGGAAGGGCCTAACACAGAAGCCAAAGCACATGACACAAAGCTGGCATGAAATATGTACTTAAGTGCTAAGGTGGAGGCTTGGTCCAACCTCACCACTCAGCACACAGTTCAGCCAACCTGAGAAGAACGAATACAGTGACAATGGGAGACGGGATCAGGTGACAGGTAGAGGTACAATTACTGCATACAGAGAACTGTTTAACCTGGCACTGTGCTAAGTGATTTCCACCACTTGAGAAAACCGAACAGAGATGGGACCACGCTGATCTCCATTTTCCAAAAGAGGAAACCTGCCAGGATCACGTGTTGCTAGACTGTGGAGCAGCTGAAATCATGACTTGAACCTGACTCCAAATGTCAAGTTCTTAGTGACCAGGAACATCAGAAAGACACAGTTCAGACACCTACTTCTGCCTATATTCCTGCCATGACAAACATCACTAATTGATCCTTGTGGTCTTTTTTCCTAGAACCTGGTTGACAGTAACTATCAACTGACTGAAGATGCCATCCCTGAATGACACAATTCTGCCTCCCTCATGTAGGAGAATCAAGCAGGAGCTTAGTCGGGAGTCTGCATAGTAGGAATGTGCAGTTAGCTCCTCATTCTCTGAACCTGTGTATCCTCCCTTCCACTTCAAACCTGGGCACTCTGGGTACCCCCAAGGGGAGGTGGGGAGGAGGCCCCTCTACCTGTTCTCCCTGCCCTTCCCCAGGGTCACACTTACATAGGTTCAGAGGGGTCAAGTCTTCCCGAGGTGCAGCCCAGGGACCCTCAGATGGGTGAGACTCCCCATGAAGGGCCCCTGGCAGCATCTCCCGCTTGATCTCCACCCGCATTTGTTCAGGCTTCAGCTTCTTAGGCAGGGAGGGTGCAGCCAGGCCTGGGAACATCTTCCGGGCCGTAGGAGGAGAAGCAGTTGGTGAGTGGCCTAGGGGGCTGCCTGGTGGCGGTGGCAACTTCTTGGCCAGGGGTGAGATGTGAAGGTCTGCGGGACTGCGGGCTTCCAGTGAGCTGCCAGGACCTCCACTGCCCACCACCTTGGCCAGGGTTTTTGGGCTAGGCCCTGGTGGGTTAGGGTGTCCTCCAGGCCGGGACTGGGTCCGTCTCTTGAGGATCTCCCGCAGTGTGTCGATGGGTGAGCCATTGACGTACCATTCAGTCACACCCATCTGCCGCAGGTGGGAACGTGCGTGGCTGGACAGGCCCTTGCGATTCTCAAAGAACTCACCGCAGAACTCACAGCGGATGTCCCGTGCTGGCTCTGGGCCTGAGGCTGCAGCAGGAGGAAGAAAAAGGGGCAGTGAACACCCTGGACACCATTAGCATTGTCACCTGTGGGTATCCTGGTCATCTGGGTGTGGGCAGCGCACACCCATGGGTTGGGGTGGCGGTGGAGGGCAGGTGCAAGCCAGGGAGCTGAGGAGTGGGGTGGGAGGCCAGACACCTGGCAGGAGCGAGGTGAGGCTCCAGAGAGCACATGGGCCCTCAGTTCTGGTGGAGAAGAATGGAATCAAGACTCCAAGGCTCTGTGGGTCCCCATAAGGAAAGGGGCAAGAGGGCAGGAAGCAACCACCTAAGCAGTCACTCTAAGGGGCAACTATGGGCATGTTCCACACCAAAAAGGCAGTACCCAACCCTTGGCCTTCATTCTCAGGGAAGGTCATAGTCATAGAGGTCAAAGGCCAAGAGAGAGAGCCTAGCAGCCGACTGCCAGTGAGATCTCTCAGCAGAACCGGTCCCCTGCCAAGGGCCCCTTGTCTACTCCCTGCCCAAGCAAGGAGGGAGTAGATTGGGGGCTGTGAACACCCCCCCGGGAGGGGCTCCAGGGCCCGCAGGGAGGAGGAGGCAGCTGAAGTGAGAACCTACAGAGGTTGAGAGGAGATGGCTCCACATCAGAGGCCCAGAAAATGCCAGCGGCTGCAGCGGCCGAGAGGTCCTGCTTCCCCCAGGGGTTGGCCATACCCGTGGCCTTCAGCTTGGCCTTCTTGGCCGGCGGTGGGGGGGGGAGCAAGGAGAAGGCCGCGGAGGCCAGAGGAGGGCGACCCAGGTGGGCCAGGGCGCCGCGCCCTGGTGGGAGGCGGATCTGGACGCCGTCCCTCCTGATGAGCCCGTGGAGCACGTCTATGGGGGATCCCTTGGCGTCCGGGTCGCTGACGCCCAGGTGGCGCAGGTGGGCGCGGGCGTGGCTGGACAGGCCCTTGCGGGTCTCAAACCAGGCACCGCACAGCTGGCAGTCCAGCTCTCTGCCCCCGGCACTATCTAAAGCTGCGGAGACAAAACACAGGGGGGGGTTCACGGCCGCCACTTTGGCCGGCCCTGGGGGACTGAGCAGGAGGGCCTAGTATGATTCTCGGCTGCCCAGGCCATTGGGGGTTCAAGACTAGTGCCACAAATTTATTTTATGAGATTTGGGGAAGCAGGAAGTCCTGTTCCCTGCCTGAACCCTTGGCATCAAGGTGAGTATGGAGAATGTGAAGATGTGGGGTGGAGAGATGGTGGCACTATCCAGTGCTTGAGGATCTTATTCTCTGGGACCCCAGCTATGGGGCTGTGCTAGGCAGGTGACAGGTGCAAAGCAGGGACCGACCCAGCTACTAAGCGTCACATAGCCAAAGGCACAGTTGCTCCTGGCAGCACAGAAGATAGTGCAAGCAGCTTCCTGGAACATTCATGCCAATTTGGAATAGGGGAGGTCAGACCCAGACTCTAATACCCACAAACAGGAAATCAGGAAAACCTGATTTCTTGGGGGATGCCTGGTTAAACTTGCTCACCATACCTGGGTGTTTTCTTCCTAAACCCTACTTTGCTGTGCCCATAGGCAGCCCAGGAGGCACAGCGCCATACTTGGGCACAGTCGGAGGTGCCTCTGCACAGAACAGTTAGGCAGTTGTGATGACAGGGCCAACTATGGAGCCTCCTGTCTGAAGGATCCACAATGCCCCACCAGGGAGCCAGGCCCATGGGAGCTCTGGTCACCTTCACTGCCCTAACCCTCAGACCCAGAGAAGGACAAAAGCTGCATCTAAGTTGTGAGAATGACACTGGCAGGCTCAACAGTCATGGCCAGGTCTTCAGGGGAAGAACAATGATGGAAAGGGGGAAGGGGATGGTAATACGCAGCATGGACAGCCCAACAGGAGATACAACACCCCAACCAATGCTCTGACCTGGCCAACCCAGGACATAGGAGCTGCAGTTCCCTCCTTTCCCCACCCTGGGCCCTGAAGCCCAATTTGAGGTCCCATCCCTCCCAATGCCAGGACCTCCCTTGGCTCCCGGGGCCCGAACTCACTGAGGTTCAGAGGCCCCTCGTCCTCAGACTGGGGCCACTGTGCCTTTGGGGAGGCCGGCCGGGGGCTCAGGGACAGCTGGGGGCTCTTGTCTTCAGGATTCTTGGGGGTGGGGGAGCCTGCCAGGGCCAGCGGTGCCTTCTTGAGGAGTGGGGAACTCGGTGGGTGACCCAGACCCTTGGCTGAGAAGCCAGGAGGAGACTTGATGGCCTTGTTGACAGCAGGAGCATCCAGGGGCTTGGTCAGGGTGAGCAGGCCTGGCCGGGAGGCCCCAGCAACCACCTCCTTCGGTGAGCTGGTCTTCTTGGTCAGACCCGGGGGCAGCCCAAGGTGAGTGTCAGGCAGGCCCTTCTGCTTCACAAGCTCATAAAGGAGGTCGATGGGGGCACCACTGCTCTCTGACTCAGCAACCCCCAGCTGCCGCAGGTGGGAGCGTGCATGGCTGGACAGGCCTTTCCGTGTCTCAAAGCAGGCGCCGCAGACCTCGCAGGTGGTCAGGCTCTGAGCTGGAGGGCAAGATGGAAGATAGGAGAGACCCTTGTGAGGTCACTACACCCACTTGTCCTCCCCCCACTCATCCAGACCCTCTGCAAGTGTTTTACTTCTGTCAAGGCCTCCTGATCCTCAAAATGACTCAAGATGGGAATTAGCCTGTCCTGTTTGCAAATAAGGAAACTGAGTCTCACAGAGAAGGGTTACACTAAAGGGCACACAGTAGGAGGCAGAACCTTTCTGTGGTCTAGTCAATGGAACACCTGACTTTCTCCAAAGCATCAGGGTATCCTGGCAACAGATTTTTAGGCAAATGCTAACCTGCCTGTCATATGCTCACACAGTTAGCCAATCTCTACAGTCCCAGCCATCCCATGCAGATGAAAACAGGCTCCAAATTTGGAGGCCCAGCCACCATCCATGTGATGCCTTACATCCTGTTCTTTAGAGCCCTTACAAGTGCCTATCTGATCTTCTGCCTTGCTGCTTCCCAGCTTCAATGACCCGAAGGATCAGGGCGAGGTCTGGTTTGCTCCTCTCACATACCTGGGACCCAGCACTGTGCTGGACATGAAAACCAACAGACAGACAAGTCTACATCATGCAGATGATCACACAGCTAATGATAGTCAAAGTTGGCAACTGAACTGGGTTTGAGTGTGAGCTGAGGGCCACGCTCACTGCTTCTCTAGATGCCCCTTCCTCACCCAGTGAGGGTGTAGGTCAAGACCAAATATGTATGCATGCCCAGGACAGTGGAAGCTCGCGAGACAGAAGACAGATGTGGAGTGTTGCAGTGGTGCCTTGGAGTGGCAGAGAGAGCAGTATGGTCAACCTGGTGCCCCACACTAACCCCCAGGCCTGAAAGCTCCCTTGTGAGTTTGACTAGCGTGGTCAGCACCCCCACCATGCCACTTGAGTCACTCACCCTTGAGGTCCGGCAGCTCCTGCTTGCTGCCATGAGGAACCTCTGCTGCCACTTTGCTACTCAGCCGATTGGCCACCTGCTCCAGGGGCCCAGGGATAGGCAGGCTCTTCTTGGGGAGCGGGGGGGAACCCAAGTCCATGGCCACCATTGTGTTTTCCTCAGAACCTAGGCCTGTGAGGTTAGGAATACATGCTCAGCCCATGTAAGGTGCAGGATGTCTACCCCCAGTGGTCTAGTCAATGGACTGTGGGGATGGTGGGGCTTCTTCCAGTTGGTGTCTGCTCTTATTTTGGGAGGCAGCTCACCCCATGAAAGCTGAGCTTCCACTCATAACCCACAGCAGCAGTACAGTATAGGGATATCAGGGCTGCCTGCTGACAGCAAAGAATACGTTCAGCTTCCAGGCGGGTGAGGGGATACAGTGCTAGTCTGACTCCCATGCTAAGGGATGTCACAGAAAATATTTCGGGGAAGAACTTGTGAAAAAGAAGATCTGTACATCTTGGGAGTGTGAGGAGCAAGGGGTGGGGGTGGAGGTAGTTAGAAGAGATATTCCATAGAAGGTCAAAAGGGCAATGCATAGGTGGGAAGTCACACAATGAGGCAATGCAGGACACAGAGGTGGCTCCATAGACAGTTGGGCTCACCAGGTGAGCCCAAAGTGGGTTAACGTGAAAACTGAATGCTTGGATTAGCAGGGATTTGACTGTGGACAGAAGAGTAGAATCACTGAACTTGGTGAGAAGTTTGAGACATCTATCCTGGGCCAGGAAGCTTGGGAGGGTGGGGTGGGAAAGTGGAATGTCCATCCACCTTTGAGGACAGGGAGTGAAAAGCGGGTTTTACTAATCTAATTTTTCAGAGAAAGAGGCCTGTTGAATCCCAAGTTTAGCGTTCAGGGCAGAGGGGAGAGAACTCTGAAGATGAAGGAACTTGTCTCGGATGAGGCCCTGGAAACGCTCAGTGCTATGAGAAGAGAGGCCAGCAGGTCCCGGCTCAGTTTGAGTCCTGCGATGACAAGGAGAAGGCAGGCGGAGGGGGCCACCAGACCCCGGGACACCGAGGACTTTGCCAGTCTCTGAGTGGAGTGGGCGCGTCTGTCAGACGGGGCAGGGTCGTGTCAGGGCTGAAGTGGCTGGGAGTGGGTTTCCGCGATGGAGGGCCCGAGACTGCCGAAAGGACGATCCCGGGATTCCAAGGGAACAGGGGGCAGCTGTCAGACCGGGCGAGGGTTCTGCGGGGCAGCGGTGGAGAGTGTTTCTCAAGTCCGCACCCTGCGAGCGGCGATTAAGGCGCGGGGCCCGCTCGACTAGAGGGCCGGGGGGAGGGGGGAGGGGGAGTCCCGGAGACCAGACGGTGGGCGGTGGGGGCGGCTGTGGCTGCGGGTGGGACGCCGACTCAGCCCTCCCCGCACCCTCCCCGGCGCGGGCTCTTACCCGGCGCGGGCCCGGGCCCCGGCTCCGGCTCGGCCTTGGGCCCGTCCCCGCGGCGGCGCGGCGGCGGCGGCGGCGGCAAGGGTGGGGGCGGCGGCGGCGGTACAGCGAGGGCCGCGGGGCCCGGGCTCGGGGGCCCGGGCGGGGGAGCCCCCGCGGGTGCGCGCTCCCGGGCACCCCCCGCGCGCGGCCCCGCCGCCGCCTTGCTCTCCGCTTTTGTCACTCGGCACTGGGCGGTGGAGGCGGCCATCTTGGCTCCGGCGCACGCGGGGCGGCCGCCCCAGGCGGGAGCAGCCGAGCGCCGAGCGGCGCCACCAGCCTCTCCGCTCCGCCCCGCCCCTAGGCGCGCGCCCAGGGCATCCGTGAGAGCGCCGAGCGCCGAAAGCCAAACGTCTGTTCCCACCCTGCCCTAGGCCGCCGGCGGGAGGGAAACATCAGGTTGCAGCGGGCGCCCAGACACAAATGCAGGCTACGCCACCCGGACCCTCGACGGCCGGACGCTCACCTCTCTCTCATCCTCCCGCCCCCGGATAGCCCTAAAGTTAGGATGGGAATGCTCCAACCACATGTATTCAGGTTCCTGGAGCCCCGACGTGCGAAGCTAGGATTTGCCACGGATCTGCTCGCTCCGAGCTCCATTTCCTTCTCTGGGAGTCGCCCCTTCGTTTCGGGGACCCTGGAAGACACCTGATCCCCAATCACGAGGATTTTTCACTCCTCCTCCCCAAACATAATCCTGGTATTCAACTGTTTCTCTGCAGCGCCGTCCGCAGCCCTACGGACTTCCACGCATGGTCCGTACTTTCCAGGCACTACCCACTTCTTCCTTCCCAGTACCAAAACCGATGCCCCCCAGCTGTTCTTTTGACAGCTGGGTGTGGCCGGAGTCTGACCGTTGCTCCGCCCCCCTTTGGCCCATTTAGGGAGGTAGGGGATGGGGGTTGAAGTTTCTAAAGACAGCCCTGCAGGGCCGCTGCCTACCTATCTCTAATCTTGAGCATCCTTCCTCAAGGCAAGGCTTCCTCAAGGCAAGGCTTCCACCGCTCTTTAACGGCCCCTGCCGCTGCCCTTCCCTCCTGGTGTTCAGTGAAAGGCTGATGATCGCTCCTCCTCCTGAGGACAAGGCCAGGACTGTGTGAGGCTGCTTCCTCACACCCCCAAGTGGCTCTTCCAACTTCCTCAGCACTAACTGGGGCTGGCACACTGGTCTTCTGGTGGAAACAACTTATTCAGAGCTGAACCTGACTGCCGTGTATATATCTGTATCCCTGGGGTGCCTGACCCAGGTGCCAGGTAGTGGGTGTAAGCCTGACATGCAGGCCAATACTGAAGTAACAGAGAAAGGATGGGGAAGAGACTGGGGGTGGCTCAGGGCTGTGTTTTGTGCCTCCCAGACACCCTCACAGTAACTCTGCCTTCAGGCTGCCTCAGAGACACTAGCCACGTGTGTGAGCTGAATGCAAAGGCAAGAAGCCTGAGGTCACATCTCCACTATTCCTTTCTCCCAAGTGACCTCAACCAGACATCATCCTTTCTTTGTGCCTCAGTCTCCTTGTCAAGGAGGGGGACTTTGATAGCCCCACCCCTCCTGTACAGACCCTCAAGTCAATGGGCTGGCTGATGGGTGCAGCCAAGCCCAGTGTACAGATCTAAATAGGACCTTGGAAGTTCCCAGTAGGAGAAACATAGAAGGAAGCTTCAATCTCAAGCAGCCCATGGGCAATTCCCCATTCGGGCACCTTCTCCATTCCCCAGAGTCTGCCTACTCTCACTGCCAAATTCTTTGCCTTGAAGCTTAGTAAAGACTCCCAAAAAGACAGACTTTACTGGGCCTGGTCCTTCACCCTTCCACTTCCTCAAAGGTGTCTAGTCCTAGACTCCTCCACCAATTATTACTTCTAGATTTTCCAGGCCATTCTCCACTGGAGAGACCACTGAATACATGGTTCAGCAGTCTAGCTCTTTTGCAAACCAGGTGACTGACCCACAGACAACAATCCTTCCCCCATGGACTTGTTTTAAGGCATAAATGAAACCTTAGAATACAGAAAGCAGTTAGGAGAGGAGTTATCAATGCTGCTTAACAAAGTAGGCACTCTTGAAAATCTAGAACACATACCCTAGATTTGCACTGTCCTGTAGGATCACCGTTAGCCAGGCACTACAACATTTCATATGCTCAACAGCCACACATGATCAGTGGTGACACTGCAGGATGGTACAGATATTTAGAGAACATTTCTTCCATCTCAGAAAGTTCTATTGGACAGCATTGCTTTAGATAGAAGACGTCACTTAAAGCAAGGATTCTGGAGCCTGACAGCCTGTGGTTTCAAATTACAGCTCCACCACTTCCAGCTGTGTGACCTTAATTAAGCTCTCTGGGCCTCAGTTTCCTCATCTGTAAAATGGGGATAACAACACCTATATAATAGAGTCACTATAAGGGCGTAAATGAGTTATCTGACTCCAAGTAAATGGTCAAAAGGCATATGTTGAAAATCACTATCAGAAAGGGCAGAAAGGAACTAGACTCAGACCCTGAATAAAACAGAAATGATCCCTAAGTGTCAGGGCAGTTGTGAACATTTCCTTCATCTCAACATGCTTTGTAAAGTGACTTGAAATGCATCTAGGAAAGCCAGTGACTGACTGCTCCTCCATTTGATCTCTCTGAGCCCCTAGGGAGGGTCAGGGCTCCATCCCCACCCACCCTTTTTCCCCTTACCATCTCCATATGCTGGCCCAGGGTCCTCAGCCCAGGTAGGTGGAAAGGGCACTGTGAGAGGTAAGCGGGGCCTGCGGGAAGTCAGGAAGCCACCAGGTGGCCCCTCAGGCTCATGGCCCAGGGGGCTGGGAGGTTGCTCAGCAGAGGAGGTGGCTAGCAGCTCCTGCAGGATGTTGATGGGTGAGACGGTGAGCTCCCAGTTGGTGATGCCGAAGTCCCGCAAGTGGGCCCGGGCATGGCTGGAAAGGCCAGCTCGTGTGTCAAAGCCAGCCCCACAGAAGTCACAGCGCATCAGACTGAAGGTGCCTGGGTCAAAGTTCGCCACTGCAGAGGGAGAGAGAACATGGACTGCCTTGGGGAGCAACTCTCTGGCTCCAGTCCTCCCCATGCCTCTTGGGGCTGCCCTCCCCGCTCCAAGAATCACACAGCCACTGCTGTCCCCCACTCCAGGAAGCCTTCTTTGCTTGACCACCCTTCCCCCCCAACCAACAGTGCCAACTCCCAGCACCAGGGACCCTACCCAGCCTCAGAAATATTTTTTCAGGTGTGGACTTGCAATCATTTGGGTGAGTATTCAGTTAATACCATTCTCACATCTAGAACTCATCTATTTTTTTTTTAATTGCTTCAGGTAGGTATTATTGCTATCTATATCTGTACTGCATTAATTGAGCCATTTCAAGTAAATTCAAGTTCATAAATTTCCAATGATTCATAAAGCCCAATACTTTATCTATTTTTGCCTACTACCACCCCAGTGCCATAAGTTAAACCTTTTTTGAATGAACTAATGGTCAAAAGGACAGGTCACCTTCCTCTGGGAGCCTACTTGGACTTTCCAGGACCTTCTCTGGGTTTCCCTAGTCTTCAGCTTTGTCTATCACATCCCTGTTCACTCAACACATACCTGCATGACTTCATGACTATCCACCCTGCCCCATGCCCCCAGCGCACACAAAGGCACACACACATTCTCAAACACCATATTACTACCCTCAGATGGGCCCATTTCTGTAAGCCTCAGAACCACCCAGGGTATTGATGTTGGAGACAAACCATGGTGCCTAGAGATCTGCATACCTCACCTGGGGAGCTTCTGAGGCCAACCAGTATCCTACCATTTCTGTTTCTGGGGCATGAAGAGCAGAGACTACTGTTTTGCCTACTGTTGTATCCCCAGTGCCCAGAACAAAGAGGACCTCATCCAGTATTCATCAAATGAAGGAATAAGACGTGACAATTCCCTGCCTGGGATGGATGTCTTTTCCCATCCTCCTTTCTCCAGTTGCTAGAAGGGCCTGGGCATTGGGGCATCTCCATACCTTCACTGATGCCTTGGCCTTTGCTGTGGCTCCCAGGTCTTCTTGGAGGAAAGGCCCTGACTTCACCCTACCTGGCACTAAGGGAGGATCTAGAGTGAGGGTTGCTTAGTTCAGAACTCAGCTGCCCAGCTGTGCATGGGTCTCTGGGACCTCAAATGGCGGTAGGCACCGGAACAAGCTGCCCTACCTTTTTTCTTCTTCTTCTGGAAGGAGAACCTGCGCTCGATGGCCTTCACCTCCTCAGCAGAGATGAAATGTCGGACGTTGTAGCTGACACCCACACGGTTCAGGTGGCCCCGAACATGGTTGGCCAAGCCGATGCCATTGTGGAAGCGATCTGGGCAGTAGGGGCATTTCCGCTCCTCATGTTTCAGTACCACTGCTGGGTCCCCATCCAGGAGTGTGTCCAGTCCCAGTGGGCCACCCAATGGTGCATCCAGGAGTAGGAAGTCCAATGGGTGGGTAACCCCCAGTCCCAATTCTTCAGGCTGCAATCTTGGGGGCATCCTGGCTGTAGCAGCCATGACTTGTGGCCCCAGCTTTGCAACCAGCACCACTGGCACCATTCTGCAGAGCTGCTGCTGCTGTTCCTGTGAGGCCTCAGCTGCCCACAGGGCTTCCTGGAAAGTCTGCTTCAATGCCAGGGCTGGCTGGGGGATGAGGCCAGGGGCAACTTGGGGTGGAAAGATGCCATTTTCAGGGGAAAAGTCCATTTCTGATGCCAGGGGTATATCCTCCTCTTCTTCACTCCAAGGGTACCTCCGGTCTTCCACTTGGGCTGGGAGACCCTGTGGGTGGACACTGCTTCTGCTTCTACTGGGCTGTAAGGAATAGGGGGTAGATGCTAGTGGTGAGGGAAAGGCTGGACTTCCTAGGGGCCTCTGGCCCAAGCCATGTGGGAGGAGAGGCTTTGACAGTGGGAAATCCCTCAAGCCCAGCTGCTGGCAGCCTGGGCCAAAGGCCAGACTGGGGTCGTATCCAGCAGGGTTCTCCTGCCACGTGGGGGCCAAGAGTGGCTCAGCTTTGCCAAAGTATTCCTCAGCAGAGAAGCGGGCGTACACATCCTGGCTGGTACCAGGCTGGCTGGCAGGTTCCTCATCCAAAGCTTCACCATCCTCCTCCCAGCGGGGACGGGCATGTACAAGTCTCACATGCTCCCTGAGCAGGCTCTCACTGGGTGCAGGGAAGCCACAGAAAACACAGGCACTGAGGCCGGAGGAGGCCTGAAAGGGTTGATAGGTGAGGGTGGTAACATCAAGGCCGGGGCTGCCGGCCCCACTGCTGCCCCCAAAGGGCTCTTTGGCTGCCTGGCGCTGAGGCTGGCGCACGTGCAGCTTGGCATGCTGCACAAAGGCTTTGGAGGAATTGGTGCCAAAGATGCACTTGGGGCACTGCAGCCTTGCCTCCCGGCCCTCATCTCCTGGAACCTGCTTCAACTTCTGTATCTCCTCAATAATCTTCTCCCGGGATGCCTGATGCAGCTGCCGATGCCGCTCAAGGGCTACCGGGTCAGTGAAGGCCCAGCCACATTCTCCACAGGCCAACGGGGCTAGGTCAGTTTGGGGCTCCTGACATGGGGTTCGGCGGTGCTGGCTCATATGCTCCAGCAGGTGCTCCTTCTGCTTGAAGTAGATACTACACTCAATACACGGGAACACAGCTGGCTCCTCCTCATCCTCATTTTCACTGGCTGCTCCCTCAGCCACATCTTCCAGCAGCTTGCACAGGTATGGTCCTGTTTGGACCAGGGGCAGCAGTGGTTGAAGTCGCTCCACAGATGCCTCTGAATTCACTGTCCAGGTCTGTGTGGCCACCTCTAAGGCCGACCTGGGAAGATCCCACTCATCAGACTGCTGGGCTAGCCCCTCAAGGTCCATCAGGTGCTCTCTGGTGCCAGTTGCCACTACATCCAGTGTCTTAGTGGGATCTTCTACTGGCACGAGCACAGTCCGGAAGGAGGTAAGGGGCTGTGGCTGGGGTGGCAGGTCCAGGTGTAGCCCTATATCCTGAGGTGGAGGCTGCTCTTCTCCATCTGGGAGCCAGTCCAATCTGGGGAGGCCCCGGGAGACCTTTTCCAAGATCTTCGGTTCACACTGGGGGTGTAAGAACCTTCTAGAGCCCTCAAGTTCAGGATGGGTCTTCACAGTTCTCACAATGACTGAGTCCTCAAACCTCTGCTCAGATGGGATGCTCTCCCTGGCCTCCTGGACCAGAGGGTGCTCCCAGGGCCCTTGGCCATCAGGTGGACCAGGAAAGTGGTCCAGGAGATGGGGTAGTGGGGAGCCCGGCCGGAAGTCTAGGCTGCCTCCATCCCAGCAGCTGCAAGGAAGTGCCAATGGGGACAGGTTAGCCATGGCCTCAGTTTCCCGTCCTAGGGCAAGGGAGGGATCCTCCCAGGCAGTCTGAGACAAGTACCAGAAACCCAGCTATGGGCAAAGTCAGAGGGGGCTGGGAATGTGGGGGTGAGGGCTGGGAGACTCTTGCAGAACCACTGGTTCAATAACCAGGCTCAACTCCGAGGATGCACCTGTTCATACAGTCCAGCCCCACTGTATGATGGAGAGTGTGATTGGGGTCACAAGTGTCCCCAGGTCTGGTGTCACAGCCAACTCTCATCTGTTCCCCCTGGAGGGCCCAATTCTCTAACCTGTGTTCCAGGCTGCTTTTCTCTTGTCCTCCCCAAACTGGGGTGCTTTTGTTAATTTTATCTTTCCACCAAATTTGGTAAAACTCTATAGCACAAACAACTCAAGGGAATACAATTCTCCCCTGAATCTCTGTTCTTGTAAGGGCAGAGAGAGGAGAGGTTGAAGCCTCTGGATCCAGTGACCTCTCATAGAGGAAAGGGAAGGTGAGGCAACCTCACTGAGCCCCAGTTTTCCAACCCTAAAAATGGGGACAAGTCCCAAGAACCAGGAGCCTCTGTGTCCTATGCCACAGCATGTAAGCCTGTTTCTCATACCTGTAACCAAAACAACGCAACAAACAGCAGGTGCTTATTTAAATGATCCCAACCACAACCTTTCAATAGGGGATCCCTTGACCCTGTGAAGTATAAAGAGAGGGTGGCACAATTCATTGTGGTGCTGGAGAAACATTTTGCTTCACCTGATGCCTTGCTCCCAGTGAATCTATTACCAGTGTGGTTTCTTATTATGACAGTTCCTGATAGATCTCCCTTTGTTTTTCAAAATCTTGTCTTCACCAAGGCTATAGATCTCATCATGGAAGAGATGCTAAAATCGGTTCCCCTTAATGACCAAGTGGAAATCAGGGCCACCTCTCTAAGCCTCACAGGTGACAAGCAATACTAACAGGACCATCTCCCCTTCATTTCCCCCCCTCACTCCCTGGGCTGTGGCAAAGGTTTAGCACATTAAGTATGTGCCAAGAGTCTAAATACAGCAAGCACTCAATAACTGAGTTATTAATCCTAATATGTCTATTATTACCTATTAGCACCTGACAAGCCATTTAATAAAGAGTTGCTGGTGTCAACATTGCTGTGGATTCCTGCTTCTACTGAAAGTCCCTTGTGTCCTGAAGGCAAGTTCATGAGATTCATCTTAGGGACCCCATTTTACAGATGAGGAAACTGAGGCTCAGAGAGGGCTAGCATCATTCTAAGGGTCTCATGTCAGAGACAGGACTCCAAGAGGCCAATCTCCAGGCTCCTGCCTCTCTGATCTCGCTCATGACAGGGATAACGAGAGTTGACTATCTCTGTTCATCCTGGGTCTCCCTCCACCCCCTGCACATACCCAGGGGCTTGCCTACTGGGAGTTACCTCTTCCTGCCTGGCCTCCTGATTCCCTCCTATCCCCTTTTCTCTCCCAGGGGCCTCTCTTGGATCTGCTTGCCCCCCTGCCCTCCCTGAGGTCAGGGCCAGCATGGCACTCACCAGCTGCTGATCCGATGGGTGGCGGAGGTGGCACGGGGGAGGGCTTCGCTGAGGCCGGGATGGGGCTGCCCGTCTGCAACAGAGAGGGGAGACCCTGAGGGGCTGGGGCCCTTTGCACACCAGTTCCAGGATCCCTTCTGGGCACCTTGGAAGGGCCCAGCTGGCTCCACATCCCTTTCTACTCAGAGGCCTTTGGCCTCTGCATTCCTGAGCCCTAAAAGGAGTTTCTTCGGAGGAGGGGGACTCCAGGGGCTTGCTACCTTCAATCCTCTTCTCTTTGCCCCCACTCTGCAAACAGGGTGCTTTTTTTTTTTCACACCCAGTGAGAACTCACCTGGCTTCTCATCATGTCTACAATAAAAGCCAGATTCCCAACTTCCATCTACAAGTAAGTCCCTGTGAGGTCAGACCTTTGCAGTCTCTCCAGCTTCACATCCCTCTCTCACATCCCTGATTCCTAAGGAAAGCTCAAACTGTTTCTGGTCAGAGCCTTTTCATTGGCTATTCTTTCTGCCTGAAGAGCCCTTCCCTGGCCTAGCGAGTTCCTGTGATTTTCAATCTGGGCACCTGTTTCATTTCTTAGTATTCTCTGAAATTACCTGGTTCCTTCCCTAGATGACTGCTCACCCATGCCCCTGCTAGCATAGAAGTTCCTGAGGCCTAATTCACTGCAGCATCTGGGGCCTGGCATGTAGCTGGTAGTAAACCATTACTAGCCAGATGATGGGTATGGAGCACATCTAGCCTGAGCTGCAGAGAGTCTGTCCCTGCCTTCCAGATCCCCTTTCAGGTTCTAAGTCCTAGAAGCAAACCCTCTCCTAGGACCCCCTACACAGATAGAGCCAACTCTCCATTATCTGCCTGTGGAGCTAACTTCTGGAGCGACCATAGGAATCCTGGCCTGCATTTCCTTTGCCCACCACACCCGCCTGACACGGGCAAGTGTGCCAATTGGGGAGCAGGCCAATTGCCTGGGCCAAGGTTAACACGCTGGGCGAACTTGCAGATTGTCCAGAGCCCAACAGATGCAATTGCTGGATTAGCCTCAATTTGAGGATGGTCCAGAGAGAGGGCTGGGGCTGGGGATCTTTCTTTTTCTAATCCCCACCATCCACTTTGCCCAGGAACTGAAAGCTGCCAGGAGCCAAGGAAATTAGAAATACGGGCATGAGTAGGGGTGGGGTTAGAAAATTGTGGTCGCTGTAGCCTGAGAAGAGGTGTGATTATAGTATGGTCTCTAGAATAAGAGGGTGGTGATGGAGGTACAGAAAGTTGCACCATCTAGAGTAGTTTCTCAACCTCAGCACTATTTGCATCTAGGACTGGATCTTTCTCAGTGGTGTAGGTATTCTGTGCACTGCAGTGTGCTGAAGAGCAACCCTGATACCTACCTACTTGATGCCAATAGCCCCGCTTCCTGTCTCTGTCTCTGCAGTGATGAAAAGCAATTATCTCTCCAGATATTGCCAGTGTCCCTTGGGGGAAGAATCACTCTCATTTTGGAACTCCTGGAGTAGACTGATGGGGGCAGGGCCAGACCAGGGACACACTTGGATTCAGGTTGGGAAGGTGGGCTGGGGTGTTGGAGAGGATGTAAGGGTTGAGAAAAGCAAGGACTAGACCAATCAAGGGAGAGAGACCCCAAGAAACAAGGTCTCTTGAGAATGTAAGAATCACAGATATGAGCTTGTTGGGAACAACCAGTTCAATGGCAACAAACCCCCGGCACAGCAAAAGTGCAGGTCTGAGAGTCCAGGTGTTCTGCTTCTGAGATTCTGGGACCCCAAGCTCCCGAGATTCTAGGTGTCCCAGATTTGATGATTCTGCAATTGCTGTTGTCTAAGAATTCCATGAGCCAGGGGGCTGTATTGGCCTCTTTGTTTGAGCAGCTCCAGCGAGGCTCCTATTTTTAGTGGCAGCAACTTTGGAGAAAGGAGGTCAAGTAGGGCCCCAAGTCCAAGACACCTGGGGGGAAGAGGGCTTGCTTAGAGGCCCCCAAAGCCAGCCAGTGAGGTTCCAGAAGTCCCTATAGGTCAGATGGACACAGCCTTCAGGCAGTGGTCATGCCCAGGAGCCCTCACTGACTCCTGCCATCTGGGATCCCCTGAGAAGGTTTGAAAATGAGAGAGAGGAATGACAAAGGTGTCCATGAGAAGCTTGAACCCTCAAAGCAGGAGACTTGGCTACTGGCCAAGAATCTAGACCTGGAGCCAGACACATGGTGAGTTCAAGGCCTGGCATTGACCTGAAGGGCATGCTTTTCCGGTTCTGAGCCTCAGTTTCCTCCTCTGGATAATGGGCATGGCCACCACCCAAGTCTAGAGGACCAGAGACAGGTACCAAGGAGATATAGAAAATTCTCTATTCACAGAGACGCAGCTGGGGGAAGAGGGAGGTGTCCCTCTCTGGGAGTGTCCCAGTTTGGAGACATCCCAGGTTGGAAGTTGAGTCCAGACCCAGAGCCTCAGGCCTGCTTACTCCATGCTCTGATTTTCTCCTCAGTCTTGGGCCCCATGTGGGCAGAAATGATGCGTTGTTCATCCCCTTCTCCCTGGTCCCAATGCCAGGCAGGCAACAGACTCCATCAATCCATGTAGACCGTCTCAGCCCCACTGCACACGGGAAGCCAAGCAGAGGGCCCAAACATTGGGTAGGGGAGGGGACAGGGAGGCTGTGGGGATTCCAGGCACACAGCCATAATGGAGGACAGAGAAGGCAGTGGATGTATTTGTTTCTAGGTAAGAATTTTTGGCAGTGGAAGAAGCGACTCCAGGAAAGGCTTTGGGGGTTCCAAGGGCTGGGCAGGCATGAGAGAAGGCATAGGCTTCGGAGTGGAATGGCAGCCCCACAGCCTGTTCCTATTTATAGGCATCACAAGACCCATAGGGCAGGTGCCCATACCAGGGAAGGGGGGTTGAACAGGCTGAGAGGGCAGCAGGGGAGATACCAGGTTTGAAGCCCAGAGCTTCATCCAACCTCCAGGCCACAAGCATACTCTAAGTGAAACCAACCCTGCCCCAAGTCAAGCCCATTGTCCCAACCCACATTTGTTCAGGGAAACCCTCCATAGTCACATTTCCCTTCTTCTCCAGGGATATGCAAGGGACCCTGGTTGACTCGCCAGTTGGGGAGAGGGCACACCAACTTACCTACCTACCTACCTTTCCATTTCTCCAGACCTCGAGCTTCTGCCAAGTCAAGAAGTGCCCAATTCCTCAGAAGCAGAGAGGACCTGTGTCCCCAGAGCCTGTTCCCTGTTCTCCCACAAAGTAAAGGTCCTGAGCTAACTGGGTGAGCTGGGCCATGGTCCTACCTTTGTATGGGCCTGGGTTACTCATGTTTGGAGGAAGGGATTGCTAAGATTCCTTGAATGCTGATATTCTGCCCAGAGGGGTCTCACCCTGCCATTTCCCTGCATCATATGACACCTTCATGTGCCACCAGTCTGAGATTCCACAATGCAGATTCTCCTGCATTGATGCCCCCTGTTCTCTTTGCCTGACTCACTGTTCCTCATCCAAAACTCCTGGATACCCTACAGACTGGGCCAGGCACCTCATCTGGGGCCTCAGAGACTCCCCAACTTCCCCCATTGCTGCTCCAGCAAATGTGCCAGGGCCTACAAGGGTGGGGATGGTGTGTGTGTTTGGTCACCTCTGTGCTATAGTGCCCAGCCTGAGAAAGGGATTTGTAAATGTCTGCTCATCATGAGCATCACTAAGGGTGAACAGGGCCTGGTCAAGTCGGCCTTATTGCAGAATGGTGGTTGAGAATGAGGCTGGTGGTTGCAGAGAGGTGGTTGAGAATGGAGGTTGAGAATGAGGCTGTTACAGTCTGGTTGATTCACTTTGGGCAACTCACCTCTCAGGGCCTTACTTTCCCCATCTCTAACATGGGATGATAATAACCAAGACCACCTCATAGGGGCCTTTTGAGAATGACATGAGATGATCATGTAAAGAGTGTAGCATAGTGGAAACCCCTGGTGAGGTGTTGGGGGTTCCTGGAAATCATGGCCTTTCAAGCAGACCAAAGAGATGAAGGGAGATGTCTGGTATATCAGCCAGTGCCACTCCCTCTGCTCTCCAGCTACACCAGGCTCCTGCTTTGTCTTTGAGCACACCATTACAGGGCCCTTGCACCTGCTATTTTTTCCACCTGACTTGCACTTGCCACCATTCATTCCATGCTCCACTCAAACACCAACACCCGAGGAAGGCATTTCCCATTCCTTCAGACATGATCCTGGTGCTCTGTTGTATACCTTCACAGCCTGTTACTGCCTACCCTTGTGTTATTTATTTAGTTGCTTGTTGTCTGTGTCCCCTACTAAGATGTCAGGCCCCTGAGGGAAGGAACTTTCTCCCCAGCACCTAGAACAGAGCTTGGCACATAGCATGTGCTAAATGTTTAATGCAAGACTAACAAGTCTTGAGTTGGGAACAGTGTAAGAGCCTCTTTTTCTGGGTAAACTGAGGCACAAAGGGTGACTTGAATCTCTGATTATCCAGTCTTTCCTAGCCACTAGAGGGCACAAGGTGCTTTGGCCCATGGACTTACAGTGCAGCCAGAGGGAACTGGGATAGATTGATAGGAATGAGATGCCTGGGGAACAGACTTGGGGCAGGGAATGTCAGGCTAAGTTGGATACCCGGACCCAAGTGACATACTCTGAGGAGGGAGTCAGGAATATCTAAGTTCAAGTCCCAGGTCCTCACCACCCACTGGGCAACCTTGGTCAGATCATTGGTTCCCAGAGCTTCTGTTTTCACAATTGTAAAATGGGAAAATAAGCACATTGGAAAGAGAAGGCTCTGGACCTAAGCAGAATCAGAATCCCAACTCAGCCCCTGATGGGCTGGATAACCTGGCCCTCCCTGATCCTCTGGAACCAGGCTAGATGCTCCCCCAGGGCCACAGGCCCACCCACCCTCTTACCGGAAATGCCACCTCTGCCATCCAGAATTTCCTGGTGGTCCTCCTTGGTGACAGGCAGGTAGTAGGTGGACCGGAAGATGCCACCTTCCCCCTCAGCAGCCTCAGCTCCACCTTTAATGTCTTCCCTTGGTGCTGGGCCAGGCAGTCTCTCAGGGCCACAAGGACGATCTGGGGCAGCCAGGCCACCTGCCAGGGGCCCATCCATGGGTGCTCTTTGCTTGGCTCCACTCAGCTACTAGGCTGGCTCAGCGAGGCATTGTAGATCTGAGGGGAAATTGAGAGGTGCTTAGGGGAGGTAGGAAGGAATTTGTTTCAGTTTCTCCTTCCTCCAAGCCCCCATCCTTACCCTTGTAATTCAGTCTCAGTTTACCTCCCAGCACAGGTGAGCTAATTAATGGTGCTGAGTTCCTATCCATATATATTGTATCCAGGATGGTATCCAGCAAGCCTCAGTCTTCTATTAAAAACTCTTTTTACACAGAACCTACACTGCCTCAGTTTACCCCATTTTTGCACATGCAATCAGCCACCCTGCTTTCTTCCACCATGACTGCTATAGTTTCTCCCAGTGCCTCCCTTCATTCACACACAGCTGCACTTTCTCCAGCTGCACTTTCCACATTTCCATGCACATGCATATGGTCCACCTATGCCCATGCTTCAGTATGAATCTAGGCACTTCTACCCTCTGATCCTACACACTGAGACTTCCCCAACCCCTCCCCCCCCAATGATTACCAGGGCACCTTTCTCACACTCCAACCCTCCTGCCACATGACCTTAGGGTTCTCCAGCATTAACCCCTTCACCCTCACACACAGCCTCAAGTGACCCCAGAATTAATTCTTGCTCTTTCCCCAACATTACCCCTCATGCACACCCAGCCTGGGTTTCTTTATCCCTCCCTCCCAAGGTCTTCTCTAGTGTGTGAGTAAAAGGGACTGATTGGGGCTCCTGGTCCAGAAATGAGGACCCTAGGGAGGCCGGGGAGATGGGGGGGTGCTGTTCTCTCCACCTATAAATACCTTCAAGGTAACGGCAAAGTGAAGGGCAGGAATGAGGCGCCCTCCCCAGGGAGATGGAGGGGAGGCCCGGCCCAGGCAACCGGGGCGGGGCCGGGGCTCCAGGCCCGGCTGCAGGCGCTGCCCTCCGCGATCGGGGGGCCTGGGTGCTCCCTGGGGCCCCGTCCGTGGGCTGGCAGTCGTGGCGGAGGGTCCCTGCCCAGGCCCGGAGGAAGCACCTGCGGGTGCCCACCGGGTGGGCACTGCCCTCGGGGAACGGGCGGGACCGTAACTTCGGAGCACTTTGGCAGCGTGCGGAAGGGGGTTCCCGCCTGGACGCCCCCCGGGGGTCGCAGGGATGGGAGTGTCGCCGTGCTACCAAAGCCCACCAGGGGGCCTGAGTCTGGCAGATGAGCCCTCCACCCGTGCACCTCGGGGCGGGAGACCCCGCGGGAAGCGTAGAGTAGGGGGGTGCACCTGCCCCAAGACCCCCGCTCTCCCCAACCTGCGCGGCCCCGCCCCCGCCCAGGCCCCGCCCCATGCAGGCCCCGCCCCCGCCCCCCGCCCCGGGGGGTCCCGCCTGGCCCGGCCCGGCCGGGCCCGGGCCTCCCCCTCCCAGAGCCGGCTCCGCCCCGCCCGCGAGCTCCGCTGGCCGGGCCGGGCCTCACCGGGGAGGCGGTGCCGCCGGCCGGGCGCCGGGGCACGGAGCTCCCTTCCTTGGTACGGCCGTCGCTGTTGCTACCGCTGCTGTTGCTCTCGGTGCCGGTGCCGCGGCCTCCACAGCCACCGCCGCCTCCACAGCTCGGGGGACATTGTCCCTTTAAATTACTCCCCCCGCTGCCCCGCCCCCCCGGCGCGCCGCCGTGACCTCAGCGCGACAGCCCCGCCGCACCGCCATGATGGGGAGGTCCGGGCCACCCCCCCCCCCCCTCCCCCTTTCATCCCCCTCCCCCTCGCGCCGCCGGTGGTGGGGGCCGAGGGGGTGGGTGGGATGCCAATGGGCGCGCCGCCATGTTGGGAGTGGCCTGGCGGGTCACCTTAAAGGGCCCGTGCGGCCAGAGCGTCCTAGGAGACGCTCTGTTACCATGACAACACTCTTGTCCTCCTACCCCCAATGGGTTCCTCATCACCCCACTGATTCTTCCAATGCTAGCCCGCTTGCTAATAGCACCAGAAGAGTGCGGAGGGGGCAGAAACCTTCCCCCATGGATCATTCATTGGTCTTTCTGGACTTTACCCTGGCAGACCTTAACCTTCACTGTTCTGCCACCAATCAGCTACTTTCCATCCACGAACTCATTCCCATCTTCCCTGTTATCCATATTGGACTTAAGAACCTCATAGCTCCAAAGTTGATCTAGTCCCCTTGTGCACCCAACCCCCAGGATCACAGCACAGCCCCATCACCCATCCACATGTTCAACCAACCATCCATTTTTCCACCATTCATACACACAATCTCTCAACCATCTAACCACCTACCCATTTACCCATCCAATCACTCATCCATCCATTCATCCATCCAAATACCCACTCATCTATCCATATTCCATCTATTAGGCTATCCATCCACCACCCAAGCATATGCCTACTCATCTATACAACCCACCAAGTACCTTACCCATCCCTACATACCCAGCCACCAAAAACATCCATCAATTGCACTTTGACTTATCTCCTTCACTACAGTGTAAGCTCCATGAGGACAGCAGTAATGTCCGGTAAATTCATTACTATTTTCCCACTGTATGACTCAAGAATCTCTGGAGACCTCAATAAATATGTAGCCATAGCCATGTGCTCAATTCAGATATTTCCTACTGTAATCCAGGCCTCTTCTAGGCAGACATGCCTATACCAGCTAACCACCTACTTAACTCACTTAGTAGGACAAATATCCCACAAATGCTGACACATTCATCTGCCTATTATCCTATCCACCTTACCCCTCACCTATCCACCCACCCATGATTCAAATGCCCATTCATGCACCCAACCAATATCCAGAGTTCAACCACTTCCACAACTACCCAATCATCCCTTCATCTGCCTCACAGACGTATGTCCTTGCAGTGGTGTGGGATTTGGGGGGCCTAGGAAGGTGCTCTCATCTGGGATCTGGGGATTAGTGGAGGTGGAATTTTTGGCTTCATTTGAGAAGCGAGTGCTGCCCTTAACTACAAATAGTTTTTATGGAACACTAAGCTATGGGTCTTCCACTGTGTAAGGAACTTTAGATCCACTTTATAGATGAAGCAAGTTAAAGCTCAGAAAGTGAAGGCTCAGAAAGTGAAAGCTGCTGAGACTCCTCTTACATTGCTCCCTTCATGAGACCTCCAATTAGGGGAGGATTTAGGAGAGCAGAATGGACAGGGAAGATACTTTTCGATTGACAACACTTAGGGGAAAAAACACATGTCGCTCTTACTGTAACCAAGATTTTACTGGGCAGCCTCAAACTGCCAAACTATCTGGCACCAAGAACTCTACTCTCCATTGAGGCCACTTGAGGACTGAGGACAGAGTCAAATGTGCCCCCCCCCCACAAAGGCTATTTCATTGCACCCAGACCACGTGGGGGAGGAGTGGGCAGCTCATGTGGTGTCTCCGTTGAGGCAGGGTGATTTGAGGGGTAGGGGCTGGGTCCAGGATGACTCCGGGGTCCTTAGATGAGACTGCAGGCTCTGGACAATATCCTTCAGCTGGGTCTGAGCATTCTCCATCTCAACCAGGCGGCTCTCCTAGGGAGGCAGCGGCAGTGAGCTCGAAGTCAGAGGAGGGATGCATCCAAATCCTCGCTCCCCCAAAGGCCCAGACCTGTCACAAGGCCAGGAAGGGATCTCACCAGAGTATTCAGCCTGTGGCCGTCATTGCTTGGAGGGTCGCATTCTGCATACAACTGCGAGGTCCTGTAGGGATATAGGGGCAGGCAAGGAGTAAGAAGCTAACAGACTCCCTTCCAGCTCCTAGTTGGACAGCCAGGGATTCAGGGGGTGAGACTTGGAGTAGAGGTGGGTTTATCCAGGCTGGTGGGCGGGGCCTAGATAAACTTGAAGACACGACTGAATTAGAGCCTGGAAGGCTGGGGAGGGGCGTGCCCAGACTGATATATGGGGCCCGGCCCAACCTATTTGGGAGGGGCTCATTTGAGGAAAGGAGTCTGGACAAAAGTACAGAATAAGTACTAGGACCCAGGGACGGGCTAACCTGGGGGCTAGAGGAGCCGACCAAGAGGCAGGACCTAGACTGGGGCTTGGAGGCAGGGCTGGAAGAGGGGGAGTGGTCATTCCAGGCGTGGCTTAGGTGGGGCTGCCTGAGAGTAACGTTTGAATGAAAGGGTCAGGGCCAATCTGATTATCGTGGGCCCACCTGGGGGCGGGGCTATGGCAGCAGGTGGGGCTCACCCTTCACGGAGCCTGGAGTCCAAGTCCTGCAGGTGGCTTCGAAGATGCTCCTGCTGTTCCATCAAGGTCTGGATGTGGGTGCTAAGCGACTCCAAAATGCCGGACAGCGTCTTCTGTTCCTCACGCAGGGCGACCACCTGGCACTGCAACTCTGCCAGCTGTGAGAAGGGAGCAGCTGTAACTTGACCTGCCGTCTCACCCCTTCTTCTGGAAGACCCTGACCTCCCAGGCCCTTGTGCGCTCCCTTGTTATTGTCCTGGCTCATACACTTTCGGAGGATAGAGGAAGAAAGAGAGGATTGGGCTAGCCTGGGATCACAAGACGGAGTGAACTCGGTAACTGAACCTGCTGGGCTTTCAATCTTTTTTCTATCCTGCCTCTCCCTTCTGTAGACAGACCTGGTTAGATCTCACCTTGCCAACCGGTCTGTGCGAGCCCAACGTCCGGTCTGTGTCTCGTGGTTGGTCCAGCTGGCGCTGCCAGGGCACGGAGGGCTTCCGAGGCAGTGAAGACGTAGCCCTGGTCCATGGTCTGCCATGGGCCGCGGGACCTGTGTGTAGGGAGCTTTTGGGTTGCGGACAGGGTCCTACAGGCGGGCAGCGGCGAGAGGGGTGGCCAGCCGGGACGCTCTGTGTGCGCTGCACCCGCCTGGGCAGTTTCCCGGGCTCCTCTTCTGGCCGGTGCCTGGTCCAACTCCCAGTGTCCTGAACGCTGCGCAGGGACTGACTCTTGGAGATGAGGGGAGTGTGCTTGGACAGGTCCCGGGGGAGCAGGAAGTGAGGCTTCTCCCTAGCAGAGAAGCTGGAGGGGAAATGTGAAAGCTCAGGCCCTTGGATGGTCCCTGAGCAGACCCCATCCCTACTTATGACCAGAAATGGCCCCACCCCTGATCTACTTCTACCCCGTCACTTATGAGAACATATCTTGATCTCTAAGCCTATGCTGAACTGACAGTACCATTCTATGACACTTGACGTGATCTGAATTTAACCTTTGACTCCTCTCTAGCCTGTCCCTGACCTCTGACAGAATGTGACTCTTGACCTGACCCTCTTTGTAACTTCTGATTGTGATCTGACCCTGGGCTTCACTCTGCTCTGTTCTTTCCCAATTTGACCCCTCTTGTTGCCAGACTGACCTTAAACTGACCCTGTCTCTGACCCCTAATAAAACATGATCCCAGAGTTCTAACCCCAAGTATGACAGCATCTTAACATCTGACTCTGAGCAGACCCCTGGTTTGACCCCATGCACAATCTCCCACTGAAACCTGTTCCTTACTGCTGATCACAATGTCACCTTCTCTCTCGAACTCCAGATGTAACCAATCCCTGACTGCTGCAATGCCTAATCCCTACCTTGCACTCCAATCTGACCCATTGCCTGCTCTCTGACCACACCGTAAGACTCTTCCTGACCTCTTAGATGACCCCATCTCTGACCTTTATCCAACAGTTTCTGATGTGACTCCCTCCCTGACCTGTGACATGATCCTTCTTTACCTCTCACTACTGATTGACTCAATGCTCACTTTAGGCCCTGCCCCTGCTCCTACCCATTAGAACTGGACCAGACTTGAGGCAGATTTACCTGGAGTGGACTTGGGCTGGGGGTGGTGGAAGGCACATTGGCACAGACACGGGCACAGGCTGTCCCTCCTCAATGGCTTGTAGGATGGTTGGCAGTGGTTCCAGGCTATCCCGGGTGGCCTGGTGAGGCATACAGGGAGGATGCTGAACAAACTTTTCTGGGACCAGAAGTTCCTTGCCCTCTTGCCTCCCTACCCTATGTCCCACGCTCTGGGCTCAGGCCACACCTGGTCAAGCTCAGCAAAGATGGTACAGAGCTGGGCATGCAGGACCGCCAGCTGGAGGGCCAGGTCAGTGCTGCCCTGGTAACCACTGGGTGCTGCATCTACATCCACCATGGCTACTTGGTCCAGGAAGCGTTGCATGGCAGGTCCATGGTCCTCCAGAAAGGCATTCATGAAGCCCATGTATGCCTCCTTCTCACCAAACCTGGGTTAAAGCCCAACTAGGTAGGTCAGATCAAGCATCTTCTACACCCCTCCCCAGCCCCAGCATAACCCCAAGGCTCCCAGCACCTACGGGGCACGGTTGGCAAGGTTCTGGATGACCTTGGCGATCAGTGTGAGGGTGCGGGCTGGGCTGGGTGCTGGGTGCTCTGGTGCCAGTCCAAAGAGGCTAGGCGCCAGTATGGCAGGACACAGGAGTCGCAGGAAGAGGGAGGCACACACCAGACGGGGGCCCAATGCCTCAGAGCCGTGTGCTTTGCATGCTTCTCTCCAGCTTGAGAACACAGTGCCCAGCTCTGCCGGGAACCAGCTGGGACAAAAGAAGCCATGGTGTGTGTGAAGGAAATATGTGCATAAAGTTCCCAAATGATCAAAGTCCTAAGATCAGGGGTCAGGAGTCATCAGCCTCTAGGTTCCAGGACTTGGCACACAGGGGATAGTGGTGCTTAGGGTTACAGGTCTGCTTAGGGTCAGGGTTTTTACTGAGCTGCAGCAACCCCTGGGGTTTTAGGTATAGGTTAGAGGTCATGAACTTGGGATTAAGTTTGGGGTGACAGAGTACATGATATGAAGTAGGATTGGATTGGGGTTCCAGAGTCACCTAGGCTCAGAAATCATGGGATTGATGGTGGCACGAGATTAGTTACACAGCTTAACCTAGGGTCAGAGGCAAAGGAATGGGAATCCCAGGTTTCCTGTGAACAGTTGCATGGGATTTGGGATACAGGCTCACATAGGCCGGGAGTCAGGGGCTGGGGGTAAGATATCACTTGGAATCAGAGGTTGTAGGATTGTTCTTATGTTAACTGTGATCAGATGACGTAAAATTAGGTTATGGGGCCACCTGTCATTATAGACAAGGAAATTGGGTCCCAGTTTAGGGCCAGGTGGCATGACATTGGCAATGGGTTGCCAGATTTAGCAATTAAAACTTCAGGACAAAGAGTTAAACTTGAATTTTAGATTAAAAAAAGAATGCTTTTTTAGTATAAATATGCCCCAACTATTGGGTCACATTTGACTGGATACCCTGTTGTGTATCTGGCAACCCTAATTGGGGTCAGGATTAGAACAGTGACTGAGAGATAGGAGAAGGCTCAGGTGTTGGGGATCTGATTTCTCACTCATTGGAGTGGATGATGTTCTCGAAGACCTCCTCACAGCTGTTTCGCAGTCTGGCCTGGTGATGGGGCAGCTCTGGGGCTGGACATTTGCTGGGATCTACCTCACAGTCCTCAGTGGAGGCACAGAGACGCCGCACAACCTGCCCTGCAGTCCAGCATAAACGGGCAGGGCCATGAACACCAGAACCCACCACAACCAGCCTCTATCTCCAACTTATTCCAGAGGAGCCTAACATTTGGGGGAGCCCCCAATTCCTCCCCTTAGCATCACACTACCTACTATCCGATTCAGGTTACACAAGGACTTCCAAATTTCTCCTGGGGTCCCCTAGCTCACCCAGCAGTCCTCTGGCTGCCCTGCCCCCCTTGCCCTCCCCCACCACCTCCCAGTTCACCTAGGGTCTCTTGGAGGTAGTCTTGTGCGACCAACTTCATATACTCATCTATGGCTTTGGTGGCCAATGTGTTTTCCCGGAACAGCAGCGCCTCACGGCCTCCACAGCGTGCAAGTTCCGCAGTGCCCAGGTCTGTCACCAGTGCCTGGACATTGTGAGGGTTAAGCTGTTTAGGTCACAGTCTGCTCCAGCGGGCACCCCTGCTCTTGGCCAGTCGTTCACAATCTGGGGCACAAGCCCCACCCTCATAGCTGCCGCTCACCTCTGGGCCTCATAAGTGGCCAGAACCTCCATCCTTCAGAGCAGAAACTTAAGCCTCTTAGGGTTGTGCTCTCTCAGGCCGGGCCCTTCCACCCTCACAGCTCAAATTGAGGCCCCGTCCCCGAACCCCCACCTCCTCCGCTCCCCCAAGTACTGCTTTCCAATCCCTCCCCTGTCCCACCTCACCCCACCCGCCAGCTCGGGAAACAGTCTCTTAGTCCCTGATCACCCTAGTCCTCTCAGTCGCTTCTCCGCACCTGCGCCCGACCAGTGGCCTGCAGCACGCGCACCATAGCAGCCGCCAGTTCCTCCTTTGCCTGCGCCGACAAGGAGGGCTCTAGCGCCCCGCAGAGGCGAGCGTAGTGGAAGGTTATGAACTCCGCCAGCTCCTTGTAGCGCTCGGAGGGCAGTACGCGCAGGCGCCGCGCTCGGATGCGCGCCCGCAGCGCTGCGCCAGCTGGTGCCCCGAGCAGCGGGAACCATCGTTCGAGGCCCGCTGCTGGTGCGCGGGGGACGCCCAGTTCTTCTAGCTCCAGTGCCACGCGGCCCAGCAATGCTCCCCCCGGGCCCGCTCCGTGCAGCCGCAGCGACAGGTGACGTGCGGGTGGCAGCGCCTCAAAGTGGAAGCGCTCGGCCCAGAAGAGCTGGCCCCGGCCAGTCCGCGGCGCGGTGCGCGCCAGGAGAGCGCCGTCCAGCCACAGTTCCGCGCGCACGCCGGGCGCCCCCGCAGCTGCCCGGGGCAGCCCCTTCACCTCATGCACCCACACGCTCAGCCAGGTCTCTTCCCGCTCCGCGTTGTCCTGTGGACAGCAGTAGGGATTGGGGGGAGGCATTGGGGTTCGACGGCAGGGACCAAAGATAAAGAGGAAGGGTCTGCGCCCCCGGGAGATCACTGCGCCCCAGAGGGAAGAGAGTGGGGCCACTGGTACTTCTGCCAAAGTGGCAGACGCTCTTTATCTTTTCTGGGCTCTCGGCGAAAGATGGGGGGCTCCAGGGTACTGAGAAATAGCCTAGTAGGTGGGACTTTGGGTGCAACAGGGCTCAGATTTAATCAAAGGTACAGGGTCATTGTTCAAGGGGCTGGTGAAAGATGGAAACAGGAGGGTCTCCCGAGTGGTTACAAAGGTGTAGGCGGGCAGGATTACTGCGCGTGTGGATTTGGGAAGGGTGAAAAGGGCGGTGCCCAGCATGTGGACAGGATCTCCACGTTGGACCTGTACTATAGGGTACTGACCTGGCTGGAATGAAAGTGTCGACGAAGGTCCTCGATCCAGCGGTCTTTCTCAGCAGCAGAACGACAAGAGAAGCAGCGGCTCCCACCGTCCCATGTTACCTGTTGGAGAGGAAGATCAGAGGTGCATTTGCGGCCAAGGGTGAGCCGAAGGGTGAAGTGCTTTGAGAGTAGCCTGTGTTTACCTGGAAGCAGTGGGGCTCCTCTAGGAGGCTGGGATGCAGTGGCCAGATCCGAACATCCCGCTCAGCTCCCAGGTCCAGCTCAGAGAGTGTGGTCAGCGATTCGCGAGAGCCCAGAATACTGGGGGATCTGGGGAAGGGACCCATGATCAAGTACCATTACCCACAGCCTGAAGGGTGGATGGAGGTCGACATGGATTTGAACTTAAGTTGAACTTGAACCCATGGCCTTTGGAATAAACCCAACACCTTCTGCATGACCTTGCAAAGTACACCCTTTGTCACCTTTGGACCTTGTTTTCCTGTGCTTAAATCCCTCTTTCTGAGCTCTAGTCACACTGGCCTTGTTTTTGTCACTTCATCTGGCTTCTTGGCCTTTGCACTTGCTTTTTCCCTTGCCTGCAGTGACATTCCTGCCCATCTTGGTCTAGTTGAATGTCATCTGTCTTTCAGATTGTTCAGCTCAAGTATTCCTTCCTGATGTTCCCAGACCAGACTTAGCTCCTGTTTTAAAGTTATTGTGTCTGACTCTGCTTCTATCCTTCAATGGAGGGCTGGCTCCATGCTAGGGGCTGTTAGTGACCCCAGCATAGGCCAACATGGGACAGGATACAGAGAGGACTTCTGGGAGTATTTGATGAAGGTCAGATGATCGGCAGGAGAAAGGGGCAGAGGGAAAGTTGAACCCCAGCCCCTCCAGCCCCTCAGAGGCTCTTACCCATCCCTGTGGGCATTGGATCCTGGCTCCAGCTTGGCCTTTTTCTTCTCTTTCAGTCGCTTGAGCAACCCCTGTGGGTAGGAGAATGTAAGCTGGGAAAGTCAGCAACTTTCCCTCCCAGGATGTCCAGAAGATCTGCTGGTCTTGGGGGACCACAAGCTCAGGCTATATTAGTAGGAATAATAAAGGCAATTAACAGCTCCCATTCCTAAAGCACCCATCCTATGCTTTCCTGTATTTTCTGTTGACTTCTTATACACAGCCCTGAGGGGGAGGTAGTCTCATTAACTCCATTTGTGACCTGCACAAGATCACCCAATAAGAGTCCCATTTCAGCTCTTAAGTTTCTGAGAAACTTTCTCTCTCTTCTATCCCCCACTGGTTGCCTCACCCGAATGTTGTGGACTTGGTAGGGGCCAGCAGTCTCTGGTTCATTCTTTCCGGAGATCCTGTCTGGTGGTGGTGGGGGGCGTTTCAGAAGGGTAGGTTGGGGGAAAGCATCATCTTAGATTCTACCCTACCTTGACAGGTTCTTTAATGCCCCAGATCTCCCCACCCCACAAAATTACCTGGATCCCTGAGATTCCCCATGGCCACTTGTATGCTGCCCTCAGAGCTAGCGCTTCCCATCCTGGACCGGTGAGGACCCTGTTTCCCCATAAGGTGGAGAGTCAGAGAAGGGAGGGAGGAAGGCAGGTGAAAGGTGAAGCAGATATCTTTCTTATATCCCCTCTCCCACTCCCACAACTGTTGTTTCCCTCCCTTCTTCCTCTCCTTTCTTCCCTTCCCATGCACCTCACCTCTCACCTCCTCCTCACCCCCAAGTAACACCAACTTCCCATCAAGCAGGGTGAAGGCCCCAATGTTCCAGACAGGCACATCAGGGCTAGGCGCCTCAGGGATCTGTGGGGCAGGGGACCGTGGCTCTGGCTCTGGGGGAAGAAAGAGATACTGGAACCTGGAAACCCTTTCCTCTTCCTTAGACCCTCTTAAGCCTCCTCTCCATCCTCCCACTTCCCATGTCAAGCTTCAGTGGGCAAATCTTTACTCCTCTATGGGCCTTGTCCCCAACAGCCATGGAAAGTCAACTCAGCTCACCTACTGTGTGGCCCATACTGGGTTTACTGCATCATATACCTTCTCTCATTTAATCCTCCAGAAACCATTGAAAGGGCAATTATAACCTCCATTTTATCAAGGAGAAATTGAGTGACTTGCCCAGGGTCACGCATCTTGTGACTGGTTGAGCTGGGTTTCAGACACCAGAATTCTTAACCAAGACAGTGGTTGTATCTACAAGAAGTTAAATAACAGGACCGTAGCCTTAGTTTCTTAGATAAATAGCTAGTCTAAGGTGGAAGGTATTCAAAGTTTGAGAAAGAAAGAAAAAGATCAGGGTAAGGGGAGGCAGTGCAGTGGATCAGGAAAGACCTCACAAAGAGTAATTTTGCATTGGGTGTTGAACAGCAGGTTGAATTTTGACAGAGATTGAAGGAAAGCTGAACAAGAGATTGAAGAGATTAAGCAAAGGCTGGGAGATGACAAGAGGGCAAGAAAGATTTGGAGGGTTCAGAGACTAGAGGGGAAGTTCCAGGAAGAGATTGGTATAGGGCCATGGGTGTTAGAAGAGTTGATATTTTGTCCTGAGAGTACTGGAGTAGTAGGGGGCCATAAGAAGTATTTGAAAAGGAGAGGAGCAGAGAATACTCTGGAGTGGGTAATACCTGATACCCTGGAATATGAAAAGTGAGAATTAAATGAGTTTTCAGGAAGAGAAGAGCTGAGTCAACCCTCTCAGATAACTTGTCTATCTTGTTTTACTGCTAAAGGAATAAGTAATTTCCATTTGTTAACAGATCACTTAAGATATACTGGGCCCTGGGCTGGTGCTACATTATGAGCTCTAATTCTTATTTAATTCCTCACCCTCTCTGTGACACTTGGCCCAGTCTGTCATTTTCTTGTTTGCCTGTTTGCCACCTGTTACATCCATTATACTATAGGCAGTACTTTCCCTGTTTTGTTCACTGTGGTGTCTTCAGTGCCTACATCAGTACTTGGAACACAGGAAATGCTCAACAGACTACTGCTTGAAATAATGAATAAGTGAATGAATGTGAGTAAATGAAATAGTACACCTTTCAAGGTAGGGACTGAGTTTCATTTAACTGATAGGGAGGCAGAGGCAAAAGATGAAGAAACTAAGACATGGAGGCTGAAAGGCAGGAGAGCAGATGAGCCTAGGCCATTGAATATGAGGAGAGACCCCACTGGGGCCATTTGGCATCTGGACAGTACCACTGTCAGTCTATTCCCATTCCTTCCCCAGGCAGGACCCCCTGGGGTCCCTGGTTACCCCTCTCACCCCTGCCCTAGGTAAGGTAGAAAGAGGGAAGAGGGCAGCTGGGCCCCTGCCACTTCCTGCCAGTCTTTCTTACTCCCCACAACTTCCTGTGTCTATGAGGCTGATGCTTTGGAGGCAGACAAAACCCAAGCATCCGGTCTCCCAGCCTGACCTGCGCTCTGGGTGGGGGAGCCATGTACCTGAAGCCTGTGGCTCTGGCTCTGTCTCCAGTGGTGGGCTCTTATGCCTTCCCCAGAGGGACTTGGAGAGTCGGAGGCGGCTTGTTCGGCACTCTTTGTGGGGCTCAGACAGGACGCGGCGGAACAGCGAGCGAGGAGCCTGCTGGCTGCTGATTATGGGCTCTTGGTGGCTTAGAGCCCTCCCCCAGCTTGAAAAGCGTCTCCAGTGGAATCCCCTGGCCCCCTTCTCCCTGCCAGACCCTGTGAGCCAGCGGTAGGAAGTCAGTGGGGAGGGGGCTGCAGGTTGGGCTTGGGAGGCCTGGCTCTCCAACCTGAGGTCCATGGTGGAGTCCTCCTGGGGGGGCCAAGAAGGTGTTAGTTCTGTCTGGTATCTATCCATATGCTGGCGTCATCTTAGCTCCCTCCCCACTCTCAGCTCTGCCCCAAGAGGACCTTCTTGGGGATCCACAGGCACTCCCTTCCTTACCTTGTTTTCCTGACTAGCCCCAGAATCAGAAGCCGTCTGCTCTCTGCCTTGCTTCCTCCCGCTGAAGGCGAATCCACGTGACCCCATCTGTCCCTCCCCACAGCCAAGCTGGGAGGGCACAGTGGGGGCAGGATGCGGGAGGAGAAGAGGTGACAGAGTGGGGACCCAGAATCTCTTGCTCACTGTGAGGCAGCACAGGTCCTTCTCTGAGCTTCAGTGGTCTTTTCTGCCAGATGAGCACACGCTGACCCGATGCAGGTAAGAATATGGAGTGCCTGCAACTCTCATTCTCTGCTGGTCAAATTGAGGACTAATCCACCCAAGTTGGAATACTATCTGCCATGATCTACTAATGTTGACCACGTAGCTGTCCTCTTCTCTGACCCAGCAGTCCCACTGCTAGGTACACATCTGATAAACATGCTCACCACCACTAGTCCGAATAGTCCCAAACTGAAAACAGCCCAAGTATCCATCTATTGTGGAATGGATAAACTGTTCCCTTCACACTCTGGAGTATAATGTAGCCATGACAATGAATAAACTACTAAATGATTGAACTTGGATGAATCATAATGCTGAACAACAGTAAAAGAAAAATGAGGAAGAGTAAACACTGCATAGTTCTATTTACATATTGTTCTAAAGCAGGCAAAATTATATGTAATGAATCAGAATATCGATTTCTTTGGAGAGGCTAGTGATGGGTGGGATGGGGAAAGCTTGAGGGAGGCTTCTGGAAGCTGATGATGTCCCCCCAGCCCCGCTCCAGCTGTGAAATCCACATGATGTAAATATAACACATTCTATTTCTTTAGGGGGTGCCGGTTATAAGGGAGTGTTCTGTGGTGAAAATTCAATGAGCTGTCCATGTTGGTATACTTTACTGTGTCTCTGTTACACTTCAGTATGTGTTTATTTGAAAAAAAGAGGTGAGTAAATGCTGTTCTGAGAAAAAAGTGAGTCAGCAGGTTTCTGGACCAGAAATGAGTTTAAGAGCCAGCTGGTCCTTCACTTGCTATGTGACTGTAGGAAAGTCACTTCCTCTCTTTGAGCTTTGGTTTCCTTATTTGTACAAGAAGATAATATTTTCAGAAGGTTCATAACAGGAGCATTTGTTTATTCAACAAAAGTTTTCTGAGTGCCTCCTATGTGCTAGGTGCTAGAAAAACTATGGGAAAGCTAAACTTGCCTCCTGCCTTTCTGGAACTCACTGTGTAGCAAGGGGGACAGATCTTGAACTTGAATGCAGAGCATTTCTAGCCTGTATGGACTGGGAAGAAAATAGACTGGAGTAGAATAGAAGTAAGGTTCTTAAGACTGGAAAAATCAGGGATAGACTCCTTGTGGAGGTGACATTTGCTATCCGACGTATAAGAAGGAGTTGGCCATCAGAAGAATATGCTATGCAGATGAAATGGTTTGTGCAAAGGCAAGGATGACCAGAATCCATGGGAAGGGGTGGGGAGGATTGCCTTGATAGGCAGGCAGCCTGTGCATTCCCCCGGACTCATGCTCAGAAGGGCTCCACAGTGCACTTGATTTAATCCTTTGCTATCTCTGTCTTGAAGTTCTTGCTTTTTTGAACAAGGGACCTTGTATTTTCATTTTGTACTGGGCCTCATATCATCGATATAGCCACATAATTCACATTGCATCAGGGTATTCACTGTATCAATGCAGAGCATCCCCTTTTCCACCATATCTCCAAGTCTTTGCCACCTTATTGCATTCTGGCCCCACTCCCAACCCCCTGCATTTTTGCTGGAGGATTTTCTCTGACAGCTTGAGGCCACTCTGCACAGGTGACAAGACACACCACTGAGAGCACCCCTCAGTCAATGACTATGGGAGTTTGAGGATCAATACCCCAGCTCCCTTACCCCTTGTGTGGGATGGCGCTGAGGTGTGTGCCCTACAGTGTTTCCCAGAGGTACCCCATGAATTTGAGCTTCACTTGCCCTCAATACCGACTTGCCTAAGGCACCTTTTCCTGGCTGCCTTCCATTCTCTACCTTTCTTCCTCATTCTTCAAGTGATATGTTCTGAGAACATCTCCCAAACAAACTGTGCTTGCACTGGAATTCTTGTCTTGGAGTCTGCTTCTGATAAAACCCAAAGACTATATGCATGAACAGATAGATAATGCATGGGCACAGGCTTGCTTTATTGGAGGTCTGTGTCTCGTACGATCATTATGGGTTGTTCCTGCCTGGATCTCCTGGGTGCCCTCCTGGCAGTTTTTGGTTTCACATTCTAGAAAAGAAAAGGGAGTGAGAAGCTTGGGGTGGGTTCTTATAGTGGGGCTCTTGGATGGGAATAAGGACAGGGGCCCAAAGTGGGGGGTGGGTACATCATGAACTGTAGACCAGACTGGACAGATTAACAGCTTAATAAAATGGAGTGACAGTGTGCAGGTAGCATAAGACTGAGATCATGCTGACCGGGCCTATACTGATCCAGCAAAAGAGTTGTCATTAGTGCTTAGGGAGGGTGGGCTGAGCAAGCATCCTCAGAGGATGAGGATCCTAAGATGTAAGCAGAGGATTATAACACAGGGTTAGTGGATGGACAGAAGTTGTGCAGGCAAAAGAATTTCCTATAGACGGTCACAAGCTAGGTTAGTGTTGTGTGGACAAAGAACTTTGGCTAGGGGACTGGGATGAAGCCAAGATTGGGTGGACAGGGCAGAGGTTGTGTAGGCAGAAAGTTTGTGACTTGCATATAGGTTTTGCAAGATTTTAAGGGCAAAAGGCTGTGTCAGGGGTCAGGGTCCATGCTCTGGTTAGGAGAACAGAGGTGTTGGGGGGTGGGTGGGCTGAGACTATGCAGGCAGAGAACAGGGGAGGTGGCAGGGGATGTTGGGGACAGAATAACTGAAGGCTGGGCCTTGGTTGCCTGCATAGGACTGTAAGGGAGATCAGGAGCCTGTGGCGGGCTTGTGGATATAGGGATTACAGACAGAGGTCAGGGGCACGCTGAGGTCAGGATACAGACAGAAGGACCCCAGGCCCAGGTAGTGCGGACTTCGGGGACTCACAGTAGCGAAGTGGGGCCAGGTGCGCAGCAGGTTGAAGAGGGCATCTCCAGGGCAGTCGGTGTGCACCAATTGGCGGTGGCCGAGCAGCGCGTAATCCGGCTTCAGGAGGCCAGCACGCACCGCGCAGCGCGGGAGCACGTCGCGCATCGTACGCAGCGAGTCTTCGGCTGGCAGCTCCGCGGTGTAGTTGCCCACAAAGGCCACGCCGAAGCCGCGGGAGTTGTGGCCAAGAGTGTGCGCGCCCACCCACTGCCAGCCCCGGCCCTCGTACACGTAGCCGTCAGAGCCTACCACAAAACTGCAGAGGGAAGAGGGAAGCTGGCACTAGGAGCCCCGCCCCTCATCTGGCCCGTACCCCAGATTTCACACCTGTGCCAAAAGTCGCTGTCACGCCTCCTTCCCCCCCCCCCACCCAGAAGTCCTGCTGGGCCGCGCTGGCTCTGCATTGTCCAGTCTTGTCTTACTCCCTCACCAAACGACACCCCTGAAACCATTGTTTCTCCTCATCTCTCCCAAGCATTGGCCACGCCCCTTAATGCCCAGGCCTCTCCCTTCGAGTCCAGTTCCTGCGCAATTCAGAGCCCTCTTCAGTTTTTTAGGCCTTATCCCATCACTGCTCCGCCCCAGCCTTCACACGTACCCCTGACCCTGCTCCTCTCCCAAGTGCCACCTCATTTCCTAGTTCCCTCAGTAGACTTGAGAGTTCCACAGTCAGCAATTTCTGGTCCATGTAACGGTCTCCGCCCTAGTCTAGGCCACGCGCCTCTCACCTCGGTCCCACCTATCCCAAACTCCACAGTCTTGTTAGCTTTGCTCGCTTCCAAATACCGCCACCAGACACCGGACTCGGCCTCTGCTACGGACCACGCCCCCGCACAGCCACGCCCACCTGTAGCCGATGTCGCTCCAGCCGCGTGTCTTCTGGTGGAAGCGCTGCATGGAACGCATGTTGGCTGCGCATTGCACGAAGTCTGTGCAAGGTGGCGCGGGCACGTACGTGTGATGCACATACAAGAACCCGAGCGGCAGCTGCAGCAGCGTGGGTCTGCCTTGGTATGGCACCGCTCCCCAGCGGCAACGGGGGTGGATGGCCGGGCACCCTGCGAGGAAGGGCAGGCCAGAGCTGGGCTCAGCAAGTATTTCTCTACCTGTTTGTCACCTGCACCCCCCATTAGAGCGCACATATGGATTATGCCACCTCCCCGCCCTCCTCCCAGATTTAGGTATAGATCAGTCTCACAGCACACATCTCCATTGGGATGCCACTTAAATAAATTTAACAGCACCCCGTTCCTGTTGGAATATCCTCTATCACTCTCAGGATAAACCCCACGTATTTTAGCTCAGAGTTCAAGGCCCTTAACAACACGGGATCCAGCTGACCCTGCTGTGAGAACTAAGGACATCTCCAACTGTATGCTATTTACTTTACGTGCGTCATCTTTTAAAAACTATCCAGCAAATCTAAGAGATACCAGTGATTCTTCCCAGTTTCAACTGAAGAAAGGTTCAGAGAAGTGAAGTTACTCACCCAAAGATGCACAGCTGTAATTGGCTAATCTTCAATTCCAACCTTTACGTGTACTGAGCCTACCTCCTGGTATATTCACTTTTTCTTTTTTTTTTTTTTTTAAATTGGACGAACCCTTATTCATTCTAAAGACCCAAATCTAGCATTTTCTGACCTGTGCAGATGCCCTACTGCACCCAGTCAGAGCCCTTATTGCTCCCTCTGGAATCCCTCAGTACTGGGTCCTTTTTGACCACCTGGTGATAAGAATGTATGTATCTGTGAGAGTTAGGATAACAGGGGTTCGGGGCCCTTCTTACCCAAGAAGGCTTCAGTGAACTCCTTGCTTGCATGGGTGGCTATCTTTGCTAGTTGTCCTTGGCTCATGCCCTGCAGCTGAGAGTAGCCTGACTCCAGTCTCTGTAGCAGGATGAGGGCCCCCCAAACCTGTTGAGTCAGGGTGGGTGTTGAAATGAGAGCTACTCCATTGTGCCGTCGGAAGTTGCTTCGAAGCCCTGGGTCTCTGGTCAACCCCCTTCCATAGTACTTTCTCAGCAGGTGGCTGAGGGGTGGCCTGGGCTCAGGGGTCCGGCTCAGGTAGTCTCCAAGGATGACCCCATCCAGGGCACCATTGAGGAAGGCCATGGTAAGCAGTGATGCCTCAGGGTCTAGGAGTGTGAAGTTCTGGGGGGCAGAGAGCTTGTCCCAGCATCCATCAGTTCCCAGGCCTGGATGGCTCTGCGTCTTGGGGCCCTGGAGGAAGGTCAGGCCTAGGGCTCCGGCCAGGGTGACCACCAGGAGGCTATCCACAGTAGTTGGGGGCTTGGTTGTGGCATCTGACATGGAAATGTGGACTTCTGGAGAGGTGACATCTGGAGAGGTGACATCTGGAGAGGCATGCTTGAGTCCTGGGGAGGTGGTTCTTACATGAGGAACCATGATTCTAGTATCTGGGTGGGAGGCTCTGGCATCTAGAGGGGTGGCTGTGCTGTCCATAGGCAAATTTACTAACCTATGCCCCTGCAGCCCAGCCACCAGTCCCACCAGAAGAGGCTCCACAGCTACGGATGAGCCATCCGGTGCCAACACCACCCCATATTCCTGCCCACCCCACACACCATGCTGGGACACCTTCTTGGCCAGATCTCCAAGCTCTGGGCTCGGTAGAAGGGGATCCAGCTTTACGGGCTTGAGAGGCCACGCCTCCAGCAGAAAGTGATAGAGGGGCTTGTGGGGGCCTGAATTCTGGGTTGACTGCAGCCACACAGAGGCACTGTGGCTGGCCTCAGTGGCTGGTGCCTTCTGTTCAAGTGTATCCAGGACCTGGATGACGGAGTCCATGAGCAGGGGCAGGGATGCTGCAAAAGGAGGGATGATGTTAGCCCAGCAACCCAACACCCTTGATTCCTGATCTTCCATATCTTCTCAGTGCAGCCAGCTCTCCATCTGACAACCCTGTGATCCCTAACACCATTCTGTGTAGATGAGGAAACTGAGGTACAGACAATAGGTTAAGGAACTCAGACTATCTTTGAGCCCTGGGGAGTCACAGTAGGTTCATGAGCAGAAGAGAGAGAGAGACTGGCCACCCTGGTATTCTAAGATTGCTTTTTTGGCTCCCATGTGGTGAACAGATTTTTGGGGACCTAGAGTAGAGGAAGAGAAAACTTGTGCCGGTTTACAATGAGGGTGATTGAAGGCCAGGGTGGGGGCAATGTGATGGCAAAAAGTGGCAGGTCCTCCAGCTACTTTGAGGGAAAAAGGGACAGTTTTTCACGATGGATTGGCATTTGGGGGATTTTAGAGAGAAAGGTGTCTCAAAGGATGCCAGAAGAGGGTGAGCCTGGCCTCATGGGGAAATGTCAATGGCTGAGCTCCGAGCTGGACATAGTTTTTTTTTTTTTTTTTAAAGATTTATTTATTCATTTATACAAGCACTGGGTACAGTCAGAAGCACGGGAGGGTGAGAGAATTCACCAGAGCCGGAGCAGGGAGCAGAACAGAGAGACTGATGAAGAACATTGCTGAGGGGAGCAGCGGGCACAGCAGGCGAGGTCTGCGCACCATGTGGGACACTCGCTGGCCGGCCGGGGATCGAACTGGCGCTGTAGAGGCTGTATGCAGCTTTGCAGCCCAGCGCTCAACTGCTGCGCCACCGGGGAGGCCCTGGACATGGGTTGTTGATTAATAGCTAATATTTATTAAACATTTGCTGCATGCCAGGCACCATTCTAGGTGACTTATATAACTAAATTCATTTAACCGTCACAATGACTCTCTGAACACAGAAAGGTTACATTATCTGCTTAAGATCATATAGCTAGTAAGTGGTAGAGGCAGGATTTGAAACAAGGAAGTCTTAATCTTTATACTTCGTTGTCTACAATCTAGGTTTTTCTGCGGACAGTTCACATTGTGATACCTCTGTCACATTATTCTCTCTGCTTAAAATACCGTTTCCTGCTCTTCACCCAGTGAAATTCTCCTCTGTCTTCCTGCCCTAGAGTGATGTCCCCTCTTCCAGGAAGCCTTCATGATTTTTAAGCCTTGACTCCCATTTCCTTCCCTTAAACCCTGGATTGCCCAGGCCTCTACCTTCTGACTCACCTGTCCCTGGCTCCAGCCACAGCAACAATCCGAACATGATCCAGAGGACACCTTGCACAACCATTGTGGGGTTCCAACTTCAGGGGGACTTATCCCATTAACTTCAGCAGATACCTTGACAGAATTGGGAGGAGACAGTCATGGAGAACTAAGCAGTACCTTTCACAACTGTCAAAAGTCCAGTGGTGAATGACCCGTCTGCCCGTCTGCCTGTTGCAGAACTGTGGGCGGGAGGTATGGAGAAAAGATCAGCTGGGCCTCAGGAGCTATTCCATCCTAACCTGGCACTCTCAGGCTGAGATCAAGGGTCAGTAAGCCAAGCTGTTCCCTGGCCAGGCAGTTGAGCGTCCAGGAAAGTCTTCCTATTCTCAAGAGAGACTGAAACCAATTCAGTAAATCCTACTTCCTTCTGATGGAAATCATTCTGTTACTGTTGCTTGCTGGCCACTAGAGGACTCTTAGGAGCCCACCTGACTGGTAAGACGGGCTGTGCTAGGGAAAAGGAGCAAGGAGAGACCTGAGGTTCACACTGACCCTTGCCTGCTCTGGAGCCAATATTTCAGACCCAGGCAGAGGATGGGTGCAAGGGCCAAGGATTATTTTCGCTGAGTCCTACTTTGAGCCCATGGAAACCTAGAGATGTCACCTCTGATCCAGTACCGACTCTTGACCTCAAGCCACCAGAGGTTGCTGAGATCAGGGTTTTCAGGATCCTGGCTTTTGTCCCAGGAGTTGGTTTCTGGGCTCAACTGGGTTGATAGCGAGGGGTCCTTCCTCTTCCCCTGGTGCTTGTGGCCAAGTGCATAAGTAAGCTGGCCTTCCTTTTATTCCAGCATCAGGTGGGATGGACTCTACATGGCTGGGGCTGTTGTGTAAATTGCTTCATTGTGGACCTTCCACCGTGAAACCAGCCCAGGGGGTTTTTCAGGGAACCCACCAGAGTCTTTGACACAGGGTGGATCCTGGGTGGGGCTGGGAATGCCCACACTGAGCCAGGCCTGGGATTTCCCAGGGGGTATTTAAGTTGGAAGAGGTGGGGCGACAGTCGCTCAGATATCTGAGCTGGGGGCACAGTGGAGGCTCAGGGAGTGAATAGAGACCACTCCCACTAGGATTTTGAGGAAATATCCTCTATGTTCCAGTTTCCAGGATTTGGGTCCAGGCTGTGTCTGGTAGATCCATTTGGGTGTGGGTTGTGGATAAGGAGGCAACCATCTGCAGTGCAAAATTTAAGGTGACATTGAAAAACTCATCAAGATAAATAGTAGTTTTTACTTCCTTTTCCACCTTTTTTTCCTTTCATTTAAAATTTTTAAAATTTTCTTACATTGTTCATTTTTATACAATATTTGATTTCGCTCCTCAGGTGTAGTCCCCATAATTCTCCCACGACCACATCACCTATGAACAGTCAGCATAGTCCCTACGCTCTTCCCTCCCCTGTTTTGACTGTTCTCCTCCCTTCCCTGCTGTATGCCTCAGATCTATGGTTTGCCTGCAAGTTTTGTCTTTTTCCTAACCCTTTATCTGATATTTTTCTTTTTCTTTCTGACTTATTTCATTAGCATAATCCCTTCCAGCTCCATTCATGTTGCTGCAAATGGTATGAGTAAGATAAATAATATTTTAATGAAGTGGTTAACACATCATTTGAGATAAAGGCAGGATTGGGAACAGAGCTATGCTAAGGTATATTGGAGCAAGAGGCAGAAGGAAAAATCAGGAATTCTCATGCTGTCTTTGTGCCTCACTCACTTTACCCTTGTCCTGGCCCTGTATCCAATTTGTGGGGAGTCCCAAGGATGCTGAAGAGTGACTGTCATGTGAGATTCCCATTTAATGTTCAGCTGGTCTGGGAATAATCTTGATTCAGTATCACAAACCCTGTGTTTGTCCCTCTGATTCTCCCACTGTCTATGGCTGTGGGAATGCTTTTGATTTAGCTTTAAAATTTTTTTTATTTGCTTTTATTATGCCCATTTTACCTAGCAGGAGGGTGAGTTCAGAGAGGTTAAATAAATTTGCCCAAGATCACATATCTATAACCTGGGGCGGGTTCCAAGCTCACTGCACATTTCTGTTATTCTGTAGCTGGGTCAGGGTCAGAATAATTATTTCACTTAATAATGGAGAAGTTTTTGCAGACTGTCTACAGAAAGACTTCATGCCTAGGAATTCACGGGTCAGCTGCAAAGGCAGGTTTGATTCCTTCTAAAAGCATGGAGTTAGTGGTAGAAGTTTGGTCGTGTTTGAATCAGAAACATATCATGGCCAATTGCATTTACTTTTCTGGGATTTGTGATCTTCTGGGGATTTGTGACCTTCCTCTAGGAAGCTTTCCTACTTACCCCCTGGCTTTCCTCTTTCCCCATCCTGGCTCTCTAGCCTGGGGTTGCTCCCTTTGACCTAGACCTGTCCATATAGGTCAGGGACCAAGCGGGTGGCAGGAAGGGACTGCTGAATTCATGTGAGGTTGTGGGATCAGTTTGGGCTCAGGCTTTGACACACACACACACACACACACACACAAGTACTCATACACCAGGGCACCCGGTCTGGGCTGGACTGGCAGGCAGCAGAAAGGTTGGGATTCCCATGATGAATCATCCTCCCACAACTTTCCACTTCCTATCTACCTCATGAGGCCCACCTGTCAGGGGGTTGGTCAAGGCCCCTCCAGATTGCAGACCAGGGGGTCTTGTGAGAATAGCCGCTGACCAAGGTCTGGGTCAGCACCACTGGAGGTAACACTGGCACGGGCAGACAGAGCCTTGGGCCCTGGATTGGAAAGGAGGTTGGGATAAAGGCCGGAGGCCAGAGGAAATGAACCTGGCATTTGGGGTCAAGATCAGAGTTAATAGTATTCACTTTGGTAGAAGTAATGATAATAATAATGAAAATCCTAGTAATAATAATCAACACTGGTGTATACAGAGTTCTGGGCTAAGATTCTATGCACCTGCATTTAATTATTCAGTTTTAGATTTTGTTGAGATGTTTTAAAGCAGAAATTGGCAAATTAGAGACTGCGACCAACTATCTCTTTCTGCAACAATTTTATTGGAGGTGAAATTCACCTAACATAAAGTGACCCATTTAAAACTGAGTATTTTTTTAACATTTAATACATTCACACTATTATGCAACAACCTCTGTCTAGCTACAGAACATTTCTTTCATCCAGAAATAAAGCCCTGTATCTATTAATTTGTCACTTTCTACTCTCTGCCAGCTCCTGGAAACTAACACTGTTTTCTGTCTCTATGGATTTGCCTGTTCTAGACATTCCGCATAAATGGAATTATGCAATATGTGAACGTTTGTGACAGGACTTTTTCCCACTGCACATAATGTTCTTGAAGTTCATTCATGTTGTAGCATGAATAAGTGCTTTTTATCACAAATTATTCCTTTTTATGGCTGACTAATACTCCACTATATGGATATACCATAAATTACTGATGTAGATGAAACGTATTGGAATACGTCATCTGTTTACGTATTGTTTACATATTGTTTACATATTGTCTATGACTGTTTTCATGCTATAAAGGCAGATTTGAATCATTGTGATGGAACCCATCTGGCATGCAAAGCTGAAAATAGTTACTGTGTGGATACATCCCTCTCCAACTTTCTTGAGATAATATTTGACATATAGCATTGTGTAAATTTAAGGTGTGCAATGTGATGATTTGATATAGGTATATATTACAAAATGTTTACCACAATAAGGTAGTTAATATCTATCACCTCACATAGCTACCTCTTTTTCTTTTTTTTGATAGTGAGAAATTTAAGATCTACTTTCTTAGGAACTTTCAAGTACACAACACAGTGTTACCTATAGCTACTTGCTCAGAACTGATTTAAAAACTGGAAATTTATGGGCTTCCCATAAATTGTACACACACACACACACACACACACACACACTCATGTATATGCAAACACACACACATCACATTTTCTTTATCCTTTCATTCATAGAGGGATTCTTAGGTCTTCATGCTTGGTTATTGTAAATAATGCTGCAATGAACATGGGGTTGCAGATATGTCTGAGGGTAGTGATTTCATTTTGTCTGGATTTATGTGACCTTTTGCATAGATTCAAATTCTCACTCTGCTTCTTACTAGTTGCAGCAAGTGACTGAATCTCTAGTCCTCATTTTGTTACCTCTAAAATGGGAGAACAGTGCCAACCTCATGGGTTAATATGAGAATTAAACAAGATGATGCTGTAAAGAGTTTAAGATTGTGCTAGCATGTGGGAGGCATTTGATGAGTAGGGAGTCCTTTCTGCCAACCCATCCACCTGCCCAGCCTTCCCAGCAGAAGTTCAGCTCAAAGGATAATCTATTATGGTTAAACTCCCACATCTTGGATGAGTTCAGATTCATGATTATATGTTTTTTCTGCATCGAAGGCATTTGTCCAAGCCAAGGCTTTCCTGTTGGCTCTGGCCCCCCAGCAGCCAGCTGAGCCTTAGGGCTTGGCCTTGAGCCAGATTGAAACTGTGACCAAATTGTTAAAGCCAGGGCAGGCTGGCTTTAAAAATTAATTGGTTGGACCCATGTCCCCAAGGGGAAAAGCAAGTATGTGGTGTGAACCACTGACCTCACAGCCTCTATCAGGGGCTATTCTATGTCCCTGGGGGGCAGAAGTTGACTTCTATTGCACCTTCCTGGAAAAGTAGAGGTGAGATTTAATCTCTCAGACACCTGGTCCTGTAAGTGAAGAGGAGGGAATTTTGTAACTGAGGACACTGGAAATTGTATTGAAATCGTGAGCTCAGCCCTTGGCGGTATGCTAGAGGCCAAGAATGAGTGTGGGGTAAGATGTTGGCCAGATGTTGGCACTCCTGAGCAATATTTACTGAGCACCTACAGGCTCCTAGCTGTCATAACTCTGCTTCAGGAAGATGGCACAAAACAAAGGGCAAAGGGCTTTAAACATTTTTTTCTAAATAGGAATTTTCAAACATAATCAAAAGTAAAGAGAGCTGTATAATGAACCCACATGTGTATCCACGAACTACTGACATGTGTTAACTCATAGGCCATCTTGTTTCTTCTATAACCTCCACCTACTGTCTTTCTTCTGCAATGTTATCTGCCATTGATGATTATTGCCTAGATCTAACAATTCATTAGCATTCACAACAGTGATACTGGAATAATATTCTTTCTTCATTTATAAGCTGAATAACATACTCTGATCTATCATTTGGTTATCCAGTGGTACAATTACATGGGAAAGGTGAGATAAAAATAAGACAATTAAAAAACCCACATAGACACATAAAATCAACTCAGAGTCCTGTACATAGCAGTGTTTATTATTATTATCATAAACACTACTGCTACCAAAATAAATATTATTAACTCTGACCTTGACCTTTCCCATGCTTGATTCTTTTTTTTGGGGTAAGATTTATTTATTTATGCATACAAGAGCTAGGGTACAAGCCAGAGGTGTGGGGGGTGAGAGGATTCACCAGAGACAGAGCAGGAAACAGAACAGGCAGATTGACCGAAGTACACTGCTGAGGGGAGCAGCAGGCGAGTCAGGAGAAGTCTGCTGTGCCATGTGGGTTGTTCCTTGGTTGGCCAGGGATCGAACTCTGCGCTGCAGAGGCTGCGGATAGATAGCTTCATAGATTGTGTCTTAACCCCTTGTGCCACCCGGGAGGCCCCCAGGCTTGATTCTTTTCCTTTCTTAGTTTTCAAAATCATTTCTGGGCTCCTTAATACCCTTCAAATAGAAATACAAAAAGTCCTTGATTAGCATCATTTTTTAAGGTTAATGATCAGAAAACAATCCTGGATGATGGAAACTATGTTATTTGAGAACCTGCATTGATTATATGTTGCTTTTAAAGTCATGATTTCTAAGAATTTATCGTCACTGTTAAATGAGGACTTAATATAATGAGCTTTTTCCTATATATTTATGAACCTGTGGATTTAAACTATTGGACTGTGTTAATGCATTGCAGTTTTTGTCATTACTGATTATTCCTTCTTTGGCAGGTGGGAGTCTTTTCACTTTGACACCTGAGCTCTTTTGATAGGAGTCTTAGAGGTAACTTCTTGCCTTATAATGTGGAAAGATATTCCTGGAACCTCTGACACCTTTCCTGCCACAAGTCTGGGGCCTTCCATTTCTCCCAGGTATCCCTGTTCTTTTAATAGGAAAGTGGTACTTAGTGGCCACAATCAAGATTCTAAGGGTGCTCATGGCTACTAGGTTAGTTGTGTTTCTAGGTCTTTTCATTGGACCTCTCCTCCCATATATATTTTTTAAATAAAATACATCATTAATAAATTCTGCTATTTCCAAATCATACTCAGGATTACATAACTTTTTTTAAAAATAAATTTTATTTTTATATTCCCCATACAATTGCAATCCCCTTATTTTGACCCCAATCCCTCACCTCCCCACGCCCCACTCCCCATAGAGTGTCTCTTGTTCATAGTTGTTTGTTGATTTTGATATTTTCTTTCTTATAGTTATTCTTTTTCCTGGTCCCTTATTTAAGTTTTCTAGATTCCTGCTATGAGTGAGACCATCCAGTATTTTTCTTTTTCTTTCTGGCTTATTTCGCTGAGCATGATCCCTTCCAGCGCCATCCATGTTGCTGCAAATTGCATGTGTTTATCTTTTTTGAATGCTGAGTAATATTCCATGGTGTACATGTACCACATCTTCTTGATCCAGTCATCTATTTTTGGGCATTTGGGTTGTTTCCAAAGCTTAGTTATTGTAAACAGTGCTGCTATAAACATAGGGGTGCAGGTGCCCTTTTAAATTAATGTTTTTGTGTCCTTTGGGTAAATACCTAGGAGTGGAATTGCTGGATCATATGGAAGCACTATCTTTAGTAGGTCCAGAAATCTCCACACAGCTCTCCATAGTGGTTGGACCAGTTTGCACTCCCACTAGCAGTGCAGGAGAGTTCCTTTTTCTCCACATCCTCGCCAACATTTGTTGTTGCTAGTTTTTTTAATAAGTGCCATTCTCACTGGTGTAAGATGGTATCTCATGGTAGTTTTGATTTGCATTTCCCTGATTCCAAGTGATGTTGAACATTTTTTCATATGCCTGTTGGCCATTTGCATTTCCTCTTCAGAGAAGTTTCTTTTTAACTCTTCTGCCCATTTTTTGACTGGATTATTTTCTTTGTTGTTGTTGAGTCTCATCAGCTCTTTGCAGATTTTTGTGATCAGTCCTTTATCATTAGTGCTGTGTGCAAAAATTTTCTCCCAGTCGGTGGGGTTTCTCTTTGTTTTTGTTATTGTCTCTTTTGCTGTGCAGAAGCTCTTTAATTTGATGTAGTCCCAGCTATTTATCTTTGCCTTCACTAT